TTCTGAAAGTAGTATGGCATATAGAATATTCAACAAAAGATCATGTGCTGTAGTTGAATCAGTCAACGTGGTGTTTGATGATTTAGCAGGTTCAAACAAAGGAAATCGTAATTCAGACAGTGATTCAGAAACAGAGGCACCTGATTCAGAGGCAGAGAAGGCTGAGTCAGAAACAGAGGAAACAAAGGACAATGAGTCGGAACGAGAAAACTCTCATTCAGACTTACCTGGTACTCCGACAGTTCATAAGAATCATTCAGCCTCAGATATCATTGGAAAACTCACTGAAAGAAAGACCAGAGGAGTGCAAATCGATTTCAAAAAGCTACATAGTAACTTTGCAGTATGGGAAACAGTACAATTTGAGTGCTTTGTGTCATTCATTGAACCAAAGAATCATGTTGAAGCTCTTAAAGATGATTTCTGGATCATAGCAATGGAAGAAGAACTTGAACAGTTTGAACGAAATCAAGTATGGGAGTTGATTAAAAGACCAGAAGAGATCAACATCATAGGAACTAAATGGATCTTCAAAATCAAAATCGATGAAAGTGGTGTTGTAGTTCGGAATAAAGCAAGGTTGGTCGCACAAGGATATACTCAAATCGAAGGAGTTGATTTTGAAGAAACCTTTGCTCTTGTTGCACGGTTGGAATCCATCAGATTATTTCTGGGAATGGCTTGCATATTGAATTTCAAAGTGTATCAAATGGATGTAAAAAGTGTCTTTCTTAATGGTTATCTACAAGAAGAAGTCTATGTAGAACAACCTAAGGGGTTTGAAGATGTGACTCATCCCGAGTATGTGTATAAACTGAAGAAAGCCCTTTATGGATTAAAGCAAGCACCCAGAGCATGGTATGATAGATTGACAAGTTATCTGACTGAGAATGGATATATTCGTGGAAGTGTCGATAAAACCTTGTTTACACTTGAACAAGCTTCTGACATTCTGGTAGTTCAGATTTATGTTGATGATATCATTTTTGGAAGTACATCAGAAATACTCGTCAATGGATTTGTGAAGATAATGACCCAAGAATTCGAGATGAGCTTAGTAGGAGAGCTAAAGTATTTTCTGGGATTGCAAATCACACAATCTGATGAGAGCATATTTATTTCTCAAAGTACTTATGCAAAGCAACTTTTAAAGAAATTTCAGATGGAAAAATGCAAAGAAGCAAAGACACCCATGAGTACATCTATCAAGCTGTCTAAAGATGAGAGTGGTATTGATGTCAGTATGAAGCAATACAGAGGCATGATAGGCAGTCTACTGTATCTTACAGCAAGTCGGCCGGATCTATGTCTGAGTGTAGGCATTTGTGTAAGATATCAAGCAAATCCCAAACAGTCACATTTGGAGGCTGTAAAAAGAATCATCAAATATGTGAAAGGGACAGTTGATCTCGGTATCTGGTACTCTAAAGGATCTAATAAGAATCTAGTTGGATATTGCGATGCAGACTATGCAGGAAGTGTTGTTGATCGAAAAAGCACAAGTGGAGGATGTTTTTTCTTAGGGAACAATCTGATTGCTTGGCTAAGCAAAAAGCAAAATTTTGTGTCTCTATCAACTGCAGAATCTGAATATATTGCTATGGGAAGTTGTTGTACTCAATTGCTTTGGATGAAACAAATGTCAGCTGATTATGGCATGGATTCTGGTGTACTTCAAGTCTATTGTGACAGCAAAAGTGCTATTGACATATCCAAAAATCCGGTTCAGCATTCAAGAACTAAGCGCATTGATGTCAGACATCATTTTATACGAGAGCTTGTTGAGAAGAAACAGGTTCTTATTGAGCATGTGGAAATAGAGGTGCAGCTAGCTGATATGTTCACAAAAGCATTGGATTTCAGTCAGTTTTCTTTTTTAAGAAATTCGAATGGAGTTTGTGCTATGTGAATCGGATTCTGTCTGATTCAAGGTACTGATTCAGGATGATGCAGTTCAAGTTATTTTACCGAAATAATAATCAGTTCCGTATTTTCTGGGATTTCAAAAGTTTAAATTTAAAAGAGAAAAGGAAAGAAAAATCGTTGTTTCCTCGAGATTCGGGTATCCAAAGAAAAGACGATCTTTTAGAAGGAGAGAGTGAAGGATGTGACCTCATAGTGAAAAAAAAAAAAAAAGACGAAGAAGTCGAGGGGTCTAGGTTTTTTTTTTTGCACAAAAATGGTGAAAGCTACTCTACGCGGGTTGATCGGCCGAAATCGTGGTGCTTCTACTGCTCGAGACGATGGTGCTCTCAATCATCCTCAGCTGATTGATGAATCGAGTGATTCAGAAACTACTCCTTCTCCTGTTCAGGCTCTTGTACCTTACGAGTTGGACTCCAGTGCTTCTCCTGTTTCGGATCCGGTTGCTACTCCACAAGCTGACATCGGTGAAGCATCTGCATCTGCGTATGCGTCAGCTCAGGATCATCCGACGGACGAGGAATCAACGCCGGTGTCTCGACCTGAACCAGTTCCAATTTCAGTCGAAATTCCAGAAGTTGATCCAACTGTTTCAGTTCAAGATCAGTTTCAACAGCAAGAGATGAAGAAGAGACAGCATACAGAATCAAACGCGCCTGAGTCTTCCAAAAAGCGTCGAATTAAGAAAGGTATTTCTAAATCTCCAGGGTTTGATTCATCACGTTTTGTGTCTCGTGCTGCTCAGTTACGGTATAATAGCTTCATCTCTCGTCGGTTTATTCAAGAACGTCGTGTTGATATTCTCAAGGAAGATACTTGGGGTTATTGTCAGAAGATTACGGATGTAGGATTAGAAGAACTTGCCTTTGAACTTGCTGATTATGTCAAAGCAATTGTCTGTGAGTTTTATGCTAATCTCCCTTCAGAGATGTCTCCTTCTGGTGTTCAAGTGTTTGTTCGGGGTTAGATGTTCGAGTTTTCTCCAACAGCTATTAATCGTGCATTACTTCAGAAGCCTCTGACTAAAGCAGAACGTCGAGCAGATGCCGCTGATAATGATATTGCAATTGATCAGGTTGCCAGAGTTCTTAGTGGGAAGGATAAATCTAACTGGAAAGGTTTAAGTGTCAAGAATTTACCTGCTGGAGTTGGAGCTTTGCTTATGATTGCTGCTTACAATTTGGTTCCATCCTCACATAAGAATCATCTTGCTGAAAAACGGGCCAGGGTAGTATACAAGATTTTTCAAGGTATTCGGTTTGATGTAGGTCAGCTGGTTTATGAACAAGTCATGGCATGGAATTCAATTCAGAATGATGATAAGCGTTGGCTGATCTTTCCGCGAGTTATCACTGAGTTACTGCTTGTACAGGGTGACATTATTGGTGAAGATGAGGACTTTATTGTTGCTGATGACTATGTGAAAGATCCTCGCACTGGTGAAGTTTATGCTAAGAAGTATCCGGGTGATGACAGTTTTGGGTGTACTGATGCTCCTGCGCATAAGGGTCCTTCTTCTGGTTATAATGTTATTCAGCTTGGGGAAATTCGTCTACCCTGTAGTGGGGATAACAGTGATGCAGCATCTTATGCAGCTTTGGTTGATACTGCTGTTGTTCTGAAAAAGCTTTCGGATGATGTTCTGAAGAAACTTACTACAGTTGTTGATCAATTGATTCAGAATCATCCCATGGCCAAGAAAGCTTGATTTTTGGTTTTTAACCTATGTATCTCAAGCAGGGGGAGAAGAGATCATTGATTATGGGGGAGTATTTGCTGCTGCTAGTGATGGGTTGTTTGATCATGGGGGAGTTTGAAGTTTTTTGTTGTTTTTGAAATTTCATGTTGAACTTTGCAAGTTTGCTTCCGTTTGTTTCAGTTTTAAGTTTCAAGTTGAACAATCTAGGAACTCAGTTTGTTTGAAGACTTCTTTGAATTTCAGAGTATTTTAAAGTTTGTCTTGGCTTAAAACTTCGGTAGTACAAAGATCTAACGTACAGATGCTTGAAGACTACAAGGTTAAAAAGGGGGAGATTGAAGATGCAATCTGAACAACAGAGTGTACTAGTGCAGCAAATAGTTCAGAAGACTTAACGAAAGAAGAAACAACAAAGAAGGAAAATGAGGAAAGGCGGTTTGGCTTGGGCACAAGACAAAGAAGAAGTGTCTAGAAGCATTTAGAAGCGTGAAGACTTTACTTTTATAAGAATAAAAGTAAATTAGAAGAGTTGGATAATTTCCTAATCCATAAAGAAAAAGGAAAATATCCTAAAACCTATTTAGAAGTGGAATAGGAATTTCCTGTTGTATGGAGATGTCCTAGTTCTATAAATAGGGAGTTAAGGCTTGAAGAAAGCTTGGCACAATTAAGAGAAAGAGATCTTGCAATAAGATTTAACTTGAGAGAAAAGAAAGTTGAGAGCTTATCGAGTGCATAGGGTTTCTTTGAGTGATTCTAAGATCAAGTGTATGATCTTAGAAGGAGGGTCTTTGAGAGATTAGGAATTTGTTTAGGGAAAAACCCATTGTAAACAGAATTTCTATATATCAAAGATAGCGTTTTGAGAAATCCAGTTTTTAATATTCTGATCTAGTTCAATCCGTAAGACTCTTGATTTTTCAATATCAATCATATTTTTTATACGTACAATACTTCAATATTGAGAATGAATCCCTATATTTCACAAAACTATTCGTGTCCAATGCTAAGATCAAAAACCTCAAACTCTTTTTTTTATAAGAAGATACTACTACTAGGAGGATTTACAAAACACTATTATTATTATTATACGGAACCTATTTTCATTTCGCTGAAAAAACTTATATACATTTCGCAATATTTTTCTAAACATCAAAAAGAAAAGGGGTTTCCAAATATTTGCAACCATCAATCATGATTATTTTTTGGACGACCTGTTGTTTTTGTTGCTGTTGCTGTCATGAACATTAAATACAAATCTAATAAATGTTGTACGAATTTTGCGTGTAATAAATGCCTCAGGGCCGGCTCGAAGCTCGCTGATCGTCCTTTTTTCGTGTCTCTATTCCACACACCATCCTCTATTTATTTCTTTTTTTCTCTCTTCTTCTATTTTTTTGTTTTTTTAAAAATAATTTCTATATAAATATACTTATTTCGTATCAAGAATCATAGATCGTGAATTCATTGCTTCCTTTGGCTTTTTCTTTCCTCTAGACGACATTAAAACCAGACCAGACCAAGAAATACATTTAATTAACTTCTTTTTCCCCTTTTTTCAAAAATTCTCTCTTTTTGATCCTATCTTCTCCTCCTCTTTATTTTCACTTTGGGGTTTGTCTGTCTCTTCTATTATGAGTCTAAGCGTCTTACTTGCTGTTCAATAGTTTTTTCTTATTTTGTCTCTCTGTGAATTTCTCTATTCGAAAAGAACCGTGGTTTTCCTTTTCCTTTGTTTTGTTAGTGCTAGCCTGCTAGGTCAGGGAAATAAAAATTATGGGAAGAACACCTTGTTGTGATAAGAAAGGTTTGAAGAAAGGTCCATGGACGCCTGAAGAAGATGAGGTTCTTGTTGCCCATATCAAGAAAAATGGCCATGGAAGCTGGAGAACACTCCCTAAGGAAGCTGGTAAAAAACTTATATTCTTCTTCCTCTTTTCCTCATTTCGTGAGATTCCTTAGAGAGATTTTGGAGAAAGTTTTCATCTTTACATCAAGCTTTTTTACTCCAAAACTCCATTTCCATTTCTTAAAGAAGAAAAAGTTTTCATCTTTATGTAAGGTTTTTTGGCTTTTGGAGTACCTTCATACGGGACTAGGGTTCTTGAGTGATTTCATGGAGGAAAAGCGTTTCATCTTTATAAGTTTTTTGTTTTCATGGAGGAAAAGCGTTTCATCTTTATAAGTTTTTTGTTTTGGGCTACAGGTTTACTTCGCTGTGGAAAGAGCTGTAGACTGAGATGGACGAACTATCTACGACCAGACATAAAGAGAGGTCCTTTCACTGCTGAGGAAGAGAAACTAGTTGTCCAGCTCCATGCCATTCTCGGCAACAGGTCTTTGTTTTTTACTTGCTTCATCAGCGCTTCCGCTCTAGCTTATTCTACATTGTCTGATTTCTTGTTTTCTAAGGTGGGCTGCAATTGCAGCACAGCTCCCAGGAAGAACAGACAACGAGATCAAGAACTTATGGAACACTCATTTGAAGAAACGTCTTTTAAATATGGGTCTTGATCCCAAAACCCATGAGCCAATAACTTCATTTGGGTTAGCCAAGCAAGCTCCATCTTCTCCCACAACTCGACACATGGCTCAATGGGAGAGCGCTAGAGTTGAAGCTGAGGCAAGGCTTTCTAGAGAATCAATGCTCTTCTGCCCTTCTTCCTCTGGAGCAGGAGTAAAAACTGATTGTGATCACTTCTTACGCATATGGAACTCAGAGATTGGTGAAGCTTTCAGGAATCTTGCTCCTTTAGATGAATCAGCTACTAGTCAAAGCCCTTGCTCTCGGACAACATCCTCTTCATCTGCACTTCAGAAGAGCTCAACAAAGTCTTTTGGAGGGAAAGAGGTTACTGTGGCGATTCATGGTTCTGATTCTTCCCCATATTCAAATAATCTAGAGGATGACTCAACAGACTCTGCTCTTCAACTTCTGCTTGATTTTCCAATAAGTGATGACGATATGAGCTTTTTGGAAGAGAACATTGACAGCTACACACAGACTCCTGTTGGTGTTGTTCCCATGGTTTCTAAATTCTAATCTTATGAAAGCCTAGCTAAGATAAAGTTTGAAACTTTGGCTCTTTTTGGTCTTCTGATTTTTGGGGATCAGAAGTAGGGATATAGTATCTATGTAAATCAGCATTAGTTCAGCAGAAAATAACTCCTTGACTTGAGTCATCGATCTTCTCTGTGTGATCGATTTGATGATAATGCTTGAGAAAAATGAAACAATGAACAAATATATTTCACTCTTTGACGTTTTTCACACACCAAATCAATATACAAACAAGATTACAATCACATTGGAGAGAACAAACAAATTGTAACACTTTACAGTTGAAAACACATGAAACTTGATTTGCAAATTAATAAGATTAGAAACACCCACAAGTTGCCTTTGGAACAGTTCCAGTGGCTCTGTATTTAGCAGCAGTTTCTTCTGCTTTGAGAATGTCTTCTCCACGCTTAGCTTCGACCAATGCCCTTCTCTCTTCTGCTTCCTTGTGAATCGCTGCAACCTTGTTCTTCATCCTCTCTGCATACTCTGCTTTCTTCTTCTCTAGTTGCTCCTGCAGTCCAAACACATTTCAAATTATTACACTTTCATCACAATCACACTAACACAGTTTTATCTCTGTTACTCTATATTGCTAAGTTTATTTATTATACCTCGATTTTCTTGAGCTGCGCTTCAACAGCGGCTTTCTTGCTGTTTTCCCAAGCAAGAACATCAGAGATCTTCTTCTCGGCTCTGTTCCATTTCAATTTGTTACCAAAATCAGACAAAGAAACCTAAATAACAAAACCAGTAATAAGAAGCTAGTACTCTCTCTTACTTGTTCTCTGCTTTGCTCTTTTCGCTGTCTTCCCACGCTCTGACGAAAGACAATCTCTTCTCCTTTGACAAATCAGCTAGCTTAACATCTAAAATACAAAAAAAAATAAAAAAATGAAGCTCAGTAACTTGCACAAAACATAAATTCACAACCAGAAAGTAGTCATATAGTTTAATTGTTGTTTTAAGCTCACCTCTATCGAGAGAAGCAGACGAAGATTTGGTAGGTGCAGGCTCCTCTACAGGTTCTGGAAAAGAATCTCAATTCTATTAGGATAACTTCATAAACATCAACTTCCCTAAACGTGACACAAAGCGCATACAGAACATATGGCATATACATAGAATTGGCAACAAAACAACAAAAAAATAACCAATTAAGCACACAATATAAAGGCGTTTCATTTCAACAATTGCAAATATAAATCTCGAGATTGCCATATTATAATGTTTAATCGTTTTGCAAGAACCACTTTTTTATATAATCTCTGGGGAAACACAATCCCAATAACATAATTCTCTGCAGAAAGCTCTGAAACCAATAATAAATCCTAATTGCTTTAAAAAAGAGTCCAAAATAAACTCAACCCCAAAACCCATAATTTATCATCAAAGCATAAGAGACCAAAACCATCAATAATTAATATTATGGCCCTAAAGAGATCAGATAAATAACTTACGCTCAACAACGGCAAGGGCTTTGGAATCATCCGAAATATGCTCCTGAGGTGGGTCTTGAATTTTCTCCTCCGTAACGTCTTTAGTGACATCAGCCGGAGCCGGAGCCGGAGCCGGAACAGGGGCTGGAGCAGGAATCTCCACCGGAGCTGGAGCCGCAACCTTGGCCGGAGACTCTGTGTCTAAGGCTATCTTCTGCTCCTCTGCCATTGTCTCTCAGCCGCCGAAGAAACAACCAGAGAGAAAAAAGAAAAGAAAAAAAAAATCAAAGTAAAAACGAAAATGGAATGACAAAAAAATTGATAATTAGGTATATTTCTATTTTCCAAACAACAGAGATTAGCTGACACCGTGGAACCTATTAACCGTGAAATTTGTTTAAACTTATCTAACTTTTTACATCCGTTGATCTTTCAAGTAAGTAGATCCTACGGCTTTAAGCCAATGATCCGTTGTGGATCCACGTGAACTACAATGCACCTGATCACAAAACTCAGCTTGCCGACAGACAGGCAATTGCGGTTAATCCATGCCACGTAATGAAATATTCCAAAAAAGACATAAAAAAATACAGACTGTTTTGAGAGAATAGTCGATTAAAAAACAAAACAAATTTTTTACTGTTTTGAGAATAATTAATAATTTAAGTGGATTTTCTAATTAAATAATAATATGTCTGGACAAAAAGCGTGACGTGGAGGAAGACACGCTGGAGACAGATAAGATACAAAAAGAGAGATGTTTTCTTCTGAGTTGTTTTGCTCTATTGGCGCGTGGACATTATCCCATCAATTGGATATTTTAAGGAGCGCGTGTAATGATTGATGAACGATTACGGGCAAGTAAGATGGGCCTGATTTGGTTGGGCCGATTTCACATTAGTTAGGAGATTATCCATTTCCAAAAAGAGGAGAGAGATGGACAAGGTTTGTTGACCAACTCTACCCCACAACATTTGTTGACTAAACTACACTGAGACTCTCTTACCAAGTTTCTGCGCAGTTTCTTCTGTAGATATGCATGAGAAACCTTCTCGTAGTTGTAGAGCATTCCTAATTTCATGATTTTTGCAGTGTGATTTCCCATCGAGTTTAAAACAAAATTTTAAAAGGTTTTGCATGATACCCATTCGCCTTGTAACCCGTATAAATCATACTTATACTCTTTTAAGTCTTAATACAATGTTATTTTTAGTTTTTTTTTTTTGGGGGGGGGTGGGGGGGGAAGAAGCTATCTCTAGAAATGGCCTAATCACAGTTAATTTAGCTCCTATATGCCCCATGATACTTTAAAGGGCTTTTAACAGAGACCCTTTTAGTGAACGAATGAAGATTTTAGTGACTGAAAAGTAAATCTTAGATTGTTGATCTTTTAATGTCTACGAGACTTGAGGCTTGCCGAAGTTAGACACGCTACTTATAGATTTATAGTGCAGTTGGCCACGTTACAACTTGTATTTGTAGGTAGTTAAAAATTACAACATATTGACTTGTTAGAACGAGCCACGTTAAATCATTGGGATTTAGTTAGACTAATTGATGAGAAATTCAGGATAGTTGTCTAGTGATGAGTATTTAAAAACAATATATATATTTATATACTAGGGTTTAATTTGTTTGGTAACCTAAAATATATATATCATGATTGAAGAAACGTGCGTAAGTGAACCAGCCAAAACCTCTAAATTAAAAAAATCACAAAATTAAACATGAGACGAAAGAGCCAAAGTGCTTCAAGACTCGGGTTCTGTTCCTTAACTAGTCTCGTATCTCATTGGTCTTTTTCTCGATTCTTTCTTCAAAAAAAAATGCAGATGAATAACATCGCAAAACAACGTAAAACGGTGTCGCTCCCTGGAAAAAGCATTATGAAAGCAACTGTTTTCATCGTCGCTTCTCTATTCATTTCAGCTACCCTCTTGCACTTCTTGGGCTATCTCCATTTTGTGAGTTTTATAAATCCAAAATCCCTAACCTTTAGATATATCTCAGTCTTATCATTTTTTTTTTGCTTTCTTTCAGAATGTTTTTGCAGGTTTCAAGCTAATAACAAAGACAAATGAACCCAAATTCCCATACCGATGCGACGTCGCACAGAACCAATCACATCAAACTCATCATTACTCCCATAATAGCTTCTCGAGATTAAATCCAAACCGTTCACAACAAACCACGTGTCCTTCTTATTTCCGTTGGATCCACGAGGATCTGCGGCCGTGGAAAGAAACGGGGATAACTAGAAGGATGGTCGAAGAAGCGAGCAGGACGGCGCATTTTAGATTGGTGATCCGTAACGGGAAAGCGTACGTTAAGAGATATAAGAAGTCAATCCAAACACGAGCTGATTTTACTCTGTGGGGAATCGTACAGTTGTTACGGTGGTACCCTGGGAAATTACCTGATCTTGAGCTCATGTTCGACGCTGATGATCGTCCCGTCGTCCGATCTGTTGACTTTATAGGTCAACGAGACAAGGAAGCACCTCCAGTTTTCCGTTACTGTTCTGATGACGCCAGCTTGGACATTGTTTTTCCTGATTGGTCCTTCTGGGGATGGTACGCAGACCCAACCACATTGCTGGGCTTATTTTCCATTTTAAGACTATTAATGTGGGCTTTTTAATGGGCCAGGGCTGAAGTGAACGTAAAGCCATGGGAAAAATCGCTGGAGGCGATAAAAGAAGGGAACAATATGACGCAATGGGAGGATCGCGTGGCGTATGCTTATTGGAGAGGCAATCCTTATGTTGATCCTACGAGAGGAGATCTTCTCAAGTGTAATGTTTCTGAACATGAAGACTGGAATACTCGTCTGTATGTTCAGGTTTTCCCAATATTTCAATCTCCAAAAGATTTTATAATCACATAAAGCAATATTTATTTGATAGTTATCTGAATTTGAATAATTAATGGTTTTAAAGGATTGGGATAAGGAATCAAAAGAAGGGTTCAAGAACTCTAACCTAGAGAACCAGTGCACCCACAGGTAAAAAAGGAGGTTTACTCTATACATTTTAGTACGTTTTAAGTTTGAATACACATGATCCAAACCTTCTAAGCATTGTTTTGGGGGGTAATATTAATTACTGCAGATACAAGATATATATAGAAGGATGGGCATGGTCGGTTAGTGAGAAATACATAATGGCATGCGACTCAATGACTTTATATGTAAAACCAAGATTCTATGATTTCTACATACGAGGAATGACGCCATTACAACACTATTGGCCAATCAGAGACGATTCCAAGTGTACTTCTCTCAAATTCGCCGTACATTGGGGGAATACCAATGTGCACAAGGTCCATTTTACACTAATTAAAGATTTATTACATTTTGACCTTTTAAGTTTGATTTGAATCAAGTTAACCCATGATATTTTGTTGTTGTTGTGTAGGCTCGTGAGATAGGGGAGATGGGGAGTAGATTTATAAGAGAGGAGGTGAATATGAAGTATGTGTATGACTACATGTTTCATTTACTGACAGAGTATGCGAAGCTCTTGAAGTTCAAGCCGGAGGTTCCTTTCGATGCGGAGGAGATCACGCCGGATAGTATGGGATGTCCAGCGACGGAGCGGTGGAGAGATTTCATGGCGGAGTCGATGGTAATGTCTCCAAGTGAAGAATCACCTTGTGAGATGCTTCCTCCTTATGACCCTCTAGAATTAAAAGAGGTGCTTGAGAGGAAAGCTAATTTAACACGTCAAGTTGAGTTATGGGAGGACCAATACTTTCAAGATCTTACCAAGAAACCATAAAACTTTTTCTTTTCATCAGTGAATTTACGAGTTACAAACGATATTTGATTATAGAAAATAAATTAGGATTTTCCTCGATCGTTAATTAAATACATAAAATTAGAAAACATGTCAGAATATTTCGAATTTTTTTTTTCTAAGTTGGTCTAAACTTGACCAAATACCTAACCATATCACCACAAAAAGAAAAAGAAAAAAACTTAAAATACTACCATGCGTAAATAATGTACAAAGTTTTTCAAATTATGTACGTAGCTAACGAGGGGTTGACAATCTTAAGCTAACTATTACGGATTCCTATACCTTAATCACGTGTCATTGGTTTTAATCATATGATAAAATGGGATTATTTTCGGAAAATAGTATTACATTACGAATTACGAGTCAAGTATTGGCCAACTCCTCGAGCTTTTTGCGTTATTAACTTATTTGCAACGACTCTTTGGTTAACTTAAAAAAAAAAAGATGCATGGAAATAAAAGTAACATCGAACACGCAACGTTAGAGGCTGAAAGAGGTTGACTTAATTAGGCTTCGCTTTAGTTCTCCTTCAAGTCTTCATAACTTCCGCTCTAATCAGTGTCAGCATAGTCTTAATTAAACTTATACTTGTATTTGTGTAGAAGAATATACAAATTCAACCCCAAATTTTTTTATTTTTTTTTTCAACCTCATAAAGAGACCTGTGAGAAGTGAGTGATTGGGTTCACTTTAAGACCCTAAACTTTGCGAGCTAGTCTTCTCTAGCTGACTAGCTCTCTCTCCCTCTCTAGACGATCTTATTATCTTTCTTTTCATCTTCTGTTCGATGGGAGAGAGCATACACGTGGCTCAATCCACAGGATATCACCATCAGAGACAACAAAACCAATTTGTGATGAATTCGAGCTCTAAATTATCAAAGACATGGGTCACAACGACAATCTTCATCTTCGTTTTCTTCATCATCGTCTTTGGCGCTTCTCTTTCTTGGTTGGATATGGTATACAATTTTTATCTCTTTCTTAGTATGATATGGCATACAATGCATATAAATATTTCAGAAATATGCTTTTAAATTGCCTTTGAAAAAAAAAATGTATATATAAATAAATAAATGATGTAGTGAATTGCATAAAAGACATATGTTACCGTTAATTAATTAGTCCAAATAGGTTTGAGCAAACAGAAAGAGACATCGTTTAATTCGTACCCATTTCTTCAATTTGTAGCATTGATATTTCCTATGAATGTTTAGTTTGTATTAGGTACTGAGAGTAGAATCCAAATATCGTCAATATCCACAAGAAACACCAATAAGACAAGTAGCCCCAAGAACATCATCAAGATCCCATTAAACTGCACATCACTCAACAGCAACACCACACAAACATGTCCTTCAAACTATCCAACCAAGCCAGATCCAGATATCTCTTCCTCGGAAACTTGCCCTGACTACTTCAGATGGATCCAACAAGACCTAAAGGTATGGGAAGAGACAGGGATCACAAGGGAAACACTAGAGAGAGCAAAACCAAATGCTCATTTCAGACTAGTGATAAAAGCAGGGAGATTGTATGTTCATAAGTACGATAGGGCTTATCAGACAAGAGATGTGTTCACTATTTGGGGGATCCTTCAGCTCCTGAGAATGTATCCTGGTCAAGTCCCTGATCTTGAGCTTCTCTTCCTCTGCCATGATAAACCCGGTGTCTGGAAAAGAGACTTTAGACAAGAGGACAACACCACGTGGCCTCCTCCGCCGTTGTTCCATTACTGTGGGCACCGTGATGCATACGACATCGTGTTCCCTGATTGGAGCTTCTGGGGTTGGTACGTAAGTGTTTTTAGAATCAAATCACATACTTTTCGGATTAGCAGCTCGCTGTTATATACACTACATATAGCCTTAGATATAAGTAAATCATAAAAGGAATAAATAATAACGAAAAATGTATATGTATAATTAAATAAATTACTTCAAATTAAAATGATACAAAAAACAAATATTATATTTTCTTTTTATATAATTTGTAGTAATTAATTAAAAATATAGGAGAATAAAATTAAAGTAAGTGATATATATATGATAGGCCGGAGGTGAACATAAAGGAGTGGAATAAGTTATCAGAGGCGATCAAAGAAGGGAACAAACAGATAAAATGGGAAGATAGGGTTCCTTACGCTTACTGGAAAGGGAATCCTATGGTTTCTATTTCAAGAAGAAACTTTATGAAATGTAACTTTTCGGACAAGTATGATCCCATGGTTCGTCTCTATGTCCAGGTATACATATCTATCTATAAATTTGTATTCATACATATATATCGGAAACTGTTATCGAGTTTTTGGTCTTGAAACCACTTAATCTGAAATCAAACAACATGTGATTTTAATATACAATTGACATGGACATTTAGATTTCGTTGTCGTGTTTATTTCAGGACTGGAAAAGAGAGAGTAGGGCAGGGTTCAAAGGATCAAATTTAGAAGATCAATGCACCCACAGGTGTATGTAAATATATGTTTGCAAAATGATCGATTTAACAAACTAAATATATAGCTAGCACCGTTGTTGTCTTGTTGAGATTTGGATTTGGTAATGAAGGTACAAGATTTACATAGAAGGGAATGCATGGTCAGTGAGCGAGAAGTACATATTAGCATGTGATAGCATGACTCTACTGATTAAACCGGAGTTTTATGACTTCTTCGTAAGAAGTATGATCCCAATGACGCATTACTGGCCCATCAGACCTGACCATTGTGGTGATCTCAAGTTTGCTGTCGAATGGGGCAACAACAACACCGACAAGGTAACTAGCTAGTAAAAAATTAGAAGTATCAATTAAATTCTAATTTGAATCTAAGTATCTTGCATTATAATAATGTTTTATGTCTCATGATGCATGATCTTATATATACATCAATATATATAGGCGCAAGGAATTGGAAGGCAAGGAAGTGAGTACCTGATGAAGAACCTAGAGATGAAGTATGTATATGATTACATGTTGTATGTGTTGCAAGGCTATGGTAAGTTGATGAAGTTGGATGTGACAGTGCCTGAAAATGCCACTGAAGTTTGTTCGGAGACGATGGCTTGTCCGATTACAGACGGTGGACTGATTAGGCAGTGCATGGATGACTCGTTGGTTATGTCTCCGAGCGTCAAGGCGGCTTGTGATCTGCCACAACCTTATAGTGACGATGAGATGAAGAGTTTTCTTGAGAAGCAAGAAACTGCGGAGAGAGAGACTGGGAAGTGGACCGATGAGTATTGGGAGGTCCAAAACAAGATTTTTCAGCAGTAAACCTTATAACTGTGAGTCGCTAAGTTATTAAAATGTTTGTTAACTGTGCAAATTTTAGTTAATTACTTTGGTTTGATTCAGCATGTGTCTAAATTAACCAATAAATGTGTGCATAAGGTATGTATAATTGATACAAACATATTATAAATCGAGCAAATACTATATTTTTAAGAATGACAATGAAATAATTGTTTGTTTCCCCCTCATCTTTTGTAATTTGGACGTCTAGCCGATTGATAGAAACGTTTAACACTTTAGAATCTGAAAATATATGTAAAATAGACTGAGTAGAATTTGGTTCTTCTACAAGAAGTTCTTTGAGAAGAAATTTAATTTAACACGTCTTGTTAGTGGGAAGGACCAATACTTCCTTGATTAGACCAATAAAAACCTTGTTTTTTTTAAATGATCATTAGCATTTTGTCTAATATATTTTTCAACTTATACTTTGATGTTTGATCCTACTATTATTTAAACGGTTTTACACTTAACTAATATTTATGTATAATGATCTTCTTATATTCTCAAATAATTAACTGAACCCTTTTAAAATTAGTTTGCCAGAAGAGATATACTTATAAATTTATCATGCCTTGTGTTAGTGTATAAAACCTATTAAAATTATACGATTAATGAGAGAGTGAAGGAATCTCCAGCTAATTTTACAGATTAGTAGACCTTAACACATGAGATGCACTGACAAGACTTGAAATTTTTAAACCGGTCCCCAGCCTGGTCTTTTTGTGTTGCTAATTTTTTTTTTTTCTTTTCGCTTATGCGTTTTTATCAACTTAATTTGTTGCAAAATGACTCTCAGTTAGTTAGTTACATAATTACAACAAGATGGAATGAAGCTTGCTCGGATGTTTGTGACTTGATATGATTTGAATTTGATTATGTAAATGGAGTTTCTTTTTTCGGAATATCGCATATAATTTTCTTTTAATAAATAGAACATAGGAGGTTTTTATCTCTTATCCATTAGAAAAAAAACAAGATGAAATGAAAAAAGAAGATATGGAACGTTACAAACCCTTCATCGATTCTAGTTTGTACATATGGATAGGATGATGTGATTTTTTTTTTTCTCTGTTTTGCTTTGGCATGAAGTGAAACTAATTTTGTCAAAGTAAATTTAATTACGGAACTTTCGAGGGTAATATTATCAAACAGAATTAAGATAAGGTAGAAACTAGTCCTGGGTTTGGCCTATCCCAATCCCTAAACCTTTTTTTTTTCTCCAATACGTCAATCTTTTAGTTTAGACCAATAGAAATTTCTTTCACTTTTTTCCTTTCATAGAAATTTCAAACTTTTTGGCCCATCTTGATCGCTCTGTTCACTCGTCCTTTTTTTTTCTTCTAATCACTTATGTTTTTGTGTGTGTGTGTGTTAGAATCACTTGTGAATTGTGTCTTATCTCATCTTACATAGAAAATCAAATCTAAAGCATATCTCCAAAAGTATAGCTTAACTTTTTTCAGAATATATATTTGGTTCTTGAAAAATGCATGATTTCGAATTTCTCTCCTTGCTGCTAATTTATTAAGATCCCCCACGGGTTCCATGAGTCTATTTCATTAAAAAAAATTTTTTTTAAAAACAAAAGTGGTCAGAATTAGTTATCTCAAAATTAATTAACACGGAATATAATAGTATTGCTATATTCATATATATCGAGACTTTCGATGGTTTGACTTTGAATTAGGCGTTCTCTGTGGTTTCTCCTTAAAGCCTTCATGAACCAATTCAGCAGTACTAAAGTCATGATCATCTTAAAGTTACTGCAAATATCCTTTTTTTTTGCTTATGCTCAAACTTAAGAGTCAGCCTAATATTAGCTTAGCTAGATCCCAAAACCCTTAGGTTAATTCATTATAGTATATTCTCTACCCCATAAAAGAGATCCATGACCAGTGAGCTCTGTTTCACAAGTTTTTCTTAATCTCTCTCTCTCCCTCTCGCTCTCTCTATCTATTTTCCCGTTGTGAATTTTTGTTCGATGAGGGAGAACACACACATGGCTCAATCCACAGACGATCACCATCAACAGAGACATCAAAACTCAATAACGAGTCTAAGCTCTAAACTTGCAAAGACATGGATCACCACCAAAGTCTTCATCTTCGTACTCTTCTTTATCTTCCTTAGTGCTTCTGTCTCTTGGATGTATACGGTATATTTATTTTTCTCTTTCTCGTCATGATCTTTCTATTATTGGCTTAATATAAGTAACACGTTGAAAAATAAAGATTAGGCTATGAAATACATACGATGGAGTGTCTATTACTTTTCTGTGTGCGTGTGTGTGTTTTTTTCTCTGCATCTACTATTTGAACCATTTAAATATTTACATTCATATTTTGCTACTTATAAACTTTTTTTTTGAGTACTTAATCATAAACTTTTCTTCGGAAGTTGGATCTTTATTAGTATTTAAACATGGTGCATGTTTGTTACCTGTTGATAGTTTCTATTAGGTGAGAATCCATTCCAAGTAACATCAATATTCACAAGAAACACCAAGGAAAGCCCTACCACAGCAACAAAAACAATTACAGATATCCCCAAGATCATTATCAAGATCCCATTGAACTGCACATCACTCAACAGCACCACAACACAGACATGTCCTACAAATTACCCAACCAAGTTCGAACCAGCCATCTCTTCCTCGGAGACATGTCCCGACTACTTCAGGTGGATCCACCGGGACTTAAAGGTATGGCAAAAGACAGGGATCACAAGGGAAACACTAGAGAAAGCAAGACCCAATGCTCACTTCAGGCTAGTGATAAAGTCAGGGAGATTATACGTTCATCAATACGAGAAAGCATTCCAAACAAGAGATGTGTTCACAATATGGGGGATACTTCAGCTTCTAAGGATGTATCCTGGTCAAATCCCTGACCTTGAGCTTCTCTTCCTCTGCCATGATAGACCCGCCATCTGGAAAAAAGACTTTAACAAAAAAAGTAAGGACACGTGGCCTCCTCCGCCGTTGTTTCACTACTGTGGTCACCGGGACGCATACGACATCGTTTTCCCTGATTGGAGCTTCTGGGGATGGTATGACCCATTCTCATCAGGACTATTATAAAATTATCTAAAATATGGTCAATAACGCATAGACGGCCCGTATCAAACACGTTATATAAATATTAGTTTATTTTCATATAGGCCTGAGCTTAACATAAAGGAGTGGAATAAGTTATCTGTGGCACTAAAAGGAGGGAACAAAAGGGTGAAATGGGAAGATAGAGTTCCCTACGCTTATTGGAAAGGAAACCCTGATGTTTCTTATATTAGAGGTGATCTTATGAAATGTAACTTCTCCGACAAGTATGATCCTATGGTTCGTCTCTATGTCCAGGTATGACATATCCAGATCATGAGTTCTAACATCTCCCCCATATATCTATAGGCAATTTCATGAATCATTGTGATCTTGTTTCTTGTGCTGTGTTAGAATTGGAGGAGTGAGATAGAGGCCGGGTTTAGAGGATCGAACCTAGAAGACCAATGCACTCACAGGTACATATGCATAATACATTTAATAGGTAACATATATGATCTAATAATTTTGTCTGCTTGTTATATTCATAAACATTTTTGGATTTGAATATGGACATTTAGATATAAGATCTACATAGAAGGCAATGCATGGTCGGTGAGCGAAAAGTATATACTCTCGTGTGATAGTATGACTCTGTTGGTTAAACCAGAGTACTACGATTTTTTCGTTCGGAGTATGGTTCCAATGAAGCATTACTGGCCCATTAGACCAAACAACAAATGTGGTGACCTCAAATTCGCTGTTGAATGGGGTAATAACAACACGGAAAAGGTAAACAATATCTAAATCAAAATTCCATGTAAATCAAAATCAGTGATGAATAATTGTCATCACTCTGTTAGTTTTTCGCAATTCTATGTGGAATCATGATTATTTTGTGATGAGATTAATCTATATTATGCAGGCACAAATCATAGGGAGACAAGGAAGTGAGTACGTGATGAAGAACTTAGAGATGAAGTATGTGTATGATTACATGTTGTATGTGTTGCAAGGCTATGGAAAACTGATGAAGTTGGATGTGACAGTGCCTGAAAATGCGACAGAAGTGTGTTCTGAGACAATGGCTTGTCCAATCACTGATGGTGGTCTGATCAGGCAGTGCATGGACGACTCCTTGGTTATGTCTCCAAGCGTCAAGGCTGCCTGCGATTTGCCTCCTCCTTATAGAGATTATGAGCTCAAGAAGCTTCTTAAGAAACAAGTACGTGCAGAAAAAAAAGTTGAGAAGTCAACCGATGAGTACTGGAACTTGAGAGGTCCAAACTAAGATTGATATTTTTAACAGAGTGAGAAATATAGCTGTAAAAGCCTGGTTTAATTTGTATGAAAATACTAAAGATAATCCAATTTAGCCAATTGACTAATATAATGTGTGGTGTCTTTTTTTTTTTCTTTTTTCTTTTATGTAGGTAAATACATTAATTTTATTAAATAAGAAAATATTTAATACACTAATTAGGGAAAAAAAAACCGAACTATTCGCTGTAAAAAAACAAAACAAAAGCGAACTATTCAAAAACAGAACATAATCAATTGCACGAAAATTCATTTAAGTTAACATGTACTGAAGATAATTAATGATTCATGAGATTCTAACAAGTGTTAAAGACGATTTGGATCCTATTTAGTATATTGGCAAATCTATCTTTTCCAGAAATATGCAGATATTATTATTTATTAACATGTATCTAAGTAAAAGTAGTAAATACATTTTTGAATAGAAAATAATACTATAAAATATGGAAATTATATTAATTGGTCAATAATATATCTTTACTGCATTGCCAAAAAAGATAAGATACAGACAGTGTAATTGTAAGACTAAAATCTAAAATACTAATTACTAATGTTTCATTGCATCAAATTACAACAAAGAAAATAAAATCTCTTCTATGATTTGGGGTTTCTGCTGAGAAATTAAACAAAATCATCTGAATCAGGCCGCAACGATGAAGATGAACAACAAAAGTTATAATCACAAGGCAAAAACGTATCATCAAAAACAGAGTTCCCATTCGAAATTAGCCATCATCACTACCTTCATCATCATCTTCATCATCATAATCGGTGCTTGGATGGATATGGTACTAATTACCAAGACTCTTTCTCATTTTTCATGTCAGTTTAGTCATTTGTATAATTTCTTTGACTGTTTGTATAGTTTGTAATAGGTAAGAGTAGAATCCACATGATGACGACATCAATATTGACATCTAGGAACACAAACATGTACCCATTAAACTGCAACACCACAGAAACATGTCCTGTAAACTACCCAAGGAGATTCGAACCAGCAACTATATCTTCCTCGGAAACTTGTCCTGACTACTTCAGATGGATCCAGCAAGACCTAAAAGTATGGGAAGAGACAGGGATCACAAGGGAAACACTCGAGAGAGCGAAACCAAACGCTCACTTCAGGCTAGTGATAAAGTCAGGGAGATTGTATGTTGACCAGTACGAGAAGGCTTATGAGTCAAGAGATGTGCTCACAATCTGGGGGATACTTCAGCTTCTCAGAATGTATCCTGGCCAAGTCCCTGATCTTGAGCTTCTCTTCTTTTGTCATGATAAACCCGTCATTTGGAGACGAGACTTTGGGCAAGCAGCAGAACCAAATGCCACGTGGCCTCCACCGCCGTTGTTTCAATACTGTGGCCACCGCGAAGCATACGGCATCGTATTCCCTGATTGGAGCTTCTGGGGCTGGTACGTATAGTGAGTGTTTTTGTTTACATTCTTAACATTTATCTAAAAAATTATAGAAAACCGTACGTACATTTTTCCAACAAAACCGTGAAATAACCTTTTCTAACTAATAAATTTGTTCTTGTTATATATAATTAAGGCCGGAGGTGAATATAAAGGAGTGGACCAAATTATCTGTGGCAATAAGAGAAGCCAACAAGAGGGTGAAATGGAAGGATAGAGTTCCATATGCGTACTGGAAAGGGAACTCTAAGGTTTGTCGGAAAAGAGGAAACTTTATGAAATGTAATATTTCCGATAAGTATGATCCCATGGTTCGTCTCTATGAGCAGGTACCTATAATGCGTGTGGATAGTTCTATCCTTAAAGCATGACTTTATTGCAAATTAGATTTGATGTGTAATTGTAATGTCGATTTCAGGATTGGGAGAAGGAAAGACATATAGGGTTCAAAAGTTCCAGCTTAGAAGACCAATGCACCCATAGGTAATACATATGCAATGACCAATACTAATACTAATCATAATTTAACTTCTTTTGGATAATTACAAACATTTTTGGGGGGGGGGGGGATTTTGTTTTGGACATTGCAGGTACAAGATATACATAGAAGGTCGAGCATGGTCGGTGAGCAAAAAATATATATTAGCATGTGACAGTATGACTCTACTGATTAAAGCACAGTACTACGATTTCTTCGCAAGAAGTATGGTTCCATTAGAACATTACTGGCCCATTAAATCTCACGACAACTGTGGTGATCTCAAGTTCGCCGTGGAATGGGGTAACAACAACACTGATAAGGTAAGCAACATATACTGTCCATGACCTTATACTTGTATAAATCATGGATGATCTTATAAATTTATAAATAGGCGCAAACTATTGGGAGGCAAGGAAGTGAATACATGATGAAAAGCCTAGAGATGAAGTATGTCTATGATTACATGTTGTATGTGTTGCAAGGCTACGGGAAACTAATGAAGCTGGATGTGACTGTGCCTCAAAACGCGTCCGAAGTGTGTTCAGAGACGATGGCTTGTCCGATCACTGACGGTGGTCTGATCAGGCAGTGCATGGACGACTCGTTGGTCATGTCTCCGAGGGTCAAGGTGGCTTGTGATTTGCCGCCGCCTTATGGAAATGATGAGCTCAATAATTTTTATGAGAAACAAGATAGTGCGGAGAGAACGGTTGAGAAGTGGAGCAATGAGTATTGGGAGATCCAAAACAAGACACTTGGACAAAGAAAGTATGTATAATCTTTAGAACAGAGTTATTATGAAGTCAGGATTTGGAATTTTGGCAGTGAAAAAGAATTAGTTAACAATTTTTGTTCTCCAATTCGGAGTTCAGTATATCAAATTATAAGTTTTTCAAAAGGTTAAGTCAGTCCTCTAATATATTACTTTTGGCAAAAGGTTAGTCGTACAACACCAACTACTTGCGAAACTAATATTGTATGTATATCATCACTTGTTGTTGTTATTATTATTATTTTTTTTTTTTGTCAACTATGTATCATTATTGGTTAGACGTCCTATTTTCACATACAATTATATAACTTTAAACCATGGAAGAATAATAATCGGAACCTTTTTGTTGTTGATAATTAAATAACAACGAATAAAATAGTTACAACTTACAAGTTAAAACATAGAATAATCGAACACCAAAAATGAATAAAGAAGGACCAATTATGAGATACAATAAGAGATGGATGTCAAAAAAAAAAAAAATAAGAGACTTGAGGCCTAATAATATGCAGACATTACAATACGAGTTTATATTGTAAACAGCCAGATTAATTATAAAGGTTATTCACTTCATTAATTTGCAAAAAAAATCTTATAAATTGCTGTGATTTCATTTTTTTTAACAAAAAGAATCTGATCATATGTAATTTTCATATAACCTATCAAATAGAGCATACGTATATTTAGAAAAATAAACCATGCAATTTTGCTAATTGTACTTAATAAGCTCTTACAATATCCCCTCCATTGTCCTCTCCAAATCTGACTTGTTGGCAACTAATGTTTTATTATTATTTATTATCATAATCCAAAAGTTCTCATGGTTGGCGTCACGATTAGAAACAGATAAGCGCGTTGCGTAATCATACTTAAACACGGTCAACGTTTAATTACATTACAATTTTCCATGAAATAACATTCGCCTAGTTGCCTTCTAATACAAGCCAAGTCTCCACGATCTCATTACTGTAGAAGAAGAAACTTTCAAAACCCTCTACTCTGTTTTCCTCAGGAATTTTTCTAGCAGTAAAAAAGATGAGTAATCATCTAAAACTTGGCGTTGAAGTCATAAGCGCGAGGCTCAAACCTAGAGATGACTATGGCGGTGTTAACGCTTTCGTCGAGCTACGATTTGACGATCAGAAAGTCAAAACCTCGACTAAGATGGACGACTCGAGTCCGATATGGAACGAGAAGTTCTTCTTCAACATATCTCAAACAGAGGATTTATCAAATCTTTCTCTTGATGCTTACGTTTACAATAAAACCAGCAGCATAACGAAATCATGTCTAGGTAAGATTCGAATCTTGGGAACTGCGTTTTTGCCGTACTCGGAAGCTGTAGGATGGCCTTACCCTCTTGAGAAAGAGAAATGGAGCATCTTCTCTTTTGCAGCCGCCAGTGGAGGTGAGCTTGCTCTGAAAGTGTTCGTCACTGATAACCCCTCTCCCAAGGTACCGAATCTAATCCCTACGAAGAAGATTCCTTCTAAAACAAGGCATAAAATCCACAATATCCCTAAAACGGAGAAGAGTAAATCTAGCCCACGAGGAAACCAGAAACCATCTCAACCACAACCGTCTGAACCGCAACATCTTCCACCGGAACCGCCTCGACGGGCACATGTTATGGAATCTTCTTGCATTCAAGAACAGAGGTTCGTTCCTCTTCCTCCGATACCTACAACTATGGGATTTAATCCGAATCCACCGGATTATTCAATCCAACAGACGAATCCGATTCTCGGAGGAGGCAAAAGAGCAAGACCAAGTGCTCATGATCTCGTGGAGCCAATGGAGTTTCTCTTCATCAAAATCGTGAAAGCTAGGGATCTTCCACACATGGACAAAACCGGAAGTCTAGATCCGTACGTCCAAGTCAAACTCGGAAACTTTACGGGCAAAACAAAACATTTCGAGAAGAATCAAAACCCTGTTTGGAACGAAGTCTTCGCTTTCTCCAAATCCGATCAACAAGCAAATGTTCTTGACGTCATCGTCATGGACAAAGACATGATCAAAGACGATTTCGTCGGTTTAGTCCAGTTTGATCTCAATGACATTCCGACACGTGTCGCACCAGACAGTCCTTTAGCTCCTGAATGGTACAGAGTCAACATCGAGAAAGGAGGCGATATCATGTTAGCTGTTTGGTTTGGTACTCAAGCAGACGAAGCATTCTCAGACGCGACATACTCAGACGCTTTAAACGCTGTTAACAAATCGAGTTTGCGTTCTAAAGTCTATCATTCTCCGAGGCTTTGGTACCTCCGTGTTAACGTCATCGAGGCACAAGACTTGGTTATCGTACCAGACCGCTTTCCAAATCCATATGTCAAAATCAAGTTAAATAACCAAGTGGTTCGAACCAAACCGAGTCACTCGCTGAATCCAAGATGGAACGAAGAGTTCACGCTCGTCGCGGCTGAGCCGTTTGAAGATCTGATCATCTCGATTGAAGACCGAGTCGCGGCTAATCGAGAGGAAACGCTGGGAGAGGTACATATACCGTTTAATAAAATTAGTAAACGGGTTGACGATAGCCGGACAGTGCCTAACCAATGGTTTAGTCTTGAGAGTGAGAAACAGAGACGAGTCAGATTTGGGACAACGAGGCTTCATCTGAATGTTTGTCTAGAAGGAGGCTACCACGTTCTTGATGAGTCTACTTACTACAGCAGCGATTTCAGACCGTCGATGAAAGAGTTGTTGAGTCATAAGCAGCCGTCTTTTGGTGTTCTTGAATTAGGGATCTTGAAAATTGAAGGTTTGAATTTGAGCCAAGATGGAAAGAAAGAGACGGTGGATGCTTACTGTGTGGCTAAGTATGGAACCAAATGGGTCAGGACCCGGACCATAACAGACTGTTTAAACCCGCGGTTCAACGAGCAGTACACATGGGAGGTTTATGAGCCTGCAACAGTAATCACAATAGGCGTGTTCGATAACAATCAGATCAACAGTGGTAACGGTAACAAAGGAGATGGGAAAATTGGGAAAATTAGAGTTAGAATCTCGACCCTCGAATCCGGAAGAATCTACACCAATTCCTATCCGCTTCTTGTTCTTCGACCATCAGGTGTCAAGAAAATGGGGGAACTGCATTTGGCGATTCGTTTTTCTTGCTCGTCCTATATTCAGATGCTAGTTCAGTACTGGAAACCGCTTCTTCCCAAAATGCATTATGCAAGACCGTTGAAAGTCGTGCAACAAGAGATTCTTCGGCAGCACGCCGTCAACTTACTCGCAACTCGGTTAAGTAGAGCCGAGCCGCCGCTTAGAAAAGAGGTAGTCGAATATATTTCGGATTCGAATTCGCATTTTTGGAGCATGAGAAAGAGCCGTGCAAATCTCTTCAGATTGACTTCGGTTGTCTCTGGCTTACTAGGAACCGGAGACTGGTTTCAAGATATATGCAGGTGGAAGAAACCTTTCGTGAGTACAGCTATACATGTACTCTACCTTGTGTTAGTATGTTTGCCGGAGATGATTCTTCCGGTGATGTCACTTTGTTTGTTCATGCTTGGGGTATGGAACTACAGGCTACGTCCGAGGCAACCTCCACACATGGACACAAGAATTTCATTTGCAGACAACATCCATCCCGAAGAACTTAACGAAGAGTTTGATACATTCCCTTATTCGTCTCAAGACCCGGGGATAGTAAAAATGCGGTATGAGCGGTTGAGGAGTATCGCGAGTAGAGCTCAAACTGTTGTGGGAGATATAGCAGGTCAAGGAGAAAGAATTCAGGCTCTAGTAAGCTGGAGAGATCCAAGAGCGACTTCGATCTTCATGGTACTTTGTTTGGTTTCTTCTGTGGTTTTGTATGTTGTGCCGTTTAAGGTTTTTGTTCTTCTCACCGGACTATACATCATGAGACATCCAAGATTCAGAGGAAAGACGCCTCCTGGACCGGTTAATTTCTTTCGGCGGCTTCCTGCTAAAACAGATTGTATGCTCTAGAATGCAAAAACATATAAGCAACAAGCGAAATTTTTTCCTGTTCATCACAAGTCAAGAAACCAAAGACTAATTAAAAGCTCGAAAACACACGAAGAATTCCTAAAATTACTAAGTCTTTTCTTTCCTAAACAACCAAATAGACTTTTTTTTCAAAGAGGTTAGCTCAAGTTTAAATCTTCTTCTCCTAGATTCAATGCTTATATATACATGAATCATCCACGCATAAGATCAATGTCGATATGGGCGTGATGCATATCCATTGACCTTGAACCGGTTGACCAAATGCCTACAGGAGTCTGAACAAGGTTTTGACTTTGCTGAGGAACAGGAGGTGACGCTGCTGCTGTGTTATCATTGTTGTCCAAAGCATCAGTATCTTGGACATCTTCAGAAGTTTCTTCTCGCTTTTTAGTCTTCCCTTTCGGAGCTGCCCAAATGAAGCTCCCAACGATGACCTTTTAAGGAGGCAAAACACAGGTAAAAAAAAGACGATATCTATATTCATGTAAAACATATGAATTTCTCAAGTGCAGGTCACCTGAACCGAACTTGCTGCTATTAGAGGACCTCCAATTCCACCACCAATGACACGACCATCGGGGCTAGCAAGTGAGACCGCTAGATTTCCAGTGCGGTTTGGGTAGTCATTGTCAGTTGTGTTCAGATAAGAAGTTGAGAGAGATATGAGCTCAAAACGACCCTAGAGATTATAATTTACAATCCAACATGAGTAATAATGTTTGTCTCTTCTAAAAGAAGATGTAATGTGAGAGAAAATATTCGATAAAACCTCGTATGTAATAGTTCCATGGGATGGTGGTGGCTGAAGAAGAGTTGCAGTAGAGACAGCACCACTAGCGGATAAGACACATATTGCTCTTGGACCTTGATGTGAGAAAGAAATAACCTTTGATGCAATGTCCTGAAACAACACAAAGAGTGTGATTATCTCAAAAACTAGAAGAAATATCAAAAAGAAAATAAACACATATTTGATCGAGAAGAGAGAAGGAGAGACATACTTCACCAATAGAAACTACAATTACGTGCGGTGTGAAGCTCATTCCAGACGATGAAGGCATCAATTCACCTTACAAAATAAAAAAATCGAAACAAACAACAGACCAGTCTTCAGAAAATTGACAGCCTTTTCTTTTTGTAATGAGAAACAAATGCAATAACATAGTTTAGGAGAAACTGAAAAGGCCAAGGAATAATTAAAGAAAAAAAGATTATATATTGAACTCAACAATTAGACATTATAAAATTCTCCAGCTTTAACTAATCCTTAAAAAGCCAATAACTGTTGGAATTAACGTCCCACCAATTTCAAAGCCAATATATATAATGTCCTCATCTGAAAACAAACTATATATATATATATGTATAATCAACTAAGCTCATGACTAACTTCCCACCATTTTCAGAGCCCATGTCCTTCTCGGAAAACTACATATACAACCAATAAAAAGCAAAGGTGAGATCTTTTACCAACAGTAGTTAGCCGTTGCTTCCTGCCGGAGCCAGGAGGTCTTCCACGGCCACGTTTGTTAGAGTTTGGAGAAACGTTGGAGACGGAAGGAGACAATGCCAACGAAACAGAACCATCTTGTCCATATTTCCTAGGCCGTCCTCTCTTGCGCTTCACAGAAGTGTCACCCGACGGAGGAGGAGCAACCGCGGCTCCCGCCGTTGCTGAAGAATCGGCCGGAGAAGACTCAACTTGTAAAGGAGGAGACACGAATCCAGCAGAGCCGCCACCAGGGTTCGGGTTTGGGTTAGACCCAAAAGGAGAGTTGGAATTGGAGAAATGGTGAAACCCTTGTGATCCGTGAAACGTCGGTTGAGTCTGCGGAGGAGGAGGACCTGAACCGGGATTTCCTCTTTGGATATAGTAAGAACCCGACCCGGATAACGCCATTGCTTCTCTTCGATCCATAAAAACTCTGACTTTATAACTTAGTTGGGGGACTCTCAAAAGGTTCCAACTTTTGTGGCTAATAGGCTACTAAATTTTGATTTGTAATTTACTTCTGAAAGAGAAAAAATGGATAAGAACAGAACAAAACCAGAATCTAAAGGGTTCGATAGACTTTTAAAGATACTAAAAACTTAGCGAGTAAGGCAACATGCAACAGAAAATCTCTCAAAACTTGTAAAAACAGACACAAACTTTGGTATCAACCTAATTTGGTTTAATGTAGCTTTAGTATCAAGCTAAATAAAATCTCAAGATGAAATAAGATCCACAAGGGAAAAAGGAACAATCTTTAAAAAAATTCTTCATCTCTGAATTTTCATTCTCTCACCGGAAGCAAGAAGCTTTTATCTTCCCAGAATCAAGCAATGGTGAAGGAAAAGGGTTGGTTACCTAGGGTTCTCTCTCTTTCTTGTGTGTGTGTAGGGAGGGGAGGAATGTGATGTTGCTTTTTTGCTTTACTGGGGTGACAGAGGGAAACAGAAACAAACAAAAGAAATATCCAATCAGATCCCTTCACCAAAAGAGTTGAAAGCATTTACTGTGGGTGTGGGATGGATTACATACACAACTACTATGGGATGATTTCAAATTCGAAAAATAAAAATTAAATTTGTTTCCATGTCTCTGACCTTTGACTGTAATCTCTCTCTTATAGACTTTCTTTTCTAGCATCTAGCAAATTTAGGAGGTATCCCATCATCATCTTTGTGTGTGTGTGTGTGTTTGGCTCCATCCTCAACGCTATAGGTTAGGTGCGTGCATCAAACGAAGCATTGGGAATGAGAGAGTGTATCTCACGCTCCTTAATTGGAGAGTGTATGAAAGTGATGTGATGTAGTCATCAAGACTTTGTTCCTCACTGGCTTCCACTTCATAGCTCTCTGTTCAATATTGATTGATGATGAATAAAAACTTGGCTAATCTTTCAAAATTTATGTCTTCAAAGATCTCTAAATCTTTAGATTTCAACTATATTCAGTTTCCCAAATTATTCTGAGACTAGAATTATATATTTTGGGAGGCATTAAGAGACAAATCACATGAATTAAAACTGCATTTTTGTTTGTAGGTCAAACAAGTAATCATTGTTCTTGTCTCTGTTCTGTGCACTTTTGTATCTTGAATTTTCTCTAAAATCCAAAAGTATCGAACCCAAGAAGAATCTATCAGACAATACAGAATCTTTAGTTTTAGAACTCATGCCCTGAAGATCAATAGTCTAAATTTGTTCCTTGGACTAACACATTATAGTCTTAAATAAACCGACGACGTTTTGTTAGTAACTTATATGGCCCGGGTAGTAGTAATGAATCAGGCCCAATAGTTAACACATTGAGGCCTAAGTCCTAATCTATTCCAGAGGAGACGATGTCGTTTTAATGCGGAACGTTAAACAATCCTCGAACAACCGTTTCAACTACCTTTTTCCTATTATCACTACTTGTTTAATTTCACCTCTCTTTTACTCCGATTTTGCAATTTGCTGCTGCTGCTGCTGCTACGCCCTACGCTTACGCAGCCTCATGTGTTCACCACCACTCCTCTTCTCCACCGTCGTCTCTACCAAACCCTAACCCCTAAAAACCCTAATTTTCCCGCCAATGTATCAATCCACAAATCTATCCGTTTCTTCTAGTTTCAATCACCGATCTCTCCTCCTCGAATCACGATTCCCTATCTTCTCCACCACCGGGTTCCGCAAATCCGTCAATCTAAAGCCTCCCCGCGTCTCATCGGGCCCTGATTCCGGCGATTCAGGTCACAGAACCTTAACCGAGCAGCTTGTCTTGCTCCTCAGAGCTGTCCCGGACTGGGCCGACGAGATTAAAGAGCGTGGGATGCAGCAGAAACGCTCTCTCTACACTCACGAGAAATGGGTCGAGCACAGGAGCTCCCTCCGCCATGTGCGACATCTACTCTCGAGCTTTTCATCACGCGTCATACTCTCTCTGATTCCACCTGTTTTCTTCTTCACAAGCGTCGCGGTTGTGATCGCCAGCTACAACTCCGCCGTGGCTTTGGATTGGCTTCCTGGTATTTTCCCTATTCTTCGATCCTCTTCGTTGCCGTATCAGCTCACTGCTCCGGCTTTGGCTCTTCTTCTTGTGTTTCGTACGGAGGCTTCGTATTCTAGGTATGAAGAAGGAAGGAAAGCTTGGGTTGGGATCATTGCTGGAACTAATGATTTAGCTAGGCAAGTCATTTGTTCCGTTGATAGCTCCGGTGATGAATTGATCATCAAAGATTTGCTTCTTCGTTACATTGCAGCTTTCCCTGTTGCTCTTAAGGTTAAATTTAATCTCTGCGTTGTGTCTAATGTTGGATTCTGGTAGTTAAAATTGGATTTGTGATTGATTAAATATTTTGTTTATTTCGTTTGCAGTGTCATGTGATTTATGGTTCAGATATCGCAAGAGATCTCCGGAACTTGATAGAAGCAGATGACCTAACTCTGATTCTTCAATCAAAGCATCGTCCACGTTGTGTAATCGAGTTCATTTCTCAGAGCATTGGATTGCTAAAATTAGACGATTCAAAGAGAGATTTGTTGGTAGGATTCTTGAATCCTTAACTCTCTCTCGGTTAATAGGGGATTACTTCTTGCTATGATACTTGGGAAAAGCTCTCAACCATAGAGTCTTACAGTGTCTGCTATATCTAATGTCTTGATTTCTGATATTTTGTGTTCCTTTTGCGTCATTGTAGGAATCAAAGATGCTCCATTTACATGAAGGCATTGGAGTTTGTGAACAACTGATGGGCATTCCCATTCCTCTCTCTTACACACGCTTAACCTCGAGGTTTTTAGTCTTTTGGCATCTAACTCTACCAATCATTCTCTGGGATGAATGTCACTGGATTGTCGTTCCTGCTACTTTCATTAGTGCTGCATCTCTGTTTTGCATAGAAGAAGTACTTTTTCCTCCTCCTCCTTCCACACTTAACCGTACACATTTAGTTGTTTATCCTCTTTTGGTTGAATCCTTTAACCATGAAACCTTCTTTTTTTTTTTTTGGTTTGAAACTCTGCAGGTGGGTGTTCTTATAGAAGAGCCATTTCCTATGTTGGCCTTAGATGAGCTTTGCGATCTTGTGCATAGTAACATCCAAGAAGCTGCTAAATCTGAGAAAGTCATACGTAACCGCATCATTGCAAAGATAAAGCTCCGTGAATTCAAGCATTCATCAAATGGTCGGCATAGACCTTGATTTCCACTTGTCGCAAGTAATGACAATCTGATGCATTCCTTGTGGGTATTTGGAACACGCCATGGCTTAGGTTAGTTTGATATTTACATATTGTATAGAACCACCTTATACCATTTAGGGATACTTTTACCTTTACGATTGTATATCTTCCTTTTGTATATATATACATATGCAGAGTCAACCTTTACATAAGTCATAGTTTGTGTCAAGAACCGCAATTATACCAATCTTTGCATGATTTAAAGTCGATCTACTATCTCTTAAACCAAATTCTACAGCCTTGTTGCAATGTGATCTGTTCCTATGAATAATGACTTATATGGAACTCATGAAAGACACAATTGGCAAAAAGTCGCTCATGAAAAGAAGAGTAAAAAAAAAAAGCTATAAAACAACTATGGCTGAGAACTGTGTGAAAATGAAAAAAATGAAAAAAGTGAAAAGAAAAAAAAAGGATTGAGCTCATTAAGAGCCCACGATTCTTGACACTTGCCTCAAATCCTCTACATGGTCTAGAAAGGTGTAAGCTATATGTTCCTTAAAGGCTTCCATTCCTTGGATTCTATATCTTGTGGTACTTTTTACTTTTCATCTCGGGATTGTAGTAGAGGAGGTAGTATGGGTCGGATATGTTGTCTGGCGACAACACGATTTCACCCCTACCAGTCGTTCCAACATACCTTAACTTGATATTTTGATGTAATTTCTGACCAAACTTGGTCTTTGCAACAATTTTCTTCCGATGAGGCCGAGGCGGAGGCCAAAGATAGATATAACTGAACCATTGATGTGTCTCGGCATTTTCTAGAACCCATAGTTGGATTCCAGGAGATGGCATACCATTGACCCTGTTGGGCAGGAGCAAAGCTAATATACCCTTGTAGTTGACGAGGGTCGACTGAGTACTATATGCACGTCCCATGTCATGAGTAAATCTTATACACTTGAATTTCTCAGATCTAAAGTCAAAGCAAACTACACCAGTCGTGTGTTCGTCCAAAAGGTATGCTAAGTAATACAAAGCACCGTTGATGCATATCCCATCGTATGCCGAATGTCCATTACCATCCAAAACAACACGTTCATGTCGTATGTTACATTGGATTTTTGTCCATGATGGATTATCAGTTCCTAATGTTAGAACTTCAACCTCATGCGGATAAAAATATGGCCGGTCATGTGTATGGGTCATGCACAATACTTTGAACTGTTTGCCGATGGGATCGTACCCAAGATAGCTTGTCACTCCCCGCTTTCTCTTTGTTTTCAGTTTGGGTAATGCCAAGGTTTCTCCTGTGCTAGGGTTACATATCAGTGGCACGTTAACCGTGCCTTGCTTTGAAGTACTGTGTTGATTTAAACCGCATACTAAACCACGAACCGGGCGGAATATTTCAAGGGGACGATTAATTGGGAAACTCATATGAATTTTGACTGCAGCTAAACGAGACGAACCCTGAGGCTTTGATGATGATAAGAAGAAAGTTTTGCCGTCTTTTAAACAGCTGAACAATAGCTTCGGGCGTGACAAAGAGATGGTGTATAATGATTCGGTGAAATCTGGCCTGTCCATTAAGGAATCCCATAGCTTCGAAACGCAACGAAACCTCGCTACAGATTTCACAGGCGATCTCACCAGTATCTCAATAACGAGATCAATCGGGATAGATTCTCCGATGACTTTTTCTTCTTCATCTGAAAAACATGATCGATTGCACCGCCGTTTTTTCATGTCTTTGGCTGACACGCTTCCCGGAAGCCCTATTGTCTTGTGTTTTTTTTTTCTTTTCTGATGCACGTTTGATAAACCTTGGAATATTTATAGATGTCTCGTTTTTCAGCTAAAAAATAATAATATAATATAAGGGTCTATGTATATAATATTTGATAGTACGAGGGTCTGAATGCGAAGTATAAAAGAAAGAAAGCTGGTGTTTAGTTGTAAGAAGAAGTGATAATACTAATTAAACCATTTATTTAAGTTCCTAGCAGAACTCGTCTTTGATGGTAAAGCGTACAACAAAGTATGCGGTCTTTTAGAGTAAGAAAATAAAAAACAAGCAACAAGCATTACAAACAAACAAAAATGAGCAGAACTTTAGTTGAATCGATTTTTCCTCCATCGTATCCGAGTTGTGTCTTGCTTGGAAAATCCATGAGGATGAACTAAACTGGGAACATAGACGCACGAATTTCCGGCAGTTGTTTCATAAGCTGTTTGGCACTGATCCATGTCTTTATCAAATCTGAAAATGTGAATAGATTTGGCTAATTCCTAAAAATTACAAAAGCCAATTCCTCATGACCATAAGAGTTTAAAAAGCTATGAAAATTTAGCTAAAACAACCATCGCTTATAAGTGTATGAAACACTAAGAAAACGTCAACACCATCTACATATGTATAATACGTATGCAGATTCTACCTTTCTACAATTTTTGCATGATTTGTATATGATCCATATATCAACAAGCTCAAGAACTAAATTCTTTAGCCCTGCAAGATGACTAACATTCAAGTAATTTGCAAAATCGATTGCTCATAAAAAGAAGAATTTAAAATAAACAACCATAGCTTACATGTATTGTATGAACCACTGATAAAAGATGAAGACCATATCACGAAAACATAAAAAGAGATATATAGTATTGTTAACCAAATAAGATAGAAAACGGACTATGTTACGGGACCACGATCCACAAGCTTCACATCCTCCACATGGTCTAGAAAGGCGTAAGCTTTATGACCCTTAAAACTTTCCATTCCTTTGATTCCAACTATATTGATAGTGTTCCTCTCCGGACTGTAGAAGAGAAGGTAGAAAAAGTCGGATATAGTGTTTGGTGACAAGACAATGTCACCTTCAACAGTGGTTCCAACAAAACAGAACTTGGTCTTTACATCATATATATTCATCCAGGGAGGAGGCAAAACGTAGATATAACTCGACCATTGGTGTTTCCCGGCGTCTTCAAGAACCAATAGTTGAATACCAGTGCATGCTCTGTCGTTAGAATAACTCGGATGAAGCTTACCTAATCTACCCTTGTAGTTGACCAGAGTTGGTTCAAGATGTCCTCCCGAGTATGTTTCCACGACATGATCAGCTCTCTTGATATAACTGAATTTCTCAGATTCCAAATCAAAGCGTACTACATCAGGATACCCGTTAGAGACAGCATACACCACGGCTAAGTAATACAAAGCACCATTGATGCATATCCCATCATATTGACAAAAGCCATTTGTTTGCTCCACAACAGAAGGATGATGTAGTATGTCACATTCTATCATTTTCCTTGATGAACCTTTCGTCCCGGTTTTAAACGTCAGAACTTGATGCTCTCCAGAATGAGAGAGTCCTCCGGATGACCGAGTCATGGACAATACTTTGAAACTTTTGTCGATAGGATTATACCCAAAAAAGCTTATCACTGCCTTCCTCCTTGTGTTCACTTTGTGTAAGGGAAAGGATTCCCCTGTGCTAGGGTTACATATTAATGGCACAGTACTTGTCGCCCCCTTGGTTTTTCGTCGATGTAAACCACATACCAAGCCACGAACAGGACGACAGATATGAGAGGAACAGTTGATTGGGAAACTCATATGAATATTGGCGGTTATAATAGACGGATCTTGAGGATGAGGTTGTGGTAATGAGAAGAAGACTGTTTCACCGTCTTTGAGGCATGTGAACAAAATCTTGGGACGAGACCAAGACAAGGTAAAGAAGGACTCTGTGAATTGTGGACCTCGCAGTGTGGACTCCCATAGCTTCGATACTTTACGAAATCTCGCTATAGACTTCACAGGCGATCTCAAGAGTATCTCGATTACCAGATCGAACGGGATCGGTTCAGGTTTCACTTCTTCATTCCTTGGATTCGAACAAGATCGTGTCTTGCGCCGCGTCATCATGGTGGAACCGCTTCTCTTAAAACCCTTATGACTCTTTTGTTTCCCCCCTCTCTGTTTAGTGGTTAAACCTAGCTAGCAGCCAAAACGCTTAAAACGTGGCTCTCAAGATCCTGGGTTTTTCGGATTTAAAATATTATATTAGGGTCTATATGTATAATATTAATAGTGTGAGGGTCGGGATGCGAAAAGAATTAGAAAAATGGCAGCTGAGCTGGCGATGCAAAACGATGCCGTTGTGGTTGCTTTAGAAAGTTAGGAGAAAGAAACTGATCTCTTCTTCTTCCTCCTTAGCCGGGAAGCTCACAAACGGAGAACTCTGCTGTTCCTTGAGACGTGCCCTGAAGGTAAGTTCTTTAGATTCCTCGCAATTTAGGCATCTAAAATTTCTTTGATTATCAAATTTACCCTGTCCTCAATCTCGTTTTTTTTTCTTCTGAGACAATCTGAGATCTGGGGAATGGGATGCTTTATAATCTGTTTCAATTCTGAAAATTTGCTTACAGAGCTATAGATATGATTGTTTCGTAGTTGGTTTGATTTCGTTATTGGTGGGTTTGACCTGGGGACTGTGATAGCTAAATAATTGGTATGCCTTTTTTTGTACATTGGATCTGTATTGTTTGGAATGCGATATGTATCTTCTTCTTCCACTGTTTCATTAGTTGTTATGGCAATGCTCTTGAATTCTTGATCACCAAGCTCACTCATGTAATAGTGTAAATTGCTGGGGTTAGCCATATCTGAGCCAGAATTTGTTTTACTTTTTTTGTTGCCACGAACAGGGTTCTTAGAATCATATTCGGTGGATCATTCACTATGTCATGTATAGTAGAGGAGACAGAACGTGCAGATCAATCAAATGAGACACAAATTGCGCTTATCAGTGGAGTTCCTGATGATATCTCAAAATCCTGCTTGGCTAGAGTTCCAAGAGAATATCACATGTCAATGAAATGTGTTTCCAGGAGATGGAGAGATTTTTTGTGCAGTGATGAATTGTGTCATTATCGAAACAAGTTTAACTTGGCTGAATCTTGGATTTATGCGTTGTGCCGGGACATATCTGGCGGTGTCTTCTTACACATGCTGAATCCGTTCTCATCCAGAAGATCATGGAAAAGAATCCATGAATATCCATATATCCCAAAGAGAGAAGGCATGGGTTTTGCAGCACTGGGTAAGAGACTGTTTGTTTTGGGTGGATGTGGTTGGTTAGAAGATGCTACTGATGAGGTTTATTGCTACGATGCTGCTATGAACACTTGGTTCGACGTACTACCTCCTCTTTCAACTAAAAGGTACTTATATTTCTTTGGATTCTTTATCTTTCCATTAGCAACCAACTCGATATTGTTCTTTCCAGTCTTTAATATTCCGATTGGATATGCAGATGCTACTTTGCTTGTGAAACGGTGGATGGAAAAATTATGGCAATTGGGGGGCTAGGATTGAATCCAAAAGCTAAACGAACTTGGGACATCTATGATCCTTTGACCAGAACCTGCAATTCTTTTTCCGATGCTAATATTGTCCCTGAAATAGAAGATTCATTTGTAATGGACGGAAGGATTTATGTTCGGGGTGGTGGATCTTCCGCTGCAGTCTATAATGCATCTAGCGGGATTTGGGAACATATGGAAGATGATATGGCATCAGGATGGAGAGGTCCGGCAGTGGTTGTGGCAGATGAGCTCTATGTTTTGGATCAAACTTTTGGAACTAAGCTAACGATGTGGTGCAAGGATAAGAGAATGTGGATTAGTATTGGGAAGCTATCTCAATTAGTGATGAAACAGCCTTGTCGGCTTGTTTCCATTGGGAATAGTGTATTTGTGATTGGTAAAGATTGCTCTACTGTGGTAATAGATGTCGAAAATGTGAGGAAGACGACAATGAATGGAGTGATGGTGTGTTCTTCTATACCAAAGACTTGGGAAGATGAAATAGATGTAATAAGTTGTAAATCTGTAGCCATATAGTGTGTAACTATCTACTTTGCTCTAAAATGCTTGTTTCTTGTGCAAAAAACATATGTTATTAATATGTTCATGTAAGCTTGTCTGAATCACAATACTGTCTTCGTGGTTCATGTAAAAGAATCCCCAAATCCAAATCTCAAAAGCTATTTGGATCTTGATTGTTCTATTGGGTGAAAAAAAGGTAACAAATATCCTGTAGAATACTGTATACAAATGAACATACTAATTTTCAATGTGGTTGGTATGCAAACGAACCGATTACAGTGAAGCTACCTTCTAAATTAGATGTGTTGCAGGCTGTGGCAAAACGCTATTCAGTATCTTTATCTTCATCTTGAGTTCTTCTAGTTTCCCCAACTCGTCTTTGCTCGATAGTGAGGTCTCTAGCATCCGATAGACTGGTTCGCTCACACACCTTCCTCTCTCCACTGTTTGCATCGAGCACTCAAATGCATCATTGGCTCTTCTCCGAGCGCACAGTGCAGTGGTAAGGAGATCCAATGCGTGACCATGAGGGCAATACCCTTTATCCAAGATATACTTCCACAGATCTAATCCTAAATTGACTTCACCGTTTTGACAAAACAGCTTCATCAACATCACTACGGTTGGTGTTTTCGGAACCAAAGATACTTCTTTCATTTTCTGGTAATACACACATACCCCCTCGAATCCAAACTCTTTCGATTTCATCATTCCAATAAACATTGAGTGGAAAGTTACACTGTCAGGCTCGATCCCTTTCTCTTCCATCTCCTTCATCACCTTGACTGCACCACTCACATCTCCGCATTTCATGAGACTACTCATCAAAGCGTTATAAGCTCCACAATCAGGTGTTAAGCCTCTCTTGGGAATTTCATCGAACAGTTGGCGTGCTTTGATCTTATTCCGAGCTACACCAGACCCATGAATCAATGTAGTGAGTATCTGTACTGTGATATCAAAATGTCGACGATCCATATCTTCAAAGAGTCTCAAGGCTTCCCCAAAGTTCCGTTTTTTACAGAACCCATCCATTCTGATGCCATAAGTAACCGAATTGGGTTCGAATCCTCGTTTCACCATTTCATGATAAAACAGCTCCGTGGCGGTAACATCACCAGCTTCCTTAAACCCTAGAAGTAAGATGTTCATCGTCTTAACATCTGGGTTAAACCTGGAATGCAATTTTTCGAAGACTGATCTCGCTTCCTTCATCTCTCGCTCTGTGCAAAATGCTCGTAGAAGAATATTGAACTCATCGACACCAAATCTCTTTCTGAAAATCTCCTTCTCCATCTTCACGAAAGCTTCTAGAGTTTCTTCATAAGACCCAAATTTGGCGATTTTGCAGAGAAGTATACTCATTGACTTCAAACTCAACAAGTCAGGGTAGTTTTTTCGCATTTCCGCCATTAAAGCCCAAGCTTGATCGAAATAACGCATCCGTGAGAGAATGTGAAGTGTTTTCTCGAAGGAGTCAGAGGTGGGAGATGATTCGGAGCTTTTAAGTGAATACTTGAAGAACTCGAGAGCTTTGAGGCCATTGGAATGAGCAGCAAAGAGACGACCGAGAACTTCTGATACAAATTCCGGTGACAGAGACGATAAAGGGATGTGCTTGGCGAGAATGGGTTGAATCGGATGATTTGGGAATGGATGATCATTGATGATTCTTGTGATACGTTCGATCTCTGTTTTGTTTCTCGATGTAGATGATAATGATGATGATATTACCGGAGCTAGAAGGCGATATGAATCGGAGGAGCTCTTCTTCAACATTTTTTTCACAACAAGAAAATTAAAGTTTCAGACCGATAGAAATCGAAACCTTCAAAGGAACTATCGTGTTCGGTTCATTTAATTGAACCGAAATGAACCAAAATCATGTCGAAAAAACTGAATCTGAACATCGGTTTAGTTTGGTTATTAAAAATTTGTTGGACGGCTCCCAAGTTAGCTTTTAGCAGATAAATTCACGACTCGCGAGCTTTATTCGTCGGCATCTCTGGAGAAGTTCTTTCGGCGGGGACGGAAATTTCCATTTTTGAACTGGTGATTTCTCTTTAATCCGCATAAAGTGTGTTCTTATTCGTGTATGCCTTTACCCACGGTTCTTTAGCTTTTAGTTTGGTCCACTTAAGATATGCACGAAAGGTGTTCGAGGATATGTCTGAGACACTCTACTGATTCGTTTTGCGATGAAGTTGTGTCACATAGTTTCTGTGGGGAGAGGTTTACTGGATTTTAACCATATAAATCTTCGCTTATTGATATTATCTCATCAGGGATAGGTTTAGGGACCAATTCGAAGGGTTTGGTGAATATATGATGAACATTGCTTGTCTTTGAAACTATAGCTTCTTAGGCTACCTTGTTGCATTCAACTAGTGATTGGCTAATAGGGCTAAGATTTAGCAAGAGCTTACTAAAAAAACTTAAATTTTTGACTGTGAACTTTTTGTAATATGGTGAGTAATGTAAGCAATTCGATGTAGGAAGTTAGGTGGTGGTGGTACTCTAGTTGCTATGACAACGGAAACGGCAAAGAAGAAGGGAACTCCGCAGATTCTTAAAAAAGATACTGCTCTAAAACTTGTAAGATTTTCCTCCGTGAAGCCCAAAAATCCTTTAATTATATCTTTCTTTTGATCCATGAATTATATTTGTAAGTTGCTTACTTGCGTTCGTATAATTTGGTTTCATCTCACCGCTTTTGAGTTTGTGCGTTTTGCAGGCTGAGAAGTGGGTTGCCAATATGACTAGGCCTGCAGAAGATGATCCTATTGAGACTGAACAAGAAGTTCGACCACACAGGTGGAGGCAAATTTCTTTGTTCATGTTAATTTGCATTCATTTTGCTAATTTTTAACTGAATATAAGTATCATTGTAACCCCTGCGTAGGCTTGGACTTGGTGCTAAAGTGTCACGACAAACAAAGCGTAGACCATCAGATGACCCTCTCGATCAGAAACTACAAGCCAAGTTTGATGCAGGGAAAAGAAAATATGCAAGATCGGTTGCAGAATCACTTGGTTCTAGTAAGAACACCGGTGATGATAGTGAGGATGATGATGAATCAGAAAGCAAGAGCCAAGCATTCGGCAAGAAAAAGAAAAATACAAGTACCCCTCATTAGAGTTTGTGATGTACTATAGTTAAATTCATGGCTTTGTATTTGTTTTGATTGTTGGCGACTAGCTAAAGCCATATAATTGTAGTTTTGTTGGTGCTTGGTTAAAACATCATCTTTGTCTTATGTAAGTTCAAGCCTCGTGTTATTACACTCTATAGTTCATACTCATACAAAAAAATCTCTTGGCTGAGTAAACTACAGAAGCAACTGGAAACAAAACAGAGTATGGAAGTGAAAGAAATAAAGTCTGTGTTTATGTTAAAAAAAAGCTGTGGTTGTGCCGCTGCACAAAAAGGTCAACTAGAGAGCTTTGACCATGGCGGTGGCAATGAAACTGTACAGGATAGACAAAAGGTTAAAAAGAAAGAGCCTTGTCACAGGTTGTCGCTGTTGGGTTCCTGCATTGATTCAACTTGAACCATGTCTCTGCAGCTTATGATGATCTCTTCTACTAACTCATCAAGGATCATTTCACTTGTATAAGAACCAAGACAACCGATCTCAAACCGGAGATCCATCCAGCTTCCAGTTCTAGCCATATCTTTTTTCACTATCTGATCTAAAGTGTGAGGGGAAGGCAAAGGTAGGAGATGCCAGTAAACTCCTTCTTGTGCTACTTTAGCTGCAATTTCCATGTCTGAGATTAGCTGAACCTCAGGTTTCAAGAATGAAATCCAAGGCCCGGGATTGAGTTCATTCCAACAGAAATCCATAAGAATTTCATTGATACAGTCGTAAAGGAGGTTCTTATCGTCACAGAGCTGTGTAGGACAGAAAACTATGTCATCTGTTAATTCTGGCTCAAGAAGCTGTTCCGAGTAAAAGGGCCTCGTTAAAAGCTCTTCCCAGCTCAAGCCTGCGGATTTCACAATGGCTTCAATGTATGCAAGTGTCAAATTCTTGTCATCCATGCTTGTTTTGACATTGTTGTCTTTCTCTGGTTTAGGAGAATCAACTTCATCGAATCTTATACAGAGTGGTTGCATCCGCATTCCAGCTAAATGTGAATCAAGAAACAGTAAAAAATCAAGTTCTGATGAATCAATCTTGAGCTGATCTTTGAAATTCTTACATACCTGAACTGAAACTTGTGCTTGTTGTTGGGCTACTCTCATCATCTGGGAACAGAGGCTCAAGCACAGACACTGGACTTAACTTTCCTTGCACATCAGTGGTGGTTTCTTTGCATTCAGTCAAGCTCACTAAAGAACTTGGTGGAGATCCTGGCGGAGAAGACGGTGGGTGCGCTTGCTTGAACATTTCCTGGAGCAAGATAAGCTATGAAATATGAAACCTCACTTAAGAAAAACAGAGAATATATCCACTTATCACATCCGTAAATTGTCTAACCTTTTTCACATCTTCTTCAGGAAACTCGAGCACATCTTCATCAACATTTTCGACTTGCTGGGAAACGGAAGAGCTACATATTTCAGATAGTGGATCTATCTCAGTCTTCTCTTCCTTGTCTATATTCTCAGTTTCCTTCCCATTGTCTGAAAGCATTTAGTGACATTTTGTCAGAACAATAGAAATTGGGAATGGGAAGAAACAGAATAAAATGAGAAGAAGAAAAAGAATCACCTCTAGGAACTGAGACATCAATGGTAAACAAAGTATCGCCGTCTTTATCTGAATCTTCATCAATCAGATCATTTGTATCTGGACTGCATTGCAGAATCTCTGGTTTCTCAGTAGTCTGACTTAGATGGCTTATCAAATCATGTTCCGGGATCAGCTTAGGACTGTCTGCTGGTGAACAAAACTCAGGGAGAGAAAGAATCTTCCCCAGGATTCTTGGCACTTCCTTATCTGGTAAATTCACGTCAATATCTCCATTTGCAAGCATTTCAGACAAGTGTTTCTTGGCTGCAATATATAAGCCAGACATAATCTTCTTTGAGTCTTCCCTTGTGTGGACAATATCCTCTTCATCAGGCTCACTCATTTTTTCCTTACATAAAGGTTTCTCTTCATCTGAAATATGCTTCTCTGATTTACTCTGTATCTCTTCTTGCATACAAGAGTTTGGGCTCCTCCTATCAACAGAATGATCATCGCATGACTTCTTTCCAACAGCAGATTGTAGTCTTCTTTTGATTAAACCGATAAAAAAGCGAGAAAAGGTTCTCCCGGTTTTAGACTTGTTGCCATTAGAATGAGGTCCAGATGATGAATCAAGATTCAAACTACTTGGACCAGGTTTCAAAACCACAATTGTTTTAGCAACTTGAGATCTGTTTCTCCTTTCTTCTGATTTCCATTTCCTGCTGAAAAAGGTAGGTTTCTTCTTTGGTAATACCACGGCCTCTTGCTTCGAGACTACTTCAGGCTTTTCTTCTTGTACTCTCTTAGAATCTCCTCCAAAGCTTTGAGCATCTTCATATGAAATCTTCTTCATGAATGATTCTTCTTCAGAACCAAAAACATGAAAAGCCTCCAACAAGTCCTTACAAGTTTGGATCTCTCCTTCTTTCTGAGCTATCAACCGTTTGATAATCTCTTTGAATTTCTCTTCAGAATCAGCATCACCTGAAGTACTCTTACAAACCTGAGCAGTCTCTACATGCTCATCACCAGCGATAGAAACATCGATATCCTCCTCGTCATCAGAGAGTTTGTCAACACTCTCATGAGAGGAGCTCTCACAAGAACAAGTAAGCTGCTTCATCTCACCACCTGCAAAAATATATAACCAGAAGACTGATTAATATAATCTTTATATAACAGAAAGAATCTCTTATGTTAAGACACACGTATAAATATAAATATGTTAGTGAAATAAAAAAACCTGGAAGCCGTTTGCTTCCATGTTTGGTATCCATCAAGAGACGTTTGTGATTAGATCCAAAGAGACTGATGAACACCCACATACACCCTATTCCATTTATGCCTTCTCTTTTAAGACTTCTCCGACAGTTTCTCTCCATTTAACAACAGTTGACACTTCAATAAATAGACACAAGTGTTAAGGGAAACTGTTAAGACAAGCAAAGAATAAAAACTCATGTCTAAATATATACATATATATATACCAAAAAAAATATATATAATAAGCCAAGAAAATTTTTTACTTTATAAAAAAAATTGATTCATCATCATGCAAGTGATCTGTTAAAACTCTGTTTTCATGATTTTTGCCAATCAGTCACACAAACGAACTGTGATTATTACTGTTTATAATTTCGATACCTTTCCTTTTGAAGCAAGTGAACTCTTCTTTTTTATAAAAAATCATTGTGAAGAAGAAGAAGAAATAAAAAGCAGTAAGAGTAAAATACCTTTTATAGAATCTGATCCGATACTTGGGAAAATCTGATAATGCAGCTGGAGGGATCAATTAATAAGAAACCAATATTTTTTACAACTTTTTAGCTGTTTTCCACGAAAATAAAATAAAAGAAGAAAGCTACCCTTTTTTTAAGTTTCTTCTCACCGGATTTTCCCGGAAAAAAACTTAGCTGAAATTGCGGCTCTTTTATACATAAAAATGGGAAGTAACGAAAACTCGAGGATAAGGGGGGAGAGGGTGTTGAACAACAGTGGTGTCTCAATTTAGATTAAGAAGACCCCATCTTTCTCTCACCAGAACGAATATCAAGAGATTGCAAAATATATATATATATATATTGTTGTATCTTGAACTTAGAAATATGGAGAATTAGGCATAAAGTTACACGAGTTTAATAAGTTTCTAGAAAAAGAAAGAAAAAAAAAAAAAGAGGACAAACCTAAGATTATTAAGAAAGTGTGGAGTGGAGACTGGATCAAAAGATTTATATATATATATTTTTTCTAGAGAGAGCTCAAAGAGTAAAGAAACTTTTTTCTGTTTTTGGTTTGGTTGATATTTGACTTTGTTCGGTTTAAGGTGCAGAGCTAGGCTAGCAGCCATTGGAATCCTCGCCCGTAACTCTCTCTTATAACACACATCATTGTCCTTGTATATATATATATATATTTATACATGTGTGTATTAGTGTTTTCACGAGACTGTAATGAATGTGTTGTATACGTATATACGTATAAGCAGAGAGAGAGAGAGAGAGAAGGTTTGGTGGTGGTGATGCATGTAAATAAGGTAAATGGTCATCTAGAAGGGAGTCGATAGTCGCAAACGCGGAGTACCGTACAGGAACGAACGAATGTGTCGGGAAGGGTATGCTCGTCATTTTCATTTCAAACAAAACGGATATTGCAAAAAGTCAAAATCCATATATTATATATGTACTGTGTATATCAACAAACCTAAAATTTAAAATTAAAGAGAAATTAAGAGTAAAGCGTTTCGAAATGAAGAAAAAGTCAAAAATGACATGCCCTATAGTCTCTCTTCCACTATGGACTATTTTATTTTTTTAATTATTATGGACACATTTAACAAATTTAGGGGATATTGTATCTGAATACACGATATTGAGATTCTGAACGATATATAAAATGTTATGTATGTGTCTAATGTGAAATTATTTAGGCTGAAGTTGATAGTTTCATGGCTACTTCTCTCATATCATATGTCACCAAACCTAGTCTGTTAGTTTTGTCTACATATTTATTCTCATGGTCATACACTCATACGGAAGCTAAATTATGTTTTTTTTTGTATAAACCATATTAAAATTCGACTAAATTTAGTGCTTTCTAACAATGTCTGTCATCCTTAAATTCAAAATTTAGCAAATTTTATAAGTAATTGTTAAGAAAGTTTTGAAAAAGTTTACGATAAATTAGGTATATGTGAGGTCATGAATAAAAATGAGAGAAAATATTATTATATATATAAAAAGAGAAATATGCAATTAGGTAGTATAATGTAATATGTCAAAGGACAATTACTTATATATATAGTATGCTATTGTTAGAGAATGCGACTAATTAGGGATGTGAAAAAGAAAATAATAAAAAGCATCAGTTACGATGTTACCATCCCATAATAATGTTTTGACCAATGGCTCGATTCGCTTTTGTGACCTCAATATTTTCTACTTTTTAGGTGTTGTGAACAATAGTAAAAATTTATTTCGACAACAAAGTGATTAAACATTGTAATAATGTATACTTTTGTTACATTTTCCAGAGGTGTCATTTAAACATGTTTTCATTCATAACAACGTTTTGCATCACAGAATTTACTGCCACGAGATTTGCCTACCCTCTAATTTACTGCATCAAAAGCAAAGCTACCGGCCTCTAAATTCTTGTAATTAATTAAAATAACACAAAACTAGATTAGACTCTAACGAAAAAAATATTTTATATATATATATATATGTAGCATTTGCCAAACTATATTTATGATATGACTCTGACATATACTATAATTAGCAACGAGCATAATTGAAAAATATACAACTATGTTCGTCTTTGTTTAGAGACCACTAGCTAATCACCTACTCATTGATTTTTGTTTTCTTATATGTTTATTCTAATGTATGCAGATATATATGAATATTAGTTTTATTTTGTACTTATATGCACTAGTAGTTATAATGTCCATTTACGTAAATGTAATAATCAATTGAAGTTAATTAATACATGCCGACAGTTTTATTATAAACGAAACACACACCCCTCAAAATTCTATAATTATAAAAAAAAATCACAATACATCTTTGAAATTGAGTTTATGAAGGTTTTTTTTTTTTGTGTATTATTGAAATATTCGTTGAGATACTTTGATAAAGAGCGACGATGTTTCGTCTTTACATCTGTACCCAACATATTAGAAAACAAAGAAACAACATTACAAATACAAAAGCTATGTTAAGTGGATACCAATCATTTTATATTTTTCATAGGATTCTTCCCAAAACCCATATAAGCTTTTCAATTTGTCTTTTTTACACAGCTTTTAAATTTGTCTTAAAGGTGCATTATATCGATATATTAAAGTTACGTTTCACTTTTCTTTTTATATAATAGGGCAACATATGTCTAGTTGTCAACAAAGAGGGTGTAAAAATGCTGTTTCTTTTAATCTTTCTGTACATTTTTGTACTTTGGTAAGTACATCAAATAAAAATCAATGTTTGTATGCTACTATATATGTTGTATGAAATTAAATAAATTCATCACGAAGAGTTATCTAGCGACGTACGTGATAAAGCTAATTATTGGGGTTTAAAACTTTTGAGCATTATATTTAAACTGAAGGTGCTCTCTATTTTTATTTTATTGGGTCGTTACGTTATATATCTATAAATTGGTCAAATATATTCGAATAAACTCTTTCAAGCTTTACTAAGTTTATTTACTTTTGATAAAATAGCTTTGATTCTAGCATAAGGTTTTAAGCCTTACATAAATTATATTGAAGAAAAAAATCGTGTATATATATTTAAATTATAAAGTGGACATATTTTGACTAAAATTTTTGATAAATAATAAGCTCTCTCGATATGATTAGTAAAATGAAAATGCCATCAGCATGCGATGATTCAACGTAACATTTCCGGAAAATGTTATATAAAGAAAAAGCGTGAATATGAATCTGTTGAAACTAAAACATCACTAGTGGACGGTCTCTCATAATATTAGCACTAATTAATTATCAGTTTTTGTATTTTGATGCTTTATTCGGTCCACGAAAATTGGCTGTTTCTGAAGTAAACACACCAATAAATTAACGCCATCTTGTTATATATCAGATAATGTGATTTGATCAATAGGTACTTAACAACTAACTCAAACTTGTACATAAATTAATTAGTTGTGCATAATTATGTCGAATTGTATGGATCATATACCTCTATATTATATTCACTGTTGTACATAAAGAAATATACAAAAACTGTATGTTGATTGAGTTAGGTTCGTGCGATGTATGTTTTCTTACTAAAAGAGGTATAAAGTACTCATTAAATTGTCTATTGCGTTATACTATATCATATCTATATGTATATATATAAGTTCACAAACCATTATTAATATCGATGATTAGAGAAAAATATGAGATCGATTAATATCCAATAAACGATTAGAATATGTGTTATCTATGTATTCGTAATGATTAAGAATATATGATATTTTAAACTTTGAACTTTAACCTAAATCTCTATTTAATTATTGGGTGACAAACAACAAGTTTATGTACCTTTTGTATACGTAGATAAACAGAATTATTTTACGACGATTTTTACTGTATTGTATTTTCTAGGAATGATTTTGGGAAAAAAACATAAAGATAGCTCAAAATGATGATATACATACTTTGATATACATATATGATACGGTCGGCACATCTTAACTTTAAGCTCTCTTAACGAAATTGTCCCTCGATAAGGCTTTTAATGCTACTACAGCTGGCGGCCCATCTACTACTTCGGTCCAATAAACTAAACTAAATACATTGGCCCATTGATAACATTCGTCAAAAGTTAAGGGACTGTATTTTAAAATTTAAAAAGTTAAGAGACTAAACGTAAGAAAAAAAGATAGGGGACTAAACTTTAAATCTCAAATATACGGGACTAAAGATTAAAACTACAAAGTTGAGGAACTAAAGCTAAAATCACAAAGTTTAGGGACTAATGTTAAAGTTATAACTGTATCTTCGTAAACGTCAAAGAAGAAAATAAAGAACATGTTCTTATTGAAACCAGACTGCTTTAACTTGTAAATTTGTGAATGATATTTTCTCCTGATTCAATCGTAATATCAAAATATGAAAACCGTGTCATGTACCTTGGCTGTGTAATTTAGTTTAACGTTGAAAGTTAAAACTATGATCTAAGAGATGATGTATTTGCCTAAATAATTTATATGTATTAGAGTGTAAAATAACTGGTTTGAAAAAAGAAAAAGAAAAACTGAAACTATCATTTTCACATGAAGCTAAAATAAATTAGCTCTATGAACTTGTATTAAAAGCTTAAAACTCTCAAAATCTTTAATCAGCAATTAACAAAACAAAATTAATATTACGCGGGAAAGAAGACGAGGTCGTTAATGAAGCGGGTGAGATGACGTAACAAAATACTCAGGTTTTGACGACATCAAACCTTAAAAGATATTATATATATATATCTGAAATTTCGATCTCACTTTCGTAATGTTGACATTTCTCTCTATTGACAAAGACAGAGACGATCACTTTGAGATTCTTTTGGTCGGCTCTCATTGAAAGTCAAGAGGCTTATCCATATATTGTTCTAAATTCATTATTTATCTGATTAAGCTAAGGCTTTCATTGAACACGGTTTCGTGATTAGATACGTGTTTGTCTTATAATCCATACCTTTCCTCTTGTGTCTTCCTTATATATATACTATGTAGCTTCTTGGCTCATCAAATACTCACTGTTAGATAAGATCTTCATCGCTTGTATTTTTGCAAAAATACTCTGTTCTTTTCTATATGGACAGGAGTCACCATGACATTAAAGATTCCGATCCGAGATATGGTGAAAATGGTTGGCTCTTTAAGATATCAACAAGGCATCGATATCGTTGAATCAATGAAAACTAGCAAGAGAGAGACGCTGGTGGATGAGAAGATCTATGTAGCAGTGTCAGTGAAAGACCTAGAGAACAAGTCTACTCTCGTTTGGGCGATACAGAACAGTGGAGGCAAAGATTTTTGCATCGTCCATGTTCATCAACCTATCCAAATCTCAGTCCGTAAGTATTAAACTATTTTCTGCAAGTGTTATTTTTAATGCAGAGTTTATTGAAATTTGGTTTAACTTTTGACTATCTTGTTTTCTTCAATTCAAGCGGGGGAGATGTTTCATGACCAGAAAGTACGGCTTTATAGGAAAGACAAGGAGAAAGCACATAAGAATTTGGAAAAGTACCTTCATATATGCAGGCAAATGCAGGTATGTTTACTTATTAGATATCCATTAATTTGTTTTGATGGCACAAGAGTGTTTGTTTCTAAATGTCCAGTCAAATTGTGAATTAGGTCACTGCAGAGATAATATATATCGAGATGGATACGGTGGAGGAAGGTATCCTCCAATTGATATCTCAGTGCAGAGTTACAAAACTCGTCATGGGAGCAGCAGCTGATAGACACTACTCAATGTAGGTGGTTCATAACTGCAGACTTTGACTTTTCTGTTATCCAAAAAGACTAAAATACAGATTAGTGAATGAATTAAAACGTTAATTTTGCAGGAGAATGAGAAACTTACAGTCCAAGAAAGCTATTTACATTCACAGAGAAGCACCTGTTACTTGTCAGATATGGTTTACGTGCAATGGATACCTAATTTGTTCAAGGTTTGGCTAATTAAGTCATTTCTTCATCTTTTGTGTTAGCTGCACATACTACTATATATAGTGACTGTTTAGGATTGGTCTTTGAGTTTTACTTGTCTCACAAGTCATACTACAAATCTACAATCCAGGGAAGCTGGAAGAACAGAGAACTTGTATCTAGAATCTGCATCGCCAATTTCTTTGAGACAATCCGAGATCACTAGAGTAAATGAAAGTGCTCCAAGCTATAGTATGGTTAAAAATGATGATGGGATCAAAGTAATTGTCACAGAAGCTGAGAATTCGAAAAGGAAAGCACGCTTTGAGGCATCTAAGCGTGATGAAGCTGAAAAATCTGCAGTTGATGCACTCAAAAAGGTACCAAAAGTTTCTGTTAACAAGTGCTTTTGCTTAGAATTAGTATCAAACTTTTATAACTCAAAATTGCAGGCTAAACAATGGGAAACTGTGTACTTCGAGGAGTTGAAGCGTAGGAAAGAAATAGATAAGGCTCTGAGGGAAGTAAAAGGAGACATTGAAAAGATGAGATCAGAATACGAGATCCAAATAGCTGAATCTGATATGGTGATAAGAAAGCTTAAAGACAAGTATACCTTATCAATGGAAGCGTTGAGAAAACTCAGAGAAGAACAAGAAGAGTTGAAGATAGAGCTCAGAGAAGTATCAAAGCTGAAGAGTAAGAACGAGGAAGAGGAAGCGTCTCCCTCTAACCACCGTGAACCGCCTCAGTACTTCATCTGTCCCATTACACAGGTAAAAGAGACGTTACAAAAGATGAAAGAAAGCTACTAAATAATCAAAAATGCTATAAATTAAAAGAGAGAAACGGTTATTTGTTTTGTGATACTTGCAGGATATAATGGAGGATCCACATGTAGCAGCAGATGGTTTTACATATGAAGGAGAAGCAATAAGGAGTTGGTTCGAGAGAGGACACGAGACTTCTCCAATGATAAACAAAAGGCTTCCTCACACGACCTTAGTTCCAAATCTTGCTCTTCGATCCGCAATCCAAGAATGGCTTCAAGTTCCAGAATCATTGAACAGATCATGTGATTCGCATTAATCAGAGATCATAAATCAAAACATTTTTAATTTTTTCAATTCAAATTTCCCTGATTTTCTTAATATATATCTATGCACTGAGCGGTACAACACATATGCTTCGTAGTTAATAGTTGTTACTCTATACTACCAGTTTTGTTGGTATGGTCATTCTTTAATTGGGTGGTTACACATGTATATATATACTATATATAGATCTGTTCATAGTATTTCATAAAAAGACTGAATTATATATTAGAATTAGTGGAGACTGAATTAATCTTCCCTCATGACGTTTAATATAAGAGAGACAGGTCATGAGTCGCTCATGATACAACACTTGATGATCAGTATATTATATTTCTTAATAATGGTTTTGATGCTTTGGAAGGCTTGAAGTCATTATAACAAGTATTAAAAAATACACTAAAACTAGTATGTATATCATCATTCATTCACGAATAATTGAATTCTTGTTAGAAAACATTTGAGTATATAAAAGCCTGAGTTGTAAATCGTAGAAAGCAAGAAGAAAAAAAATCAACAAATGGATTCAACATCAACCATTGCAACTGATCGTTATACTCAACTAAAATCTTTCGAGGAGACGATGAGAGGCGTGAAAGGCCTTGTTGATTCTGGAATCTCAGAGGTTCCAGCGATGTTCCGGGCGCCTCCGGTTGTTTTAGCAAGCCCAAAACCACCAGTAGCAGGAGGTTCACAGCTCATGATCCCAACCATCGATCTGAAAGGAGGAGTGTACTACAAGAATCAAGATTCAGTCACGCGGGGAAGCGTGGTGAAGAAGATAGGAGATGCCGCGGAGAAATGGGGTTTCTTCCAGGTGGTTAATCATGGAATCCCGCTCGACGTGCTGGAGAAGGTGAAGGACGGGGTTCGCGGTTTTCACGAGCAGGACGATGAGCTAAAGAAACGGTTCTACTCTCGCGATCACACTAGGAAAATGGTTTACTACAGTAATTTTGATCTCTACACTGCTCAGGCGGCGAGTTGGAGAGACACCATGTGTGCCTATATGGCCCCGGATCCTCCCACATTAGAAGACTTGCCTCCACTTTGTGGGTAAGGTTTCCATCCAAAGTTTATTTTTTTTAGTTCCTAAATATATTGTGGGTTTTTTAAAAAGTTTTAAAAAGATACATGATGAGCCACTAAAACCTCTTAAATCAGAATCAAAAGTTTTACTGTGGCAGGGAGATTATGATGGAGTACAGCAAGGAAATAATGAATTTAGGTGAGTTGCTCTTTGAGCTTCTATCAGAGGCTCTAGGGTTGAAGCCTAATCACCTAAAGGACATGGATTGCAGCAAGTCATTGGTCATGTTTGGCCAGTATTATCCACCGTGCCCTCAGCCTGACCTTACTCTAGGCTTAGGCAAGCACACCGATTTTTCTTTTCTCTCCATTGTTCTTCAGGGGAATATAGGAGGGCTTCAAGTTCTTCGTGATGACCAATACTGGGTCGATGTTCCTCCTGTCCCTGGTGCTCTTGTCGTTAACGTCGGAGATCTTCTCCAAGTTAAACTACTAGTAACATTAATTGTTGCTTTGTTTCTATTGATTGATTTATTTTCATGAAATGATTTAGACGGAAATGAGACTAATGAAAATTTTATTTTATATATATTATTGTCAGTGCAGCTTATAAGTAATGACAAATTCAGAAGCGTGGAGCACAGGGTGATAGCAAATAGAGCAGCTGAAGCGCGGGTTTCAGTGCCATGTTTCTTCAGCACTGTCATGAAGGCAAATCCTCGAGTATATGGACCCATCAAAGAGCTTATGACAGAACAAAACCCTCCCAAGTATAGGGACACCACCATCGCCGAGTTCTCAAGCATGTACGGGTCTAAAGAGCTCAATACCTCTGCCTTACTCCATTTCAAGATCTGAGACATTGACCATATCAAATATATTTATATCAATAACTTCGGTCTGCACTCCATGCCAAGATCTGGGACATTGGCCAAATAAAATGTCTTTGTAAAATGATGTGTGTATGTATGTGTTCCACATGTGAGGATATGAGGCAATTGACCAAAAATTAAAAGTCTTTGTAATTTACACCCTCGGCTCACGGACTTCAAAAATTCTCATGCCAAAAAGTTAACATCAGAAAGTTAAGAGATTATATTTTAAAAACTCAAAAGTTAAAAGGACTAAAACTTAAAAGAAAAACCTAAGGGGCTAAACACTAAATCCCAAAGTTCAGGAGCTAAAGGTATACAATCACAAGATTAAGGAACCTAAAATAGAAAGAATAAACTCTTAGGGATTAAAACTGAAATTCGAAAGATAAAAATTCTATCACTACAGTATGCTTCTCGTTCATATTTACTTCCTCTACAGTGTCATTACTGTCCACCGTCGGAGCTAGAGGAGCCGGCCAGATCAAACCACGGCGGCTGTTTCTGCCTCACTGTCCTTAATTGATAGTGAATCGGACCAGAGATTCGACTAATGAACATGAAATCTCGATACTCGGTGAGGATTTGGACATCGGAGTATCGAGATTTCGTATTCATCATTTGAATCCCTTGAAAGCTCTATGCGTCCACGAGGAGGGTACGTTTTATCTATCGACTTTGTTCTTCATCTTTCATAATGTGATTTGTGATTTTTGGTTAAGTTAACACTTTTTCTATTAGTAAAATAAAAATTCTCTAGATTCAATCGTAAAGTGAAAGAAAACATTGGTTGTGTACTTTGGAATGGTGATCTCATTGATGATGTCTTTGCTTCGATATTTTTATGTATTAGAGTGTGAAATAATTGAAAACTATCCTTTATCAGATGAAATAAAATTAATCATGTCCTTAGATTATTTAAACCAATCGTAGGAAACTTGCTTTCCTCCTGAGAGAAGTTAGCTTTTGATTAAGTAAGTTCTTAAAGCTTAAGACTGAATTACGCGTCTAAGTAGAGTAGACCAGGTCGTTAGAGAAAGCGGTTGGTTGACCTTCTCAGGGGCATAATTATAAAAGCACATTTGAAGAAATAGGAGCTTAGGTAAGCAAGCATACGCACAGATTCTAGAGAATGCCTACCTCAGATTGTCTTTTACTTTTCTACAAAGTCTCGATATCGCTTTCGTTATGTCTACATTACTCTTGACACAATTAGAGACTATCGCTTTCAGATTCTTGTGATAGCTTCTTGGTAATGAATTATCCTTTATTCTAATTTACATGTTTCAGCTTCTGTGATAAGGCTGCAGAACGTGGATTTTTGGTAACGTGTCTGTCTTGTAATTGAAAGCCTTCCTTGTTTCTGCTAAATATTAGGTTTGTTCTTTGTTTCTTTTATATGAAAAGGAGTCACAATGACACCAAAGATTCCGATCCACGAAATGGTGAAAATGGTTGGCTCTTTAAGACTTTGCGGCACAGATATCGCTGATTCAGTAGCAACTGACATGAGAGAGACGCTGGTGGATGAGAAGATCTATATAGCAGTCACTGGGAGAGATCTAGAGAGCAAGTCTAGTCTCGTTTGGGCCGTACAAAACAGTGGAGCCAAAGAGTATTGTATCGTCCATGTTCATCAACCTATCAAATATCTCAGCCCGTAAGTCGTTTAATTTCCTTAGCAATCCTTTTATGCAGAGTTTAAGGATTTTTGGTTAATTTTGGACTATCTTGTTTTCTTCATTTCAAGCTGGAGCGATAATCCACAACCAGAAATTGCGGCTTCATAAAAAAGAGAAAGAGAAAGCACACAAGAATTTGGACAAGTACCTTCATATATGCAGGCAAATGCAGGTATTGTTACTTATTAGATATCCATTTTGTTTTGATTGTACAAGAGTGTTTGTTTCCAAATGTCCAGTCAATCTGTAAATTAGGTCACTGCAGAGATGATATATATCGAAACGGATTCGGTAGAGGAAGGTATCCTCCAATTGATATCTCAGCGCAGAGTTACGAAACTCGTCATGGGTGGGAGCAGCAGCTGATAGACACTACTCAATGTATGTGGTTGATAAATGTAGACTTAAGACTTTTTGTTATCTAATATATGGATTAATCACTGATGTGAAACTTGAATTTTGCAGGAATATGAGGGATCTACAGTCCAAGAAAGCTATTTACATTCGCAGTGAAGCTCCTGCTACTTGTCAGATATGGTTTACCTGCAATGGATATCTAATATGTTCAAGGTCTGTCAAATTTTATGTCTAATCTTCATCCATCTTTATCTTTGGTGTAAAATGTTAAGATATATACCAATCTCTTTCTTGTGTCAATTCTTAGTCTTATTTTGTGGTAACTGTAAATTGACATTAGTTACTGTTTAGGAATGGTCTTTGGGTTCTGCTTGTGAGACAAGATCTTTGTCTCACAAGTCACACTACACAAGTGTCTTTTTTCTTTTGGTATGAAATCAATGCAGGGAAGCTAGAAGAAGAGATAACTTGTATCTAGAATGTGCTTCTTCAAGTTCTTTAAGCCAATCCGAGATAACAAGAAGAACTGAAAGTCTTCCAAGCTCAAGTATAACTGAAGAGGATAATCGGATTCGGATCCAAGTAGCTGTCGTGGAAGCTGAGAATTCGAAAAGGGAAGCACGCTTTGAGGCGTGCTAGCGTGAAAAAGCTGCAATTGATGCAATCAAAAGGGTATACAAGTTCCTCCTATCATGTTTTATTGCTTAAAAATATCAATCCTAACTCTGTCTATAACAAAAAATGTAGGCTAAACAATCAGAAAATGAGTATTTTGAGGAGATGAAGCATAGGAGAGAAACAGAGAAGACACTGAGTAAAGTGAAAGAAGAACTTGGAAAGATGAGATCAGCATCCGAGACCCGAAGAGCCAAATCTAATATGGTGATAAGAAAGCTTCAAGGCAATTATACCTTATCCATGAAAGCCTTGAGAAGACTTAGAGAAGAACAAGAAGAGTTGAAGATGGAGCTTACTCAGCTTAGAGAAGTATCAAAGCTGAAGAGTAAGCGCGAGGAGGAGGAAGCCTCTCCCTCTAAGGACCATGAACCGCCTCAGTACTTCATCTGTCCTATTACACAGGTAAGAAATCATTGAAATCTGAATGATCATAGAAGTTAACAATTATAAGAGAGACATCGTTGTTTGTTGCGACACTTGCAGGATATAATGGAGGATCCACATGTAGCAGCAGATGGTTTTACATATGAAAGAGAAGCAATAAGGGGTTGGTTCGAGAGAGGACACAAGACTTCTCCGATGACAAATAATAGTCTTACTCACACGTGCCTGGTTCCAAATATTGCTCTACGGTCCGCGAACAAGAATGGCTTCAAGCTTGGAGCTCCTGAATCATTTGAACAGAGATCCTCTGCTTGTAAAGATGAAAATCAAAAAGGAGTTTTCCTAATTCCTTAGTGGCTAATAAAGGAGACTCTCCGTGTCCTCTCAAAAGCCGAGTTCGAACTTTTGTGTAGTTCTCTTGTGCTCTTTTTGATATGGTTTTGTAATAGTTTATGTCAAGTCTTTTACTACGAGACGGTGTTGGTTGGTGATCGTACAATCCGTTCAGGGAAGCATACACGCGCCTCTTTAATCCAAGTTTTTTCTCTTTTCATAGGAAAAACAACGAAAATATTTGTGCACGCGCTAGTACTGCGCGCGTATTAGTAAATATCAAGGCGTTCTAGCGCGTTTTTATTGTTGCTCCTTCAATTATTGAAACTTTGAAAGTTCGAAACGGTCTCTTTTTTAAGGTTTTACTCCCATTTAAACATTCCTTGATTAATTTATGTAAAATCTGTTTATATATTTAAAGGTTTACGTTTTATAAAATCAGATCTTTTTTTTTTTTGTAGCTATACAAAAGGTATCACGCATTAATTTATAAACAACATTTCATTGTTCGACAATTTATATGCCGTACAGAGTTTTAAATATTTTTGTTAAATTATATATTTTAATTAATCCCCTTATGATTGACTAGTGTAATAATCCCAAAAAATGTATAATCTGGGGAAATGTTGCCTAATTTATTTTCACACCTCATTTTAAATATAATTTAATGGTATATAATCGACATTGATTACCTCCTCGAGTTTTGATTAGGTCGTTGACACTTAAAACCCATACAAGAAATAAATACATATATATAATTTCCAGATCGAATATTCGAAAGAACAGAGTAACACCAGAAAGGGATGACACATGCCCTTCATCGGATCTTCTTCTTTCTTGATTGCACATATATATATATAAACATTTTGCCAAGAAGAAGACAAAACCATAGCTTCTTGTCTGAAACGAACCAGCCATTCTCAAGATTTTCTCCTTTTAACATTTTCCCGGGAACATATTATGGAGTTTGAGGCAGCCAAAAAACACACCATGGGAGAAGAAGACGAAGTAGAAGAAGAAGAAGCAGTGATGGATGAGAGAATATACGTTGCGGTAGGGAGAGAACCAGCCAAGAACAAGTCAAACCTGTCTTGGGTATTAGATAACTGTGAAGGCAATAAGATCTGCATCGTTCTTGTTCACCGACCTGCTCAAATGATTCCTGTTTGTAAGTTTTTTTACTCCTCACTCCAACAACTCCTGAATCCAGATCTTTCGGATGGCTTTATACACGAAACAGAGCTCTTAAATATATTTGACTTGTTTCCAATGATCTTTCTCTTACTTCCACAGTGGGTACCAAATTCGATGCTGCAACCGTAGATGAAGAATTAGTAAGAGCATACAGAGAAAAACAAAAGGCCAAAACAGAGAAGATTCTTGATGAGTACCTTAGAATATGCCTGCGGAAAGGGGTATGTGTGTGTGTGTGTACTCTAATACATGAATCATGTGAAGTTTTCCGCCATTTCTAACGAGATTGGTTTTGCAGGTTCAAGCAGAGAAGCTGTGCGTAGAGATGAACTCGATCGAAAAGGGAATTTTGCAGATGATTTCTGAGAACAGAGTGAGGAAGTTCATCATGGGAGCAGCTTCAGACAAACATTATTCAACGTATTGTGTCTTTTAGGCTTCACTCTTGTGTTCCTGCTTTTTTTAACCATTCCTCAAGTTTGACATTTGTGGTTGATCTATTTCAGTAAAATGGAGGACCTGAGATCGAAGAAAGCTATCTTCGTCTGCCAACACGCGTCTGTGACTTGTCATATGCGGTTTATCTGCAAAGGATATCTCATCCATACAAGGTTCAAGCCAGATTCCATTTCTTTTCCATAGCTGTATACAAATAACAGATGATATTTTTAAGTTTGACGTCTGTATGCGATATCAATGTAGGGAAGCTAGAATGGATGAAGTCCGAGCTCTCTCAGCTCTACTATCTGACTTTCAGCGGCTTGTTTCCTCACAAAGTAGCACCACTTCAGATCAAGAAAGTGGAGTTTCAAAGAGGAACAGCGAGGACGAAGAGGAGGAGGAGAGAGAATCACGAACCAGCTCTTCTCGGTCTGCTAGTACATTGTCATACTTTGGAGGATCTGAGGCTTCCTCAAGTGTAAGTGTACTGGAAGAGAAATCAAACCGTTCATCTCCACCCTCTTTACCGGTAAGCCCTGCGATCCTGAATAAGAGAGAATCCAATCCAATACTTTCTTTTTTTCTTTTACTTCTTTCCTTGGCTCATTAATTGCCTTACGGTGTTGATCCACCAGTGCACCGGGATGGGACTGGGCATGATAACCTTCCTGATTAGCTCCATCAAACTCTGGCAAAAGCTTTCCATCCAAAACCATAAGCATTGTGAATGACCCCACCATCACCTGAAAAGCCAAATAAAGAAGAAGAGGACACGAACATAAAGCTTACAAAGATCTTGATCACATCTGTAAATACAATGTATCTCATATTTGTAAACCCCAAAATTGCGTGAGAAGAAGCTGCTTTGGGATTTCATCTCTCCTCCTCTTGTGAGGCTTGTAATTCTAAAGATAATGGAATTCTTCACCTTATTTCTTAAATTATAAAAAAATGCCCACCAACTAAATGCTTTCACCAGTTCTTTAATTAAGAGTTGTGTACAAAGGGTTGATCACTAAAAAGATGTAAGAAAACAAACAAAACTGCATCCTACCTCTCGAATTAACTGAGAAGAAAGAAAGAAAGCAGATTGTATAAAAAGAAAAAAAAAATACAGGTGGACACACATCAAACGCCGGTGACCGGAACACCACTCTCTCTAATTGCTTACATTCTAGTGGGGATCTCACCAAAACTGTTCCAGCCATTGGGCTAGCGTTTTTAGCTTCACTTGTGTCCTGCGGCTGGACCTTCAAAGTTCAAAACGCAGGCAAACAGAACCATCTACCATCAGTCATCTAAAGCTATATCGAAGACTGAAGTGTGGGCGTAATTAAAGGTCTCAAACCAATGCGGTTCAGTTTAACAGCATCTCTGTGCTACGTTGATACCATAAATGTGAAAGATTAACCAGGAAAAAGGGATAGCATGTACCTGTCAGTCGCCTTGTAGCCCCGTTGCCATTAATGGAGAAGTGCACAGGCTGCCTTTCTTGTCCTATTGATAGAACCCAACTAGAGTTCAATCTCCGAGCAAAATCCTCTACCTCTCTGTATTCACATAAGGTTTTATAATTTTATTTAGTTTCACATAATGGATGCACAATACGATGTAGATCTATATATAGAACGTGTGCATATTTCGTCACATAAGATTACTCAAGATGAGGTTTGTAGAAGGTATTTTTGGAGGAGGGACTGATATCAATTATTTCAGCACAAAATGAATACTTCAGGCAGGAATTTGAAAAAAAAGCCAGTTACCTATCAAGCATTTCCTTCAAAGCTGGATCAATTTCATCATCTATATAACCATCTTCAAACTCAGTCTTTGGCGTAAAAATGTCATCTTCCATACTAAGTAAGTTAGATACATCTCCCAAGCTCGACGCAGTCTTATCCACATTCTCAGCATTTCGTGATTTGGAATGAAGATTATGCTTTAAATCCTAATAAGAAGGAACACACTTAGTAACTTAATTACTACCAACAAAGAGCAATAAGAGAGAAACTAGTTTAAACCTTTTCTGAAGTTTCACATATTCCCATTGAAGTACCGTTCTTCTGCTCCTTCCTTTTCTTGTTCTTCTTTTTGCTCTTGGAAGTCTTTACCACCTTGTGATCTGTGGAACATAATTATCCTTCTCTCCAATGAGAGCTTTAAAAGGAAGTAGAAAAAGAGAACAGCGAGAAGCAATGCTAACATAAACTCACGCATCAAATATTTCAATCAAGGACATTCAAGATATCATCCAGGATTTGAGCATCAAATAAGCTATTAACTCGACCATAAATGCATATGCAAGAATCTACTGATATGGGAAGTGAGCAATAAATTGCCCAAGAAATTGCAGCACTGTGACTTTAACACAGTTGAACGTAAGCATCAAAACAGACTCCAGACATGAACCAATATGTGGTGCCATCAACATGAATTGGACAACGTGGAGCAGAAGAAAGAACATGACATACAGGAGAGATATGAAGTTAAGAAAAGTACCTCTGCCATTAATAAATGATAACAAATCATCCACAGAACGCTCATCGACATGTTCTTCAACCTCGACACTCTAGGACATGGAAAAAGCCATAAATATAAACTAGTACAATAGTTCATTCTCACAAACCAATTCCTAACTTAATATAATTAAAATGCTCAACACACCTTTAGTTTCTCTCTTTCCTTCAATTCCTTTCTTTTCTTAGCATACAATCTATTCAACAATCGAATCCGTGGATCATCCATTGTGTTCTTCAAAGGCTCTAATTTCTCCTCCTGAAAAATTGTAACTAAAAGCTAAAATAGAGAAGCAGATAGGAATGACACCTAAAAAGAGATAATCTTGGGCACCACATACCTCAGTAAGGTCATCAGGCAAATGGAATATTTCGCGTATCTCCTCAGGGGTTTTTCCCTCAATAATTCGTGCAAGGGCACGACTAGTAAGATCAACCAACGGCTTCAACTGCAAACTGTCAGCAGCTGAGGTCAACTCACAGAGCCTCTTTGTATCCATCCGGATAAATTTTTCATCATAAATTTTACGTTCCTAGAAAGGAAAAAAAAAAAAAAGACTTTACAAAAAGAAAAAAAACATATGATTATCAACGTGTAACCATTTGTTTCCAATTTTAAAAAGAAAAAAAATAAAAAACTCAAATAAACCTTATTTGAACGTCCAGGTACGTGATGAAATCTGCAGTAATCAAAAATCAGGCTTAACATAGCTGGATTGACTCGCTGTGGAAGAGATATTGCGTAGTTCTTAGAAGATCCAACACCCTTCTGTAATACTTCTTGACATATCATGGGACAGTACATTGCGACCTCTTGTTCCACTTGTTGGATTGAGCCATCAGCAGTTTCAAGCCATATATAGGATTTCATCATCTGTGTTGATGACATATAAAAAGTAATTAGTTTTGGTGCAACGTAAAAGTTAAACTAGTCATTCAAAAACTCCATACAATGATAAAGAATATAACACTCAAAAGTAAAACACTATAAGTATGAGAAAATCTATAATGTAACAAGTAGGCCATGTAAAAGTAGAGACTTATCACAATAAATATAAAATTAATGACGCAAATGGTAGGTTGTTAACTTGTTATGTGTCCAAAATCTAATCTTGCTAGTTCATTTGAGCAAAATATGTAACGGTATTAACAGTCACTCTATATGATCACTAACGTAATGTGAGTAAGTAAGCTATAAGGCAACGGAGTCCACTATAGTAAAAGTATCAAAGCTTACCTCTGGTTTGATGATGGCCATTTCACCTTCTGACATTGATATGTAGACCCGGTATTCGGGTATAATACTCGTTGAGCTTATATCTTATTACACAGTCAAGCTCCAATAAATAGGACAGTCCCCACTATAAAAAGTAGTTGTTTTTCTTGGATCTTCAAGTTTCCCAATACTGCACACAAGTAGAAGATATTTCAGGTCTGTGAGCATTGGAGCTCAATTAGAAGCAATATCCGGAAACTGAACACCAAACTAATAAAAGAGAAGAACAGGTAAATGATCATAAATGGAAAATAAACTTCACAAACATGCTAATCATTCAGAAAGCTCAAGACTTGAATCTGGCATGTCATCAAAAGGCACTAACTATGTCCACAGAAACCACAAGTATAAATTACCAATTTCAGTTCAAGGATTCGGAATCGATTCAACTCTCTCTTTCTCTATTTGATGGGAAGCTTGAAAATGTGAAAAGGCACCTCAATCATCAATTCGTAAAACCCTAAGCCCCAAAATGGATAAGGAGAGGTGCCAAACACCAAAATATGAATCAAAAGACAGAGGTGCCGAAACTAAAATTGAAACAATGGAGAGTGAAATTAAAAGAGGAAGAGAGTGAAATAACAACACAGAAGCGAGAGATAGAGAGAGAGAGATAGCATTCAAATAATCAAATGATACAATCGAACCAAGCAGCAGAGGCATAAGAGATAAAACCAATGGAGAATCACGATGAGAAAGCAATAGATAAGAAGAATACAAGCGTGGCATACCCTACGACCGGAGGAGAAGCAATGAGTGTAGACGGCGGAGGAAACAAATGAATCTGGCGGAGGAGAACGGCGACGGCGGCGGCAGGAACAGACCAAAGAGAGAGGAGCGGATAAGAGAGAGAAACAAGGGCTTAATATTATTTTTGGGATTTTTATTTTTGAATAATAATTAAGTTCTCTCCCAAAAAGAAAAAAAAAATAAAAAGAAAAAAAGACAGAGAGAGAGAGAGAGAGAGTATGGAGTGGGTTATCGCCACGTGTACTAGCCGTGACGGCTCATGGCTCAAGATGGTTAAAACTCAGAAAAAGCACGGAAATAGAATCTAGGGTTCGTTGTTGGGTTGGGCGGTTGATGGAGTCGGTGAGGACTGAGGACTGAGAGGAAGCTATTTCTGTGGAACTGTAGTGGCTCTCTTTCGCTGTCTTGACATTTTTTTCTTTCTTGTCCTTTGTATTTTGTTTATCTTTTGGGGTATTTGCTACATATCTTATTATCTTATATTATATAGTAAAGCCTATGTCTGTTTTTGGAAAGGAAATTTGTTTATGTTGAACAAGAATTTAGGTCAATTTTTTTTTATCATCAAAATAAGAATTATATTGAATAATGGATCAAGTCATGATATTAATTAGTTTTATAACCAAATTAAAAAGAGCAAAAAAGTTATCAGAATATTAAACACATAAATTACAACTCAGAATAGCAAAAAGCTAGATGAGCGACTCGATCTATTACATACGGTTCATGTTTGAACAAATGAAAGAGGACACATTTGTAAAACGGATTGACCAAGCGATAATGTCACAACGAATTGATGCAATTGTGATATCATAATGTTTGACCATTTAATTAATACTTTCACGAATAATTCGTACTCGTCTTCAAAAACATATTTCGAACTATTCGAATCCAGACCTGCCAATAACGATTTAGTTTCAGCCCCCAAAGGCCAAAGGTGATGTTGATGTCCTTAAAAGTGATGAACCCATCCTTGTAAACTGTGATGCTCCACCTGAATCGCGAATAACCCAACCACCCATTATTAGGTCAATTTCTATAGGGTTTTTCATTAATTATGTTGGTGAATTATAAAAAGAAAAAAACTAATGTTAAATTACAACAAAGATTTTGTCAGAAAACGACAACTTTAAAAAATAAAATATTAGTGATATATGCTATTACCAATTTCATATTTTCAAATTTTAAGTATTTAAAATATTTTAATATTCTTTCTAAGATGTGTTGCTGAAAATATTGATTTAAAATAAGACTTAACTGAGACATGTTGTAATAAAAACTCTTTATCGGTTTATATCGGAAGGAAGCTAATTAATTAACCAGTTGTACGTACTAGTAAGGAAACTAAATGCCGGAGATCAGACTGCACTGTCTGATTTGTACATGTGGTCTAATATCAAGGAAAACCGTACACTACCACTAGACTACATCCGGTTATAAATTTCATAGTTTACGTCGATTTGTGATTTAGCCTTGGACATTGCATCTTTCGGTTTACCAATCTACATAATAAACACACAACATCCTAGTATAACAAGTTGCTGATGGAGCTTACGGCAAGCATGCATGTCGATGTCGGGATACTTTTCAAACTCAAAGATCGATGTGACTCCGATCCTTCCATGTGATGAAAAATTAGGAATATAACAACTTCAAAAATTATATATCTGATCTCGTACATCTTGTGGGACAACGCTACTTCACTTTTGCGAAATTTTTTGAAAGACCAAATATCAACTCAAGAAACAAAAATTAGAAACCATATACCAACGGATTGATGTATTACTTACTATATCGAGGGATCCAAGTATTATTGGATCATTCAATGAGCTCTTGTATTTGATTATCTTCTCCATTAAACTCGTTCTGATTATATTGTATTTGATTATCTTCTCTTCTCCATTAATATCTTCTAATCTTACTTCTTAGGGTAAACCACTCAAATCCGTTCCAAGGATCCAGTCCTTTTGAAATCCCTCTCTGTTCTTCATGATGTGAAGAAATTTGTCCTATCCCCCGACCCTGACTGGCGAGGCTTCATCTAAATGAGTGAAGTTCAGTTAGACTGCCACTTCTCTCTCGTGCTCTCCGTCCAAGCGAACTAACTCCTTAATCCCCCGTTTGGTTAATAAAATAATAAAGTCTGGTTATTATAGCCATGGTCTGAAATTGTACTCATTTGCTCATTGATAGTTTCGATTCGAGATTGTTTAATACTTGACACACACCGAAAATAGAATCTTTGACTTTGTTTTTTTTGTATATAAATAATTTTAATAATAATAATTAGGAAACAGGCCTGCCATCAATACTAAAAGGCTCTTATGCAGGGTGTTGTGAGCTTCGGCCCGTATATGTTGGCCCATTTATTGGCTCAAGTTTGTTTTTTTAATTTTATTTTAGTTCAAGCTTCAGACACAGGTTTCATGACTTTTAGAAGCTAGCTGTTAGGTTTTGTGTGTCTAAATCTAATTTTTTTTCCTCGTTTTTCTGTGGAATTTGGTCACAGTGAGTAGTTTTTCGCATATACAGTATATATTTTTAAAAAGGGACAGTGTCGCAACGAGAGTATTGGGGAGGCTAGGTGGGGGCAGTTGCAATCATGATGAATAGAGAGAGAAGCCAAAGCAAATATAGAAATTGTCTTATAGATGAATGGTCGGTCTGTTTTTGGTTACGTAATTCGGCGGCGTTAGGTGGGTGACTCCACGTATCTTATCGTCGATGCGTTTGGACGGCTATAAACTATTGAATCTATTTTTCTCCACCATTAAATTTCAAAAAACATTTCACATATTCCTTTTTCACTCTGTGTCATGGGTCGGTCTTTTTTATTTATTTTTTTAGTGGTCATTGATTTTAGCTGATGTTTCAACATTTCGGTTTTTTTTTTTGGGCTCTACTAAGTAATATATAAAAACTCGTGTAAATGTGGGATTCTCAGTTTGAGAATTTATATTTACATAAATCTACTTCAGCTAGATAATAATTACATGGAGTGTCCCTTTAAAAAATGTTGGGGGGGGGGGGGAAAGGTTATGATTAATAAACAACGTATGAATATAATATGTATAAGGATTTGGCAAATAGATAATTAGATGGTAATCAAAATGGCCCTTGGGTGATACAAGTTCCATTAGCAACCACTGATTTCGATTTTTGTTTTCTTTAACATTGTCTTTCCTGTTTGGCATGTATAACACTACCACTCTATTCCTTGTCATATAATTACAGTTAGCATTAGAAATTAGGATTATAGTTTATGGTAGGAAAAATAATGTGTAGTCTTTGCTCTTTAGCAGAAACGGCTATAGATTAGGACTAAAATGATGATAGAAGATTTTTTTAGGCACTAATTGAATACCAATTATGAATAATCATATATATAGTTGATCATGAAGAGAATAACACACACACAACCAAAATTTATTTTATTTTAGTAAATTAAAAAATTAGTAATATTACCATCCCTTAATTTTAAAACTCTGCCCATTACGATGAATGTCATGGTAATGGTACTGTGCATGGTGCCATATACAGATGTTCTTATCCTGGCTGGCAAACGCCAGATCATTCTCAACCGGACGATCATGTTTAAAATAGGTCTTGTTCGTAGCAGTTAGTAATTAAGAAATTATTTAGCGACAATCATGAGGATTATCTAAAACAATCGACATTGATCTATTGTATTTTATACCTCATTATCTTCATATTAAACAGACTTATTAAACTAGAAAAACAGCTGGAATGGAGCATTCAAAACTCTGTCCAAAGGCTTAAATTATCACTGACCCAACGTAATAATTAGATTTATTAGTAGTATGATTAGTATGAAGATAACATTAACAAACTTTATGTTACTGTCAATATTGTCATCATCGTCTTTTATTTTATTTCTCCATATTGTTTCCATTACCTCCCGACTATAAAAATCACAGCACTCCCACTTCTGGAAAATTCACAACAGAAACAAAAAAACAAAGCTACACAAGTTCTCAAGAGAGATCGAAACCGGAGATGGAAGGCAAGGAAGAAGACGTTAGAGTTGGAGCTAACAAGTTCCCGGAGAGACAACCAATCGGGACTTCGGCTCAGAGCGACAAAGACTACAACGAGCCACCGCCGGCTCCGTTTTTCGAGCCCGGTGAGCTCTCTTCATGGTCCTTTTGGAGAGCCGGGATCGCTGAGTTCATCGCTACTTTCCTCTTCCTCTACATCACTGTCTTGACTGTTATGGGAGTTAAGAGGTCACCGAGTATGTGTGCTTCCGTCGGAATCCAAGGTATCGCTTGGGCTTTCGGTGGTATGATCTTTGCCTTAGTCTACTGCACTGCTGGTATCTCTGGTAAGTCACTCTACTTCTTCTTCTTCTCCAAAGATACGCCTTTTTACTGTACTTAGGTTTCCGAGTGTTGGGTTGAGAGAGAAGATGATCAAGTTTGAATCTTTGAGAACAATCGAGATTAGTTTTAGCTTCTTTGCGTGGATTTGTTCAATTTGTATCTGATTCAAGAGGGCTTAATACGTTAAAGCTATAATCTTTGAGAAATTTTGTAATTAGTCTTACCTCCTCTATGTGGGATTTACAGTGTTATAGTCTGAAATGTGGCCTTTTGCTTAATTTTGGTATCTTTTGTTCATGTTACTCTCAGGTGGACACATCAACCCAGCGGTTACTTTTGGTCTATTCTTAGCTCGGAAGCTGTCCCTCACCAGAGCTCTGTACTACATAGTGATGCAGTGCTTGGGAGCAATCTGCGGTGCTGGTGTGGTTAAAGGGTTCCAGCCTAAGCAATACCAGGCTCTAGGCGGAGGAGCCAACACTGTGGCTCATGGCTACACCAAGGGAAGTGGTCTTGGAGCTGAGATCATTGGCACGTTCGTCCTTGTATACACAGTCTTCTCAGCAACTGACGCCAAGAGAAACGCCCGTGATTCTCATGTCCCCGTAAGTAACCAGGCTATATCTCTTGTTCATGTTACATAGCTTCTAGAAACAACTGAAATGAGTGAACTTTTAAGTTGCCTTAAGTGTGCAAGAAAGACTGATTCTCATGGTTTCACTTTGGACCTGTTGCTTATTGGCTTGAGTTTTGTAACACTTGTACAGATTCTTGCACCACTCCCAATCGGATTTGCGGTTTTCTTGGTTCACTTGGCAACCATCCCAATCACTGGCACAGGCATCAACCCAGCTAGAAGCCTTGGAGCTGCAATCATCTACAACAAAGACCATTCATGGGACGACCACGTGAGTCTCCCCTGCACAAACTATATTTTTTAATCGCATTCCAAACTTCGTTTTGAAAAAGAAAAATAGTTCTCTGACAATTTGGTTTTTGTTTTGCCATCTCTAGTGGGTGTTCTGGGTTGGACCCTTCATTGGAGCTGCACTTGCTGCTCTTTACCACGTGGTTGTCATCAGAGCCATTCCCTTCAAGTCCAGAAGCTAAGTTAAAAAAACAAGACATCAAGTCCTCTGGTTCCTGGTCTTGTCCTCCTTAGTTGCTTCTATTGTTGGTTGATCTACATGTGTGAAATGTTTGTATCTATAATGTTGCCCTCTTAATGCAAATCTTTGTAAACAAAGGAAGAAATTCCCAAAAGTTCAACGCAAAAAACACTTGGTGTTTATAAACTACCTACCAAGGGGATTTATTTGCAAATTATGAAATCTGTTTATCAAAGATGATTTTTAACATGGATTTTGGTATACTATACAACAAGCCTAACATAAACCCAATAACCGGTTAATCAGTTCTTCAGCCAACCGGTTCAATTTCAAAATTCATCCGGTTCAGCATTGTTTTGGTACAATAAACGTGTCAGTGTCACCAACCTATCCTCGATGGCGAAAAATCCTAATCGAGAATTGAGAGACACAGCCAACGAAAATTCACCAGGAAAAAGATGGCCCCCCATTTGTCACAAACTTTTCAACAAAAGCAGAAAGATTCCTCGACCGATGGTAAAATTGAACTATTGCAAGTAAAGAAATGGGGTGTATGAAGTTGACTGTAAAATTTTGATCATTCCACTCACTGAACGAAGACGAGTAGAACTCTGACAAGAACCCTTCACGTACCCCAATTCACAATTTCCTTTATCATATATTTCCAAGAATCAACTTGTATTTATTCCAATATTATATTCTTCACACAAATGGAAGATGATGCAATGTATCTGTCTTCTTCCCTCAGCCATATTTATATGGTTGCCATCTTCTCCGTTTCTTCTCCACCTATCACTCTTCTTCCTCTCTTTACAAAGACCTTTCCAACTTTGTTTTCACTTTATCGATTCTTCAATACTTCGTTTGCTCCGTTCAGTCAACAATGGCCTCTGTTTCGAGGAGGCTACTGAGGAGAGAGACGATCCCCTGTATCAGCAACACCATGAGGAGACTCTTCTCCACCGGTGGATCTACTTCTTTTGCTCAGAGACTCAGAGATCTTCCCAAAGACTTCCCATCCACTAACGCCAAGCGAGATGCCTCTCTGGTATTGAAAAAAAACAATACATAACCGTTTTGTTTTGCTTCAAAATTGGATCTGAGTTTTAGTCAAATTTCTAGTCTTTCTTCCGATGTCGATTGACTCAAATTCGTATGTGTCGTAGCTCATCGGACGAACACCTCTAGTGTTTCTCAACAAAGTCACTGAAGGATGTGAAGCTTACATTGCAGCCAAGCAAGAGCATTTCCAGCCAACTTGTAGCATCAAGGACAGGTGCTTGTAATATCTTATTCTTCTATTTTTACTAGAAACCATATTAGTACAAAGTGTTGATCTTTGTTCCATTTGGTTGTCTTTAGACCAGCTATAGCCATGATCGCAGATGCTGAGAAGAAGAAACTGATCATCCCTGGAAAAGTAATTTGCTTTTTCTTTTTTATTCTTCCATACGTAATCTCAGAGTTAACTGTGAATCAGTAGTTTCTTACCCGCTGAATTGATGCTTAATTTTCAGACAACATTGATAGAGCCCACTTCAGGAAACATGGGAATAAGTTTGGCTTTCATGGCGGCTCTTAAAGGGTACAAAATTGTAATGACAATGCCTTCATACACCAGCTTGGAGCGGAGAGTGACTATGAGATCCTTTGGTGCGGAGCTTGTTCTTACTGATCCAACAAAAGGAATGGGTGGAACCGTCAAGAAAGCTTATGACCTCCTTGAGTCTACTCCTGATGCTTTCATGTGTCAACAGTTTGCTAATCCAGCAAACACTCAGGTACTTAGACTTAGAATGAGATCTCATTTTTTATTAGCTTAAATTCACGTTTTGACACTAGATTGAAATATTGAATCTAGAGATGATGTTTGGAATATTGATGTAGATTCATTATGACACAACTGGTCCTGAAATTTGGGAAGATACACTTGGAAATGTCGATATATTTGTGATGGGAATTGGGAGTGGAGGCACAGTCTCTGGAGTTGGGCAATACCTTAAATCTAAAAACCCCAATGTCAAGGTGATTACTTAATAAGTTCTGAAGGTATCTTGTGAATATTAAAAAAAGAGATTGCTATTGACCATGAGTGTATTGCAAATGGTAGATATATGGAGTGGAGCCTGCTGAAAGCAACATACTCAATGGTGGCAAACCAGGTGAAGATTTTGAAACTTTAACACTTAATTTGTGGTCCAAATTAGTGGAAGATTCGAGTTTTTGCGGTTGCTGATGTCAAGGGTTTTGAACTTTGTGCTAGGTCCACATGCTATCACAGGCAATGGGGTTGGATTTAAACCAGATATTCTGGATATGGATGTCATGGAGAGTGTTCTTGAGGTAAAGTAAAAGGCTAAAGCTTCTGTCTTTCCAAGAAACCCCAACTTCTAAAGCTTATGTTTTGAGAATATGTTAACAGGTGAGTAGTGAGGATGCTATAAAGATGGCAAGAGAATTGGCATTGAAAGAAGGTCTCATGGTAAGTGGTTTGATGATTTACAAAGATAAGTTGGTTCATCTGTTTTCTGGTACTAATTATGGAAACTAACTTGAGTAGGTTGGGATATCGTCGGGAGCTAACACCGTGGCAGCACTTAGACTGGCAAAAATGCCAGAGAACAAAGGCAAACTCATTGTGGTAAGAAAGGAAATATGTTTTTTTTCTCTCGCTCTCTGTTTTGATATGTGTGTTTTGGTTTGATCGGAAGTTGTTTTGTAATAGACGATTCATGCTAGCTTTGGAGAGAGATATCTGTCGTCTGTTCTGTTTGATGAGCTGAGGAAAGAAGCAGAAGAGATGAAGCCAGTTTCAGTCGATTGATGAAGAAAGGCTTCTTTACCAAATTCTCATATTGGGATTGTGACATAAACGTGTAAGAAGAGTTGTATGTTTTGTTTTATATATGGGTATGTTGGAGAAATAATTATGTTGATGTTGAATATTGGAAATACAATCTAATCAAAGTTAAATCAGCATTTTATGTTTTATTTTGTGGTTCAAATAAGGATTTTGTCTTTGTAAAAATCTGGTCAGTTGAGATTTTTGCTGTTAATGGAAAATATTTTGATTAAAAAAACATTAATCTCATTTTACTGGAAAAAAAGAACAGTATGTTGTTAATGAATTAAAACGTTTAATAACTTGTAAGCATTGATTATCAAATAAGCCAGTCATAAATACTAACAACGACTAAAGTAAAGTATTTGACCAGGTAGAAGTACAGAATCAAATGCTTTTGACTCTTAATAAAGAAACTAAATCGTCAAGTTTACAGAAGCGAATCATAAAACACCCTCGTGGCAACAGATCCAACGGCCAGAAAACAATTTTGCATACCTTAAATTTGTAGAAGCCACCACGTATCCATGCTGCAACTGCTCCTCTGGTCATATTGTTCAACTTCTTTTAGATGAAACCTTAAAAGAACCCTTCGGAAAAAATCTCCGGCAACAAAAATACCTAGTGTCGAGCGGCGAAGATAGGCGTGGTTGATTTGATCACAAGAGTTGATTCCATCTGTAAGAAGTACGAGAAGTATGATATCGATAAACAGAGAGAAACTAATGTCTCCGGTGACGATGCTTTCTCCCGCCTTTACTCCACCTTCGAATCTGCACTCGAAACTGTTCTTCAGGTTCGTTTAGATTACTCACTCGAGAGCGTTGCGTTTCTGTTTTTGTTTTTCTGGTTTTGGTTTTGTAACGTTTAAGTTTGTGTGAGGGAACGTAATAGAAAACAGAGGATTTGTCGTCTGAGACGAATAAAGCGAAAGCTGTGGCGATGAACGCAGAGATACGAAGAACGAAAGCTCGACTGCTTGAAGGAGTTCCAAAACTTCAGAGGCTTGCTCTCAAAAAGGTCTTCTCTTTTTTTGTTCAGTGACCTAATTTTCAAAATCTGATGATTCGAGTCTTGTGTTGGTGAGAGGTTTTATTACATCTGATGATAAGAAAGGACTATCAAATTTCAGGTCAAAGGGGTTTCAAAGGAAGAGCTTGATGCGAGAAATGATTTGGTTTTGTTATTGAGAGATAAGATTGAGGCCATACCAGAAACCTCTGCTCCTGTTATAGGTAGTTGGCCAGCTTCAACATCACATTCGAACATCAGATTCGATACTAATGTTTCAGGTATTATATGTTGTTCTCTCTGTACTTTTTGCATTATTAGTGACCTCTCCGTTATAAGATTAGTATGTTTTGTAATGAAGACTTGGTCAATTGTATCAGATCACAGAATTGGTAGTGAATATTTCGAGCCAACCGAAGAGTCTGATCAGTTTAAACAAGAATATGAGATGAGAAGAATAAAGCAGGCAAGTACTGTGTGTTGATTCATTTTTGTTAACATTTATTCTAGCGATCAATTTATAAAAGCAAGAGTCTAACAAATGTGGAAGCAGGATCAAGGATTGGATTATATAGCTGAAGGATTGGATACACTCAAGAATATGGCTCAGGACATCAATGAGGTTCAACTATACCTAAATATATTGATGTTTATTGATCATGTGCTAGTGATTCACTTACTGCTGCTAAGCATTACAGGAACTGGATAGACAAGAACCACTCATGGATGAAATAGATACAAAGGTTAGTTCTCTAGCACTTTTCCTTGGCCTGAGTTTTCCTTAGCGAGATCATGCATGCTTACCTTTTCTTGTTTTGGTATATATTATTAAGATTGACAAGGCAGCTACTGACTTGAAAAGCACCAACGTGAGGCTCAAGGATACAGTAACAAAGGTGATATAACACACACATTCCTCTAAGATCATAACCTCATCCAAATATAATTAAGCTCATTGTTTTCTATTCAATTATAGTTGAGATCGAGCCGCAACTTCTGCATAGACATCATCCTCTTATGCATACTCCTGGGAATCGCTGCCTTCATATACAAGTAACCTCCTTTTTTTCGCTGAGTCTTGATTGTTATTTGAGACATGAAATCTTGATTCATCTAACTTTATTTGGGGTTTATTTTTTTGCAGCTCAGTGAAGTGAAGGATGGTGATGCCTGAGACGCTATTTATGCACACACATCATAGAAGCATGTTTTAAGCTAGAGTCAATCAAAAGAGGGGGAGGTTTCACTTTTCGCACAAGGAGAATGTTTTTGAGATTATTGTGTTTAAGTTGTCAAGTTGATCATAATCTTGTACCTAATTTCTTTGTTATGAGGTTTGTCTATACATAAAGAAACCTGTTGCTCCGTGAATAATCCAATAAAAAAGAGTTGGAAAAAGTTCGTCACCCACTTTGTCTTAGCTCAAAAGATGAAGAAGGTAATGAGAATGGGTTGTTTTTTTATAAAAAAGAATAGTATCGGGTTCAATCTGACGTTAATTAAAAAATAGTATAAAGGTCTTATCAGTATTTTGCAAAGTAACCCGATCGAAATAGAAATACAGACTTGTTTAACTTTTTCTGAAACTCTCACTTTCTTTTTCTCGCGAGCTTATTATGCAATTTCGTTCTGTGAAGTCTTCTACTTTTCTTGCACTCTTCACTGTCTTTTAAATGTAATTGGAGCTGGGCTAGGCATGTATGTTTCGAGTTTGTCGAATCGGGCTCTTAGCTTCCAGATTTATAGTTGTTTTCTCCGATTCTATTTGATGTAATGTGTCAAAATTGATCTCTGTAACCTGGACGTGAAGTCCTTTTAGTCTCTGGTGAAAATCCTCAAAGCTTTAGAGAGATTTTGGTTACTTTATGACCTGTGTTTATTCCCCTACATTGCGGCTTGATAAGTAATTACGTGTCTCAAACACAAGTCGTAGTGTATTTATTTAGTTTAAGGAAAACGAAAAGAGCCTTCAGGATTATCTTATTCTCGTTAGCATTACATTATTTCGCATCAACGTTGACAATAGTTTCCATGTTTTTCTAACTCTACAAGTGAGGCAGTATCTAAATTCAAAAAATAAAATATTGCAACTTGTTGTTTGTCTAGGATTTGCTTGGGATTTGATACTTTCTTGGTGATTTAGTATCAGCTTTTCGGGTGCTACCTAATATTGAGCTACACAGCTGTGTCAATAGTGCTATGATTTGATTACTCAAGTCTTTCTTCACTGATTTTGTTTCTAGGTTTTAGATACTCAAGTCTGGTGCTTTGCATATGCCAGATTATCTCCAAAAGTGAGTTTCTTTTTTGCAGTCACAGAGATTGATCTGGCTTACCATGTGTATCTGACTCTATTATTTTGGTATTCTTAACAGACTTTAAATGTTTACTGGTTCACTTGTGTTTGGAGTGCAGGTTTGATTTGTTTAAGCCAATGCATGGTATGTGGGAAAGTTACATGACACAACTCATCAAGGTGATCGGGTAAGCTACTTATAGGACTACCAGATACTAATTCAAATTATGTGCTTGTTATAAGAAATAAACTAAGCTCTGGTCATCATTATGACAATCTACATTTTGCAGGAAGATGCAATTAGCCTCAACTCTTCTCTCAGCAGATCTTCATGGTGCTTTCATGTTTGGTAGGTAGTCCTACATTCTTTCACAAATCTTTAATACTTGGTTTGATCTTTTGGCTCTCATTTAAGAGTAGTCCATGAACTGTCCAATGAATTTATATATTTTCATATTATGCTTTCTTCCTCCTACTAATCCAGGAACCTGTATTACTTGTGACAATTGCTGAGTGCAAGATAGCATCATTCATTGGTGTGCAAGGCATAATGGTGCGTGAGACATCCGAAACATGTGGAATAATCACAAGATACCGAAAAATTTCAAGGTGTCTTAAAGCTTTGTCACCATTTATTTGTCAAAATAATTTATATCTTCCGAAGCCTAACTTAGCTATTGTAATCAATCTGATACAGTTGTACCTAAAAAGCACTCTGTCTTCATCATCCAACTAGACTGCTGGAAAATTACTTTACTTCAAGAGAAAACATTGTTCAATGTTAATGTTGAATTGAAGCTCTCGTCCTTTCTCTCTTGCTCGTAGAAAGCAATAACCATTGATGACCACAGAAGCATCCTAGTCTTAAATATGAGGCTACTGACTTGAAAAGCACCAATGTGAGGCTCAAGGATACAGTTACAAAGGTGATACACACACATTCCTCCGAAATCACATCCTCATTATAATAATAAATAAGCTCATAGTTTTCTAATTAATAATGGTTGAGATCGAGCCGCAACTTTTGCATAGACATCATCCTGCATACTCCTGGGAATCGCTGCCTTCATATACAAGTAACCCCTTTTCGCTCTCACTCTTGATTGTTCTTCGAGACATGAAATCTTCCTTTCTTTATTTGGGGGTTCTTTGCAGCTCGGTGAAGACGTGAAGGATGGTGATGCCTGAGACGCTATATATATGTACATAGAAGCATGTTTAAGTTAAGAGTCAAAAGAGGGAAGTTTCACTTTTCACATGTCCATTATACAGCCTTGTATTTCGATGCCTAATAAAGATAAGTGGTTTAATTGATCCTATCGTTATATTTAGAAAGGAAAAACAGTAAACTTCAGATATCTCTCCAAAAGAAAATATGGGTATCCATCTAAAAATTGCTCGAAAAGACATTGCAAATTCAAGTTCATGCACTCCTACTTGAAGAGAAGCGAGAATACCCAACATAGATTTGCAAGTGACATCCCATCACTAATATAGCAAAGTATCCCAGTCAAGTTCAGATTTGTGCGGTGTTGCGATACAGATGCCATACAGTTTTGCATTTCATGATGTGACTTTGAGGTGGAGCCAACCACTCCCTGTTCTAATTGTGCAACTGCAAGCAATGTCCTTGGAGGTTCTTTGTGCTGCAAAAACTATTAACTATTTACAAAATATATTTTAAACATATTTTTATATTGGTGTTTTCTATACTTGTGTTTGTGTGTGGACTAGTACTAAAGTCTACTGCAATCTAAATTGTTTTGTTGTTACTGATTGCCCTATAGTCTATCATAAAAGTAGATTCTCTAGTACATAAAATCTAGAGCAGGACATGATTTATAAATAGATGATGTTGATATTTGTATTGGTCATCTTCTCAATCATTACCCAAATAGTAAATGCCACTAGCCCCATTTTTAAAACCTACCCACTTCAATTATCTTTCTCTGCATTGAAAGCTCTTTACCAAATTACATACAATCTCTCATGTGCAGTAAAATGCATAAAAGAGCACGGTTCTGTTCGATATCAGTTTAGCCAAGAAGACCATAATCAGAATAATCACAAAACTGAACAAGAAAATAAAAAAATGCTCGGTTTTCAAGAAATTTTGGATGTTTGGTAATATTTTTATAATGAAAGAAATAAAAAATAAAACAAGTTAAAATTTAGTTATTACGTTTGAATTGACTGATCGATCTGCAGACCAAAGCATGTTACCAGATTCTGCCTTTACGCATTACCATGATCCATTGAATTTAGATCCTTTTGGTTAAAACTAAAAATAAAATAAAAGGTAAGTCTGCATTTTAAAAACATTTATTACCATAATTACTTATATTACAGATGTGGTCACTGGTCAGTGGTCAGAGACAACCACTGACAAGATCTTAACTACTCCTGGTTTAAAAATAACCCTCACAATTAATTAACAATAGCATAAGTTACTGTAAATAGAAATTTAAGGTCATAACTTTCAATCTTCGACCAAAAAAAAAAAAAAACACAATTGGTTTGGATTTAAAAAAATGAAATAAAGATCGGTTTTATCCAGATCTTCTATATAAGACCTGAATTTATTTTTATTTTTGCCTTGCGGATATTTCTTAGCATTTATCTCTTTTTAATTAATAACTTTCGAAGTAAATAAAGTAGCATAGTGAATTTGGGGGGGGGGGGGGGGAAAGTAGTAGTTTATTGCTCATCTCTCATTCATATGGTAGTAGTATACATACACACATAAAAGCGTGGCAAATATAATTAGTGTCAGTAAAAGGGTGAAGAAAGCAAAATCAAAAAGTACAAGAGGGAAGAAGGGGAGAGGGGTGAAAAGTCAAAAACAACAACAACTTAAAAAAAAAAAGAAAAAAGAAAGAAAGCGTGGTGTCTCTGTTTTCTATAATAATTCGGTGACGGGACAGTACTCACTGTGAAAATCATGAACACCAGAAGCAGCCCATAGCCGTTGATTAAACTCTTCTTGCATCTCATCTGGAACGAACGGTGTTCTGCAGAGTGGACACGTCTTCTGATCATGATCCATCCAACGGTCAAGACAGCTCCTGTGGAATATATGTTTGCAGTTTCTCAGCCACCGGATCTCTTGCTCCCCTTCGAACTCGTATAGACAGACTGCGCAGTTTTCCGGTAAATCTTCTCCGGAGTTTGTTATCTCTTCGAATTTGATAACCGGTAAGATCTCTCTGATAAGGAGCGCGGAGAAGGGTGAGCGGGTTTCGGGTGTTCGGGTCGGGTGCGTTGTGTAGTCGGGCCAGGTTTGGTCCATCTCGAGAAAATCTGAGAGACCCAAGAAGCGGAAGATGGAGAAGACGACGGTTCTGATGAAGCCTAGAATTGAAAGCGTTTGTACGAATAGCTTCGGTAAGAAAACCTCTGTGTATCCTACGGGAAATCCCATGCTAGGGTTCTCAGAGAGAGAGTGAGTGAGCTCTGATTTTTTTTTGTCCTTCAAAGTTGGTTTTTTTTTTTAATAAACTGAGAAGTTTGATTTTATAGATATGATAGAGAGGCAAAGGAGGAAGGAAGAAGATGAAAGATTGGTACAGTTAAAGAGATCCGTCTTCTTCTAACGACGTCGTGTCGTGTAAGATTGATATTGATAGAGTTAACTGACTGTGACGTTTGGGTATGTGAACGTTCAGAGAGAGAGCAGGGAAATGAGAAAAAAAGCAAGAGAGCTTAGGTAATAAGATTGGTCTGTGCGATATGGTGTTTCTGTCACCAACATTGTTGGGATGGGATTTATAATTTAATTGGCTACGTGCGTCTGTACAGATTTTACATTGGTATTTTTGGAATAAAAGCATCTGCAAGTTGCACGACGATCAGCACACGTGGTACGTGCGGTTGATAGCAGATGTTGATGTGGATTGCCCCCTATTTATTTATTCCTCATCCTATTATATTTCTCTAGTTTTATACTTTTATTAATGAAATTTCATTTTTTTTTGTTTTTGTTTTGGGATTCGTTGTATTGTAACTATTGTTGCTATTTAACACGTGAAATTTACACTAGGCCAGTAGAAAAAAAATACGTTCTCGGTATTAGGACAATTTTTTCATGTGAACAAACAAAAAAACAGAGCAATAAATATCATTATCTTAAAGAACAATATTAGTAATTTGATCAAGATTGTTAACTAATCTAATAAAGTGTAATCAAGCGGCTGAGCTTCTTCGTTACGTGAATCACACGTGAATAAAAGAGGTATAATATTGGCGTAGTCTCTCTGAGTAGTATACTTACTGTTTTTAGGAAATCAAAAAGTTATAAAAGTATAGTACAGGTTATTATTATTACATCTGATAATAACCTAAATAGCTTACTGTTAGGTTCGTTTCTTTACTTAATAAGTTACTGATCAGTTGATTGAGGTAATGAGGTACATATAGTAAATAATGAGATGGATCACCTATAGTATATTATATTACTGTATTTCTATTAAGTATTTCATTGCTTTTGTCTTTGTTATATGTATAAATTATTACTACGGTTTGAATAAGTTTCTTTAGTTTTGTCATGGAGTAGTTATAGTTTTGAAAATGAAGATAATATGTTTTAAGATCGGTAGAATATAGAAAGAGATTAAATGGGAATAATGATGAAAAAATGAAAAAGGCATTAGGTTGGAGTAAAACATATTACAAAAGCAAAAGTTACGTACAAAAAAAAAAAAAAAAAAAAAAAATGAAGAAAGCAAAATAAGAGAAACGAGAGAAGGGGGGTGTGGTGTGGTGGTGGGTCATGGAGGCTTTAAAGAGATGATTAATAAAGAAGAGGAATCAAACCTTATCTATACCCCTCCCTCAGCTCCTCTCCTCCTCCTCGATTTCGAAAAATAAATAAAAGAAGACGAAGAAATTATAAAAACAAAGTCCATTGTTTAACTGAGTGGTGGGCCGGACGGACATATATAGGAGACAAGTCGTCGGTGGCAATGATCCTTCCACCAACCGGCAATGGTTCATGGCTCTACTATGATCGGAGAAATGTCGTTTTTTGCAAATGACCATATATTTTATCTTTATTTCGTATTTTTTTAATTCTAGTTGTCGTACTCTAATCAATTATACTCATAGTTTTATCAACATATTTCACAATTAGATATATGTACCAAAAACTTACGATGATATCGTCAAGCTTAGTATTACTAGATTCGGTTCTGTAGCTGCTAGGAGACTCAGATCGATGACACAAAATAATAACCCTCGAATAAATAAATATATTTGACGGTTTTTGCTCTATTTATGAAGTTATGGGTCTTCTCTAGATTCACATGCTGAATCCCCAAAACCTTCATAATAATTTGTTTTTTGCTAAAAGATTCCACAAAAAACACACAAGTCATAAAAGTATTAACGTTTGAGCTCATTATCGTTGTTATAATCAAAATCATTTAAAAGCTATTTTGACAAGACGTATGGTACCATATTACATATAATTCACAGGTAATATTATTAGACGTCGTCACGAAATTCAAACCAAACTTCAATGACCCTCGCAACTAGTCACCGAACATACATGTTTGTATATATATTATACGACAAAGAAAACATGCAATTTTGTCAATAACAATTGGGTCCAAAAGAAAACACTCTCTAAAACGATAAGAGGAACGAAATAAGTATGGAGATTGGTGTGTTGATTTGGAAATGTTATAATGAGGCCGAGACAGTCACATGGCCCTATTGCTTCTATGCCTTTCATCTCATCTCATACCTCTCCCACACTTCTCTTTGTCATGTCACTGTTTGATTTTTGATTACTCTCGCACCAATCTCTTTCTCTGGTCCCATGATGCTACCATACGAATATACTTGATTGACTGTTTCTTTGTTTTCTTCATAACCTAATAGTATATATATACCCTACTAATATATCTTAATCCCAGATTTTGATCCAATATTGATCTTTAGTTTTAAGCTGTTGTTTTGATGGAATCTGAGTTTCAATCATTACTTTATTTGTTACTGAATAAAATTTTAGACAATGAAAGTCACGACAACACAAAATTTTTTATTACACCCTTTTTGTTACTCTCCTTAAGAAAAAGATACAATATGACGACCAAAGTATTAATTATTGGAGTTCATGTATTCAGTCTCTGTTAAGGATTTCTTTTTGTTGATATTTGTTGTGATAAGATTGTACAATATATTGCGATGATAAAGATATACATAATTAGCTTATTATCTCTCTTTCTGTTTTTTTTTTATAATTATTTTCTGTTCCTCCGATACTTTCTTTTGGGAATCTAATTAACAATATTAACGTCACAATAAAACATGGCCAACTAGTGTTCACGCTAATCATAAGATCTTATAGATGTGTGATTCAGAGTTTTTGTTTTGTATAAAGCCGAGGGGTGGTATTGAGATAGAAAAGAAAAAATGTACAATCATGTGCTATAATAGTATTTGATCGATTTAACAACGATGTTCACAGATATTTTTAATCATTTTGCTTGTGAGTGTACAGTCTTAGATCTCTCGTCTTGTCCTTCTCCTACACGTCACGATGGTACCACTTCCATGTATTTTTTTGCTTGGTACCACACTCCCTGTCTCTTTATTATCAAACTGGATGATAACATTTGCATTTAGTTCGTAGAGAGAAGGTACGTTATTAACCTCCCGCAATATGTTAAAAGCCGTAGCAATTTTCTTCAAGGCCCGTTGGTTTCTTCTTAATTTTGAAACCGCCAATAATGATATGGGCTTTCGATGTTCTTGATCGGCCCAATCACTTGAAATACAGTAAAGGCTTTTTTGTTTCTTTAACTAAGTCAAATAGAGAGAATCTAAGATGTGGTGGGAAGAAATTGCCACGTGTAAGTGAGTTGACCAATGAGGAAACTCTTTGCGTTATCCATTTAGATAATCAGATAAGCAGAATCTGATTCTGTCACCAGAGGGCTTTTATAGATTATACATCACTCCTTCGTTTCTTCTTTCTAACACACTTTGAGTCTTGAAGGTCAACAACGTCGAGAACAATGGCATCTCTTTGTGCTTCTTCTGCCATCGCCGCCATTTCTTCTCCAAGGTAAGCGCATCTTTCTGTCTCTCTTCTTATCAGTTACCATAATCTGCTACAGACGAATTTGATACAGATCCGATCCTTGTAACGTAATAAGTTTAGTTTACATGGCTAATTAACATAGTGATCCATTGATCTCTCTAGTAGCATACTCCAAGAATGTGCATGTGTGGGTTGTTAAAATAATAGTGATGCTCCATATGATAAAAAGTTATACTATTGTAATAGTAGATCCATATGATCCTTAGATTGATGATATTGAATGATATATCTGCAGTTTCTTGGGTGGGAAGAAACTGAGGCTGAAGAAGAAGTTGACGGTTCCAGCTGTGTCCAGGCCGGATGCGTCGGTGCGCGCCGTTGCAGCAGATCCAGAGAGACCGATCTGGTTCCCCGGAAGCACTCCTCCAGAGTGGCTCGACGGTAGCCTCCCCGGTGACTTCGGATTTGATCCTCTTGGTCTTTGTGAGTTTTTTTTTTTTTTTTTCCGTTCTCCCTAAGATGTTTCAACCATTAATTTCATAAAACAAAGTTAAGACTATTTTCATAATTCTCTGACAAAATTGGACACATGTGTCAGCATCGGACCCAGACAGTCTAAAATGGAACGTACAAGCAGAGCTAGTCCACTGCCGATGGGCTATGCTAGGAGCCGCCGGGATATTCATCCCTGAGTTTCTAACGAAGATCGGAATCCTCAACACTCCGTCGTGGTACACGGCGGGAGAGCAGGAGTATTTCACGGACAAAACCACACTCTTCGTCGTTGAGCTGATCTTGATCGGATGGGCCGAAGGACGTAGATGGGCAGATATCATCAAGCCCGGTAGCGTGAACACAGACCCAGTCTTCCCAAACAACAAACTGACGGGCACAGACGTTGGTTACCCGGGTGGGTTATGGTTCGACCCGTTGGGTTGGGGATCCGGTAGCCCGGCTAAACTCAAGGAGTTGAGGACCAAGGAGATCAAGAACGGAAGGTTGGCTATGTTGGCAGTGATGGGTGCTTGGTTCCAACACATCTACACCGGCACTGGTCCTATTGATAACCTTTTTGCACATCTTGCTGATCCTGGTCACGCCACAATCTTCGCTGTAAGTGCGATCCGGAATCAATTTTTGTGTTTCCTTTGATGATGTTTTTGACTCGTCGTTGACTAGCTTTTTGTGTTTTCTTTTTAAAACAGGCTTTCACACCCAAGTGAGACAACAAAAAAGGGTCGTGGGAGGGACGAGAATGCGTTTGTGTGATCATGTTTGTACAAATATCGTTTTTGAACTTCAAATATTATGTATTTATATAAATTGTGGTCGAATGCAAATTAGGGTTTACCGTAACATGCTCTTGTCCTGACTCAATAATGCTCATAAGGTTGCTTTTACGTTGTCAGTCGGAGCTTAAAAGAGCCATTCGTTGTTGGTTTATTGATTTCATGAGAATGAAAAACACATCCCTAACAATTAACAAAGGCCATAAAATCAATAAACATCTCTAGAACGTTTAACCACATGGATTCATAATTAAACTAGGAGAAAGATAAAAGTATCTTCGAGAATTTGTCAAAAAGGTTAATTTTATACATTTTGAAAGTATGTTATTACCAAATCTACGGAGGACTGGACCGCGTTATGTATATTATATTTAGTTTCAGTTGATTAAAATTCTATTAGCTGAATGCTCGTAAGGTCATCCAATACCTTAAAATATGATGAATAAATATGTTAGAACATGATCGGACATGGTTAGTAAATGTTGTAGTGAAGCCGTTTATATGTTTCTCTACGGTGAAACCATGAAATATGGTGATATTATGTTGAATCGTTTTAGAATGGCCCATTGGGCTTTAATGTTCTGCATAATCTTTGCGACTACATTACCGCTTTCATGGGCAGGACTTAAACCGATTAGATTCGAAAAATCAAAACCCGATTACTGTAAACCGGTCGGGAAATTTATTTTGGTCAGCATTCCAATTTTGATGCTCCGTTTATGGATCTGTGACTGTGAGATCCATCTTCTTCTTCTTTTTGCCAACAAATGTTTTCTATGATCTCTGTATGTGAACAGAATCTGTAATTTCTTCTCCTCGGATTCAGATCCATTGTAAAGATACAGAGAGATATAGCTAAGCAGGCAAGGATTTGAGTTTCACAGAGAAGCCAAAGATGTATATGGCTTACGGATGGCCGCAGGTGATCCCGCTTCTAGCGGGATCGTGCCCGTCTTCGCAGCGAGCCGTGTACCTTAAGCTCGCAGGTCGGCTATTGCTGGTTGTTTCTTCGTCACATTTGGAGCTTTGGGGATCTTCTCAGGTGCTTGCTTAATCATCTCTGCATTTCGTCACTCTAATTCTTAATTAGGGTCTAGAGTTGGTTAACTGATAGCTATTTGTTTGATTTTTGTCTTTCCGGGATAGCAACGAGTGAGGCTGGGAAAGTATATGAGAGATGAGAAGTCGGTGCGAGAAGAAGGGGAGAATTTGCAAGCTGTGTGGAGTCCAGACTCCAAACTGATTGCTGTTCTTGTATGTTCTTACTGTCACTCTTTTCATTGGCTAATTTATGCTACTCGTTTTGTCTATCAATCCCCATTCAGCTGAGAGAATTTTTTGATTTGGGGTACAGAGTTTAGTTCTTGAATCTTCTCCAGATTGTTCTTATGTGCAAGGATGAGAAACATAAATTGTTTTCAGTTGAAAGCTTGATGATATCAGAAATTCTTAAACCTCTTTTACTTCATAAGTTTCTTGTTTGCATCGTTTAACTAACTAATAGGCCTGAAACTTGGCACTTACCTTTTTTGTGATCCGCACCTGTGAAGAGAACTGTTTGTCTCTTTTTATGTCTTTTTCACGTTTTTTGTTTTGTTTTGCAGACATCATCATTCTTCCTCCATATATATAAAATAAAATTTACGGATAAACAAATTAAACCCGGTGAGAGACAACCCTCGGAGTTGTGTTTTGCAACCATATCTCTTTTGCTAAGTGAGCAGGTCCCTTTTGCTGGGAAGGACTTGTCTGTGTAAGTGCTTTTTCAGTACGTGTCTCTGCCGTGCCCAACATTTACCGTATGAGTCGACACAATAATAATGTTTTGTGACTAGAAATGTAAGGCCAATTCTTCACTCTGTGTAGGAGTAATTTTGTGACGGACAGCAAAACTATGCTTTTGGGACTCTCTGATGGATGTTTATATAGTATATCCTGGAAAGGAGAGGTAAAGTAAATCTGCTTCATCTGCATTGTTCGTTCTTGAGTTCTATGAGCAGGATTCCTGATTTCTAGATTTTTGTTTGTCTTTGTAGTTCGGTGGAGCTTTCAGTATTGGCTTCCATCCTTCTGATTGCAACAATGATAGACTCTTGTCCTACACTCTTGGTAATGGGCTAGTTTCTGGAGTAGCTTCAGCAACACTTGCATATGATGATGAATTCTCCACAAAATCGGCTATCATTCAGCTGGAACTCTGCACTCATTCGAAATTATTGTTTGTGTTAAATTCTGATGGGCAGCTAGTAGTATGCTCTGTGAATAAGAAAGGTTTAAAGTACACTGAGAGCATTAAAGCTGAGAAGAAGTTGGGTGGTGATGTTGTTTGTGCATCAGTGGCTTCAGAGCAACAAATTCTTGCTGTGGGTACAAGAAAAGGGATGGTGGAATTATATGATCTGTCACAATCAATCTCTCTCTTACGAACAGTTTCTTTGCATGACTGGGGGTACGTAATTTGTTACTACGAGAAACAGCTGTTGTGGTATATTCTATACTGTGTTAAAGGTTTATTTTTAAATTATACTGTTGTAATGACTATATCATCATACTATAACTGGAAGTTTAGAAGCCTTCAGTTGTTGTCATACATAAGCAAGAATCCAGAAATACGAAATGGTTTATTCCAGTACAACTATGCTGGTCTTTTCAAGATTTTCAATTTTACTTACTGTGTCATATTTTGGATACATGGTTGATAACACTATTTGAAACTTGCAGTTATTCAGCGGAGTACACTGGGCCTGTCAGTAACATTGCATGGACGCCTGATAATTCTGCATTTGCAGTTGGGTGGAAGTTGAGAGGACTTGCAGTTTGGTCGGTTTCTGGATGTAGATTGATGTCAACTGTCCGTCAAATTGGACTGAGTTCTACATCTTCCCCTAAAATTAATCCAAAACAAGACTGTAAATATGAACCACTGATGAATGGTACTTCAGCCATCCAGTGGGATGAATATGGATATAGACTATTTGCTACAGAGGAGGCATCATGTGATAGAATTCTTGCATTTTCCTTTGGAAAATGTTGCTTAAATATAGGAGTTTCAGGAAAAACTTATGTTCGTCAGGTAATGTATGGTGATGATAGACTACTCATGGTTCAGGCGGAGGACACTGACGAGCTTAAGCTTTTACATCTAAAACTTCCAGTTGAGTATCAACCTATCTGTAATGTCCTTTTGCTCATTCATCGTATTATGTTTGAAATAAATTTCATATATATCTTTTCTTGGTCCAGGTTTCTTATATTACCCAAAATTGGCCTGTTCAACACGTGGCAGCTAGCGAGGATGGGAAAGACTTGGCGGTTGCTGGTTTACATGGCCTGACTTTGTATAATGTTATGTATAAGAGGTGGAGGGTATTTGGAGATGTCAGTCAAGAACAACAGATTCATTGCAAGGGTTTGCTATGGCTGGGAAAGAAGATTGTCGTAATCTGTAACTACATCGAAGCTTCTGAGACGTAAGGCCTGATCTATATTATTAGTTTCTAATCATGGTTCACTAGCTATACTTATTATCGTTTACAAAGAGGAGAAAGTGCCATTTGGTAGAAATGTGTTCGCGACTTCCAGACATTTTTCCATAATATTAGTTTCTGGCTGTTTAGTCTTTGAAATGTTGTTCCATTTCACGTGTATGTTTGTTAATTATTGCAGATATGAACTGCTTTTCTATCCAAAATATCACCTTGATCAGAGCTCTTTACTTTGTCGTAAAGTTCTGCTTGGCAAACCAATGGTGATGGATGTTTACCAGGATTATATACTCGTATCTTATCTCCCGTTTATCATCCACGTCTATCATGCGAAGATATATGGTGAATTGACACCTTCAAGCAAAGCAGATCTACAGGTAATTAGCTATTTTGGTTCATTTTTTCAATGCATCATTTCCATTGAAATATACCTTTTTTTTTTTTAACTTCCAAATGTGAGCGCTTGAGTTGCTTTTCATGCACCTTAAAGTGATTAAATGACAAACAGCTTTCCACAGTAAGAGAGTTGTCCATCATGACTGCAAAGAGCCATCCAGCAGCAATGCGATTTGTTCCTGACCAGCATCCTAGAGAATCCGAGTTGGATAATGGCAATTTTTCTTCTGACTTGCCAAATAGGGAACCCTCAAGGTAATCATCAATAGAGTAGAACATCCTTTCTGTTTATGCTGTCATGCTAAATTCCTTGTGGTTTCCAATTTCCATAGATGTCTTATACTGAGAGGAAATGGGGAGCTTTCACTTCTTGATTTGGTTGATGGACGAGAGAGGGAACTTACAGACTCAGTTGAACTATTTTGGGTGACATGTGGGCAATCGGAGGAGAAGACAAATCTTGTCGAGGAAGTATCTTGGCTAGATTATGGGCACCGAGGAATGCAGGTAGTCCTTCTGCTTCAGAGCTGCTTGTTATGTCCACTTTTCTAGTCTTTTTTCTTCTTCTTTTTTTCCTCTTTCTAGGATTCCCCTGCCCCCAAGTATCAGTAGCTCTCCATTTGATTCCTTTCTTTCGTACTTTCCTGATTTGTTTATTGCTAAAATTCTATATTACAGGTTTGGTATCCTTCTCTAGGGGAAGACCCTTTTATGCAAGAGGATTTCCTGCAGGTATGCATGCTAGTAGAGTCCATTTTTCACCACCATTGGTAGCTTCTTTTTGTTCTGACTTTTATTGTCTGTGACATCATTGTTTGATGACATTTACATTCAAAATACACCCCCCCCCCCTCTTATAAATTCTACTTTTTCATTGATCTATCAACTCAAATGCAATTATATTCCATCCTTCAGTTGGATCCAGAGTTGGAATTTGATCGCGAGGTTTATCCCCTGGGACTTTTACCAAACGTGGGTGTCGTTGTTGGAGTTTCTCAGAGGATGTCATTTTCGGCAAGCGCAGAGTTTCCATGTTTTGAGCCTACACCCCAGGCTCAGACAATACTACATTGCCTGCTCCGCCACCTCCTTCAGGTATTGTTGGTCCTGGCCTCTCTTTTCTCAAGTTAGAATGATATCTTCTCTCTTCCTATATTCATTTTCTGCTTCACGGATATTTACTTTCTCAGAATCTTAGTCTTTTTTATCATATTGTGGACAGAGAGACAAAAATGAAGAGGCGTTACTGTTAGCACAATTATCAGCAGAGAAACCTCACTTCTCGCATTGTCTGGAGTGGCTTCTTTTTACTGTTTTTGATGCAGAGATTTCTAGGTATCTAATGCCTAGCAATCTTTATAAAGTATCTCCTTTCTATGTAATTTTTACCTAACCTTCTCGTCTTGCTTACATAATTTGATTTTTTAACTAAACTTGTGGCATATGACAAATTTTAGGCCAAATCCAAACAGGAACCAGATTTCAGGACCTGTACATCTTAAAAAGCTATCTCTTTTGAGAAAAGCCTGTGATTTAATAAAAAATTTCCCGGAGTACTATGATGTGGTAGTGAATGTAGCCAGAAAAACCGATGCTCGTCACTGGGCTGATTTATTTTCCGCTGCTGGGATATCAACAACGTATGTTTCACTGTATCTGTGTCTGGCCTATGTTTTCTCGTTTGTTTCTTATAACGCTTATATAACTAGGATGGCAAACTTCGCTGATCTTGTCTACTCTTTTTGTTAACCAAATAGTTTTCTATGCTATGAAACTTGATATTCTCTTTTGGGTTCTAGGTTGTTTGAAGACTGCTTCCAGCGAAGATGGTATCGAACCGCAGCGTGCTATATACTTGTAAGACTCAGAAATCCTAAACCCTCGAGTATGTTTAGTGAAATAATGGTGTATCAACAAAATGCATTCTTCTGTTTATTACTAGACAGTTAGCTATGTCAGTCTTCATTTAATTAAAATTTCTTTGGGACAAAAAAGCGCATAGAGTCACTATTATAAAACTCTGTAGAAATCTGTTAGACTATGTTTCAAAACGTACACTAAGTATATAAATGGTGCAGGTGATTGCCAAACTGGAAGGTGTTGCTGTCAGTCAGTACTGTGCATTACGGCTATTGCAGGTAATTTTGGCTTTTGCATGTTAAATTTATATCTTTTGACTCTTTTCTTGTCAATTTGTTTCTTTCTGCTCTTAAGAAAGTTTATTTGTAAATTTGCAGGCGACACTTGATGAGTCCCTCTATGATCTTGCTGGAGAGCTGGTATGTACTCCATGTTCGTGTTGTTTGTTTTAAAACGGTCAATGAAAACGTGAATCCTGAGTAATGATGTTTCTCTATGACCATTATGCTGTAAGGTGAGGTTCTTACTAAGATCTGGAAGAGACATTGAGCAGGCGCCAACAGAAACAGATTCATTATCACCTAAGCTTCTCGGGTTTCTTATTTTTGGTTCCAGCCACAAGAAATCATCACTCGATAAGAGGTGGAAACTAAAAACTCTGATTCTGGTTTTATTTATTTATTTACTAGTGTCGTACAGTTGCCTTCTGATATAATTTATTTGACTCTGATGCAGCTCCTCGTTCAAAGAGCAAAGTCCTCATGTTGCTTCTGTAAAGAGCATACTTGAAAGTCATGCCAGTTACTTGATGTCTGGTAAAGAACTTTCAAAGCTTGTTGCATTTGTCAAAGGCACCCAGTTTGATATTGTGGTACGTAGACACTCTGACCTGTAACCGTTTTATGCTTGGAAATAGAGTATATTCACTAACAATACCAAAATTCCAGGATTTTCTTCAACGAGAAAGATATGGTTGTGCGCAGCTGCAGAATTTCGCTGCAGGACTTGAGCTGATTGGAGAAAAGGTAAGAATCAACTCCGATGTAATCTCTTTGATGTTCAAAACACTTTTTTTCTTCTTCTAATTCTACTGCTTGAAACAATATGAAAACCGAACACATAGATCCCTATGGCATCGTAGAAGTCTCTTCATATTTTGAGCAGCTTTATCTTACCTCAAATTCTACAATTCAATGTACTCAGCTGCAAATGAGTGAGCTACAGAACCGGTTAGATGCGGAGTTTCTATTGGCTCAGATGTGTTCTGTCAAGTTTAAAGAATGGATAGTTGTTCTTGCCACTCTATTACAACGGTCCGAGGTAATTCTTTTTATAGATATCCACCGTTATCACTGACTATAAAGCATCGCATTGACATAGCCTGATAGTTTCTTTAATTGTGAGAACGCAGGTTCTTTATGATATATTCCGGTATGATCTACGGTTGTGGAAAGCATATAGCATGACATTACAGGTAACACTCGTTTCCATAAGTAACAATCACTCCCCCCCATCTCACCATTTGTAGTAGGTCTCCTCCTTAAAACTTGTTTCGTTGTTTCAGTCTCACTTGGGTTTCGCTCAGTACCATGACTTACTTCAGATTTTAGAGGATAAACTCTCAGCGAACGCAGGAGAAGAAAGCAATAGAGGTTCCATCTCTTGATATGTTTCTGTCTCTTTCTGAAGCTTTTTCACATTAAAATTTTCTGCCTGAGTTGTCACTTTTCGTGTAGATAAACATAATTTCAGAAGAAAATAAGAAAATACATCCCCACACCACACATGTACTTTTACTATTTTATTTTAGTTATTTTGGTTATCGTAGAAAAACAAAAAAAAACTTGAATCATGTCATATTAAGTAATCCATTGTTGCAGCCTAGAAATTGAAAATCAAAAGTTGCTGCAATTTTGTGGAATGCGTGTATATAACTATATAAATTCCATCTTCCAACATATAAAGACAACGTACGGTTACATGTATTATTTTAATTTACTATTCAATACTATAACATCTTCTTCCTATTAAAAAAATTGAAACAAGAGTATATGAATGCTGCTAAAGAGACTAGATGTAATTTTCTGGTGGATGTTATTGCAAATTGAGAGATTAATTAAAAGTTTCTATATTGTTTTCCGAGAAAGACACAGATTTGTATTAAAATAAACTGAAAAGTAAGATAAGCATAACTGCATAAGTGTTTCCCGTGACCTATAGAGTAAGTATGGAGGCGTGAGAGAAGTGGGTCGGCAGAAGTGGAATGATGAGTGGAGAGTAGAAGTGGGACAACCCCAAAGTTCACGAGAGAGCCTACTTTGCAAACCCAGAAAAACCAACAATAATAAAGAATAATTAGACAATACAATATTAAAGGATAATCTAATCTAATATTATTGTATTTGTAAGCTTCTCTTTTAACTTAACATGGCCTGACACATTCTCAATCCTGTATATGTATATGCACAATTGGTGATGATCTTGTAGGGTATGCACCAATATTTGCATAGTCCATGACACTAAACAATAAAATTTCACTTACGAATCTAATTGCCGTAAGTAGTGAACTACCGAGGAGTATAAACCTATATAAGATGGTATGTTAAATCTAGTAGCCACGTCGAAAGAGACAAGAGTGATGTATGTACTCTAATCTCATAAGTCACAAGTCATAAGTAGACAAATCACCCATTCTTGTATTATCCGTTTTAGAAAAAGAAACATAAAAACCCGTGAGTCTGAAAACAAACGAAAGAAAGAAATTGACGTTGTTCACCTCACATTCTCTCATAGTATAAACAAATTATTGTGATTGTTAGTTAAACTTATATGTTTGGCAAGATACATGCAACAAAACATTTAAAGATGATATTGTGATTGAACCTGATGATCGTTTTATGCTTTTCTACTAGGAATTCGATTTTAGAGTGTGAAGATACAGCCTTATACACATAATTCATTCAGGCTAGAGACCAGAACAAGTTACTTAGTTTCCTCTTCCTAGTCAGTACTCAAATTTCTCATCTTTACGTTTAAGAGAATTATGGTCATAAGCTTCATAGTAACGACAAGCCTCTGTTTGTTGCTAGTATCATCGACCACAATAAGGATATGTCCCTGTTTAGTGTTTGCTACTATTTCAGCATTTACTGAACTTGCCGCTAAATCTACCAATCAGTTGATACCACTAAGTGATAAAATCATTGCTGAACTTGTAAGATCAGCAATCACTCAGACAAAAACGTTCGTATCTTTCTCCATTATCTCTCCGCTTATAAATACTTATTCTCTCCACTCCTATCCTCATCAAGAAAACCATTTAGCTTCCTCCACATTCACAAAAGGCTCACAACTCACAGGCAACTCTCTCTCTCTCTCTCTCTTTAACAAATACACACATGTATGTATATAAACCATCATTTTGCTATGCCATTATGCATCATTGTAACATAGAACTCTCTTTTTCCTTCACCAAAAAGTTGTTCAGCAAACCATTGACACAAAACCAATTGATTAGCTCCCATTCTCAAAAATCAATACTTTTCAACAGTTACTAACCTTTCACATGCACTCATTTACCAAACGATGAAAAAAACACACAGCCTTTTATATTCACAATTTCAACTAAACTTAAAGTAACTAATTGGGTACAACTTCTTTTTCCTATTCTAACTCTCTTTCTTTCTTACTTTTCAGATACAAAACCATGAAGAACATACTCGCTTGCATAGTTACCATCATAGCCCTCTCGAACCTCGTTACATCTTCTCGAGGAAGAAGGGCATCGCAGTCATTTGAAACGTTCGAGTACACAGCTATTACTTGCAGATCCCACAGCACCTCCATAACAGAGTTCGGTGGCGTCGGAGACGGCAAGACGCTTAACACAAAGGCGTTCCAGAGCGCCGTCGATCACCTCAGCCAATACTCATCAGACGGCGGAGCTCAGCTCTTTGTCCCCGCCGGAAAATGGCTCACCGGAAGTTTCAACCTCACAAGCCATTTCACTCTGTTTCTTCACAAAGACGCTATTCTTCTCGCTGCTCAAGACTTGAACGAATACCCAATTCTAAAAGCTTTGCCTTCGTACGGAAGAGGACGTGACGCCGCCGGTGGAAGATTCGCTAGTCTCATCTTCGGAACTAATCTCTCCGACGTAATTATCACCGGTAAAGTTTCATCCTTTTCTTTCTTTTATTGCTAATTCGAAAAACTGAGAGAAAACAACTGAAGCCGTTGGATGTTATTTGACAGGGAACAATGGTACGATCGACGGTCAAGGATCGTTTTGGTGGCAAAAATTCCACGGTGGCAAACTAAAATACACTCGACCGTACCTGATTGAGTTAATGTTCTCAGATACGATTCAGATCTCTAATCTAACGTTCCTTGATTCTCCATCTTGGAACATCCACCCGGTTTACAGTAGGTATAATTATATCCTGTACCACACTCTCATCTAATACCATGCACCCTCACCACAACAGCCGCACGATAATTTTATATTCAGATGATTTAATAAAATATCCTACGTGGCAGCAATATCATCGTCAAAGGCGTTACGATCATCGCTCCGGTGAAATCTCCGAACACCGACGGCATCAATCCAGGTTCTTCCTCGTCTCCGATCAAATCCTTCAATTTTTTTTTCTCTAATTCTGAATTTAACTGACTCCGTGATTTCAGATTCATGCACGAACACGAGGATCGAAGACTGTTACATAATCTCCGGCGACGATTGCATCGCCGTGAAAAGCGGATGGGACGAGTACGGGATCTCGTTCGGGATGCCGACGAAGCATCTCGTGATCCGTAGATTGACTTGTATTTCGCCTTACAGCGCCGCGATCGCCCTCGGAAGCGAGATGTCTGGCGGAATTGAGGACGTGAGAGCGGAAGAGATCACCGCGTACCAAACAGAGTCCGGCGTACGGATCAAAACCGCCGTGGGAAGAGGAGCTTTCGTGAAGAACGTATACGTAAAAGGGATGAGTCTCCACACGATGAAGTGGGTATTTTGGATGACGGGGAATTACAAAGCTCACGCCGATTCTCATTACGATCCCCACGCTCTACCGGAGATAACCGGAATCAATTACAGAGACATCGTTGCTGAGAATGTTTCGATGGCCGGGAGGTTAGAAGGAATCTCCGGGGATCCTTTCACTGGGATTTGTATCTCGAACGCTACGATTTCTATGGCGGCTAAGCATAAGAAAGCGATTTGGATGTGTAGTGATGTTGAAGGTGTTACGAGTGGTGTTGATCCTAAGCCTTGTGATTTGCTTGATGGACAAGAATCGGAGAAGAAGAAGAGGATGTCCGACGGTGGATGTGATTTCCCGACTGATGTCTTGGAGATTGATAATGTTGAGCTTAAGACTTGTAATTATCAGATGAGTTAGCTACTTAAGCTGTAATCTTTTTTTTAACCTAATTTCAGATTTACTATACTTCTCCTCTATATATGATGACACCGAGAAGCTGAAACTAGATTAGATTACTTGTTCAAAAAGAAACATAATAGCTTTCTTACACTAAGCTCTAGCTGTAGGTATAAGCGTAAGAAAACAGGACAATTTTGTAGCTTGAGGTGCAAGCTACAGACCAAAGAACATGCTTCATTTGATTATTAGATATATGCTTAATTGGAAGTGAAAAGAAAAATATTTAAATGAATATTTACATGTTGTTTATGCCATTCGATATAAACAAAAGAAAATGGAGATTTTAATTATATATGTGAGATTCATGCATGAGGGAGTTCACTCAACAAACATGCACAAATGGTTTCACGTCCTTTTAAAGTTATACTAAACAAGTTACGAACTTTTTTTGATAGTTCATCTAGCTCATGATCTAATTTCTCGATCTCTTCTTTCCCTTCCCCATTAGATTCCTCGGCCGACTCTTGAACAAGAACATCATCACCATCTTGAACTGTACGACAAATCTTCTTCGTCACTTTGGCAGCAACACGTTCCAATTCTTTGATTACCGTTGTTGTTCCATCAGAGGAGACTAAATCTTTTATTTTGACGTTTACAATAGTCTGCAAATTCAAGAAATCTTTTTCCCACAATGACTGCTTCGAGATATTTATCGGGGAAACATCTTTGTCTGAATTCGACAAAACTGTTACGAACACACTGCAAATATAAGCCGTAAGAACATTAGCCGCGTAAAACGCCTTCATTAAAACCTTTGCTTTCTTAAAGTTCTTGACTTTGTAAAAGTTTAATGATTCAACATATCTCCCAAGAACTGTGCGATATTTCAGGATTTCTGCCGTAATATCTTTCCTCCAACTATCAAGTGTAGAACAAATCTTAGTGCATTGTTCTTCCTCAAATTTCATTTCTAGTTTATGCCAAAGGACCTTAAAGCATAAAATACAATGGTCGATGCAACCAAGCAAGGAGCTTATAGCGTTACAAAGATCCATAAATTTAATGGTTATATCCATGTAAACATCAGAGCAATCAGTCACATCATGAAGCTTGAGATCAGTGATGAGGATGTTTATGTCATTATGTGTATCATAGAGTAATTCCATCGCAATAATCATCCAAGGTAAGGTGAGAATCTCATCTTTGTTTTCAGGTATGAGTTTCTTCATTCTCTCGGTTAATGATGACTCAAAGTTGTTCCATAATGAAGATGAAAAATTTGAGCTCTTTGGAAACAACATCCTGAAATATTTATTTTGCCGGAAGAAACATTGCGATGTTGTTCTTTCTGAGCTCATCTTGAAAAGATTATGAGAAAAAAAAAATCATCAGAATTTTGATTTGTATAAACTGTTGTGTATAATATATATGAGCATTCATGTCAAAGAAAACTCAAAATCACAATTCAATGAACAAGAACTATACCTTCCTAAGTTTACTCTGTATATCAAAAACTCAAAACAATTAATTTCTTCTCTTCCGTATATCAAGAAATGAAAAACTAGTTTTTATAAGTTTAAAAATGAAAGATTTATATATATATAGTATTTTATGATGTGTTAATAAATATTAAAAAGAGATACTTTTTAATGGTAAATCTTCATTGTTATTTTATCATTAATTTAGTCATTATTATATGCATATATAGTTCGGGAAGAAAATCACTAATTGAAAATAAAAAAGATATTTTTTTATGAAATAGAACAGATAATTCAGAATTTGACCTAAAATATATAATTCAAACTAGATACTATTTTTTTTTAAAAGTTCTAGAGATAAGGTATATTACTTATGAAACAAGGATAATATCTCTATACTTGATAAAAGGTTAAAGCTAACACAACATTTATAAGAAAAAAGGAAATCATAATTAATTAATAAATTAAATGATTATCTTTATATTTCAGTGATTTCCAAGTGCCAAGATCTTTATGTTTAGTATTAAACAAAAATCAGAGGAAAAACTAATCAAAAAAACTTTATTATTAGATTTTGACATATTTTAAAAATTTATTTGTAATTTAATCCAATGATAGTACTAGAAGTTTTTAGTATTTCTCGATTCCAAAATCTATTTTAATTTACTTTCTATTGTAACTTTTGATCAAAACAATAAGCAAACAAATCTAGTATACTTTTGATATATGAACATAGATAGTTAGATATACTTTCAATACGTATTCTGTTTATTAAGTCATGTACTATAATTTGTTCTAGAGATATAGCTAGACACAGTCTATTTGAGTATAATCATATGTAGAACCAATTTTAAATTCGGAGCAATGGTGAATGAGGGGACATCAACTTTGGTGACCTAACATGTTCATCGTAGATCATTGAAGAGAAACTCAACTTGAGATTCTTTTGAAAATTCTTACGTCTCTTGTTCTCCTTTTTGTTGTTGCAAATGCATTTACATTTCTTGTAGGCTTCATCTCCAACCACAAAGTCTTTGATTCGCTCAAGTCCAGTTTGGAGTGTGTCTTCGTCCATATTAGCAAAGCAGACGCGGAACCAACCTGGCTCAGAGCAGTGAAACGATGAGCCAGGAGAGACATTAATCTTGACCTTGTCGATAATCACTAGCCAAAGAGCCATTTCGGACTCAAAAGTTTGATCTCTAAGCATCGGTCTTAAATCCATCAAGACGAATAAACCGGCGTTACTTCTCAAGCAAGAAATTCCTATCTCTTTAAGCCCTCCCGTGAATATACGGTGTCTCTTCGCTACTCTTTTCGAAACTTCAACAAGAAAGTTATCGACAAATCTCTGGTCGGACAACATAGCAGCTAGAAAACTTTGTGTCTGCGACGAGACAAGTCCAAAACTCGACATCTTCCTTGCGCAGGACACAACAGCATCGTTGTAAGAGTAAACCACTCCAACCCGGAAACCGGGCAGACCCATGTCCTTTGAGAGACTGTAAACAATATGAATCAGGTCTCGGTTAACATGATCCATCTCTTGGATGATCTCTGCGACACTGATGAACCCCGGCTCAGTAAAAACCGTGGCTGCGTAGATTTCGTCGCAGACTAAATGAATTTGCTTGTCGTTGATGAAGTTGACAATGGTTTCAAGAGTTTCTCGATGGACAGTTGTTCCAAGAGGGTTTGATGGGTTGGCAAGAATCAAGCCTTTGATAGGGATACCAGTTTCTTGGGCTGTAAGGTACGTTGAATCTAGGGCTTGTTTTGTAATCTGGAAATTGTTCGAGCTGTTACACTCCACAGGTACTATTCTAATTCCAGTTCTCCACCTTAAGTCTCTGTCGAATCTGAAATTTATAAATAAATCCATTAATTAGTACTAAAAGAGTAAGTCAACCAAGTGTTGATTAGTGGTTTGACTTGTAAGAGTCAACGGACGATATGTCCATATTATATAGTTGCAACTTGTGTGTATGGGGTTTGCTTAACAAAATATTGAATCAATCAAACTGAGGTATAGTTCAAAAAAAAAACTTTCCGAAACCCAATGATCAAAAAGAGATATTTTTTTGTTGTTGTTTTGACCAAGCAAATAATTGTATGTATCATGTATGTATAGGTAATTATAAATTAACTAGCACTTAATTAATGCCCTTTTTGATTACTTTTAATTTTAATGTGGTATCAAAAGTCACTAATTCTATTTTTAAACATCAAAACAAAAACTAAATATAATGTGTGTAAGTAAATACATACGCGGCATAATAAGGAGTAGGGACGAGAAAAGCATCGCCGGGATCAGCAAGACAGAACATGAGCGTCTCATTTGCTCCGGTGGCTCCTCCGCTCATCACCACCCTCTCCGCCTCAAACCTCGCCCTTCCGCCTCTCGCTCTCTCCATAAACGCCGCAATCACCTTTATATTTTCCACCCCATGCAAATAAACATTATTTGAGTAAACAAATCATTAGTTCTACACATCTCAAATTCCCAAGACTATAAATAATATTGATCAAATCATAATCTTCCATACATGTAAGGTTATGATCGATCACTACAAAACCGGAGTACGTGAATGAGTATATTTACCGCTTCGATTCTTTAAAAAAAACAAAAAATTGATACTCTTTAATATTATAAGTATATTCCTTATATAACAAAAGAATACAAATTTGTAAAATTAATACCTGTGTAAATAGTTTGAGACCATGATAATCTTGAAAAACAGCGATGTCGGAGAAAGAGTCAATTCCCTCCGCCGTGCAGATAGATGCATGTGGATTTTCCTTTATCCAATCTTTGATCAAATCTGAACAAAGCTGAAAAAGAAAAAACTTATAATTAGAAGATGAAGAAAAAGTAACGTCTAGGGTGATATTGTAAGAAGACGAACTTGATTCTCGGCGAGACCCATTTGAATAACACCTTGTGGATTATGAGTTGGATGGTAAGGATTCTTGTCGTAAGCTTTCCAGCCGTCGAAGTAGGGTGATGCTTCTCCGTGTTTGTCACCAAAGGCTAATTTGGATAGGAGACTCGCATTCTGATGATGAGACATTAATTTATATATTCGATTGAGAGTAGCTAGTTTGAACAATGTATGTGTTTGTTTTTGTGAAAGTTTATATATGGATAGAGGTTGCTTGAGATGTAAACGAATGGGAGCATTTGAGGGTTATTTATAGTGAGATCTTGAGGTGCCTATGAAAGAAACTTGTGTCCATTATATGGAAACTTAATTGAATTTTTCTGTTATACTTTATTTTCGTGGGGACAAGTTATATGCTTCCATTAAAGTCAAGCCTAGAGCCAAAATGTTTTTCGTCTTTTTCTTTGGCCACAACATATGTTTTTTCTTGAAAGGAAACTGACAAACTGTTATCTATAATCAATAAGTGAACAAACAATTAATTTTCTATAACTGAAATTAATTAATCTAGTTTGGATAAAATCCTATTTTATTTAAAAGATGATAAATCAGTTTGTGCACCAGTAGCATTTTGTAGGTTTTTTCTATCAGAGACATTAGGACAAAAAACGTTACAAACTTACACATGCATATATATGGTACATTTAATTTATTTATAGTAGTTTTAGTCACGATCCTATGAAAAACATTAAACATTATTGTAAGACAAAATACACTTGTATTTATTTCCCTTAAAAGAATGTTTTGGAGTACACCAGACTAATTTTATGTTATAAGTACCCCAGACTTTGGTATCACGGTAATAACTAATAACATTAAAAAGACTATTGTATTCCATTGATTAGATCAACGAAGGAGTTTTAGAGACAAAAGATAATAGCCAACTTAAAGGTCGTCGAGATTAACAAGTTACAAGTTCAAGTCTTACGAACTCTATTATTAGACCCACGTTGATCGATATATTGATTCGGGGAAAAAATGTTTAGCGTGACTTGGTGTTTTACCTTTTAATAAAAAAAACTTTTAAATTTGAGGCTCGACATAACATTAATAAAATGCTTTCAGTTCATAATTTCTTGTAAATTTACCTTTGAACATTAAGATGTTACAGTCGTATTCAAGAAGCGTAAGTTAACTAAATTATTTTCCAGATTATAAAACCATGTTATACTTGGTCAAATTATATATATTGAAGCTTTTAAATTACTTTACGTGTCGACCGCAACGAGACCCATTGTCTAATCACGTGCAACTAATATGTCAAATTTTAATTTCTTCCATTTTAATTTAGTTTAAGAGTATACTTTTGTAATGGGTTGGTTGTTGGTGTTTAGTTCTAGCAAGAGTTCTTCAAGGTCATTCATTATGTTTATAATAACCCATAATTACAAATTATTAACATGTGAAACCAAATTTGAATGTGTATATTGACCAGCAAGTCCATTAAAGGAATTGGAGGATCAAAGATCTCTTTGGACGGCTTTATAGATTTATGACATTTATAGTAAAACTTCTATCTTAATTGTTTTCCTTACATTGAATTGGTCGGACCATAAAAAAAAAAGTCTAAAACTAGATGGACACGTTGTATTTTAAGTTGAGTATTACTCGTTTTCTTAGAGTGTATTTGTAGCGATAAGGAATACGTATATGCAGCAAGAATACGTATACGCACGTGTATGTAACAAAAAGAATACTGTAATTATAATAAACCGTTCCATATTCATGTTAATTGTAATTACGCCAACTCTTTTAATTTATCCTTTCTTTTAGTTTTTGCTAAGAATTTTTTTATTCTTCTTCGTTAGTTCGTATATGCACTTTTGGCTTTTGGCATGCATTAAACTGTGACGTACGACCAACAGATTCTGCACATATGAGTGAGTGAGTGACCAACGTTCGGAAGTCCGAAGTCGGATCGGAACCATAGCTAGTGGTTCAGCTTCAAATGTTGTAAAATTTTGAGTAAATGCATGTGATATATTATAGTATATGTAATGTATTTCTTTGTCAAGATGGTTTTAAGTTTATAACATATACAGTCATTTTTATAATGACGCATAACATTATAAAATCTCTATGGCGCTTGAATATTACAAGCTTGAGTTGGTTACTTGGCAGTTCTGTTTATCGATCCTCATGCTCAAGGGATGTATTTCAATAAATAATAAATTTATTTGATTGTAAGATATGTATGGCACTATATTATATATGTCTAAAAACTAATTCTCTTGCAATTTACCTAGTTTCTATTAATGATATAAAAAACTAAGAAAGCTAGGTGGATGGTTGTTTGCATATTATTAACATAAGCTTAACAAATTTGTTTACGGCCTGTCGGCATCAATATTAATTTTAGACTCTAGTTTGCGTTATCGGTAACATATAAGAAAATTCAAAAAATGCAGCTGTGGAAAAGGTTAACAATCGAATCAATACTCTTAGCTGTTTTTTTCTTCTTCCATGGAGTATCTTATAAATTTATATTTGCCGAGTAACATTTTCTTTTATTAGTGTTCCGAATCTTGGTTTTGTGTGAGAAGTACGTAGACAGCTCCAAATTTCGAAATACTTACAAAACTATTTATATAAACAAAAGAAAAACAAATAAAAATATGGATATACTTATACATGTTGTTATGCAGGAGAAAACATGCATAACTCCTTTATTCATATTAACAACAGCAGTTCCTATCGAACCTTTTAGGAAATTAAAAGGATACAAGTAAGAGTTGAAAAGAGAATCTGTCTTCTTAATTTCAATATGCACATATAAGATTTTTAGCAGGTGAAAGTTTTTTTTTTCATAATAATTCAACGTAGAAAAAAAAAAGTATAGATATTCCTCTCTGACCATGGATTTTGATTTGTTATTGTCATGTTGTAATTAATAGTCTTGGGAGAATAGTTGTAAGTTATTACATTCTTGACAAATATTAGCATAACAATTCTTTCTTTGGGTTCAAAAACAAACTTTAGTGCGAAAGATCTTGCGGTCGTGAGTCGTGACCCCTAGGCTCAGCTTAGGGGAGTTATAATGATTAAGTCAACAATTTATCAAATATCTTAAGATTATCTTAATATTTGTTTGTTTTTAGTGGTAATAATAAAGTTTAAACAAAAGTAGTCAACTCGTTGAACAAATAATGGGGAAGCTTTGACTTTCTCTCGTCAGTTTGTCTGAAAAAGAAACGCGAGTCAAAGTCTCTGCTTAGTCAGCTCCATGTGCGAGTGACGAACCATTCAATCCGGGGCATGTGTCTCTCCAAATCTCAATGGAGCTCAAAGTACATGATTGTTTTGAGGCCCATAAGTAAAATGGGCTTGTTTAAATATAATGCGTTGAGAATTTTACAACTTTCACAAATTAAAACTGCGCTAAAACAAGACGACAACGGATCTATTTTTTCCGATTAATAAAACTTACCAATAACCAAACATAAAATAGGCCGAGCGATTGTGTAATTGTATAAAACCGCAGAATATCAAGACAAGACTGAAACCATTTTACTAATCTATAGGTTACTGAATCTAAGAAGCCATTATCCCAAGCCAAAGACATCGAAAGGTGAAGAAGCTTTTTCTGTCGGAGAAGCAACAGAGTAACCTTGCATAAATTTCCTCAGCTTAACTAACTCATCAGAACCTGAGAGACGCTCCATCAGAATCTCCATGGTGATCTGATTTGGTTCACAGGACTGTTCTACCATCTCATCCATCAGTTTAAGCAATGTCTCCGCTTGGTTCTTCTCTTTAAGACAATTGAACAAGGCATTGTATGTTTCAACATTAGGTCTCACCATTTTCATCTTCATTTCCTCTTTCAGCGTCAGAGCTTGTTCGACATTCCCCAGATTAGAAAATGCGTTTATGAGAATGTTGTATATCACAGTGTTCGGATTGACCTTTGACCGCATACCCATTTCCTTGAAGAGCTTCACTGCTTCGTTTAGTTCTCCGACTGAGCAATAAGCGTCGATTACCGCTCCATATGTCACAACAGTCGGGTCTAACCCATCTTCTCTCATCTCCTCCATCATTCTCTGAACACTCTCGAAGTCCTTGAGTTTGCCGAAAAACGAGATCAGAGTGTTGTAAGTGATGGAATCGGGTTTCATCCCTTCTTTTTCCATATCTCTTAGCATTTCATAGACTTTCTCTGTATTATTCTTATCACAAAACAGCCCAATAAGCATGTTGTAAGCCAATAAGTCAAGCGAAAACCCTCTCTCTTTCAGTTTCTCCACCACCCTAATGACGTCATGTTCTCGTCTAACTTGGCACAATCCAGAGATCAAAGCATAATAGATCTTTGCATCAGGGGAACAACCAGCTTCCAGCATTTTTTCATACCAATGCATTGCCTTTTCTATGTTGTTGACGTAGCAACAAGCATGGATCAGTGTCATATAAGTAATCACATTCCCTTTCACGCCTTCCTTTTCCATGTCCATTAAGAAAAGAACCGCCATGTTCAAGCCATGGTGCCTGCACATTCCACCAACGATTGTATTAAGAGTAACCACATTCGGTTTAATCCCTTCCTCCTTCATCTTAGAAACAACTTCTTTGGCAGTCTCAAGCTTTCCAGCTCTGCAATACCCATCAATCAAGCAATTGTAAGTAACTGTATTGGGCGCACAATTCTCTTCCACCTTCATCCTTACCAACAACTCCTCTGCTTCTTTCAACCTTCCCATCTTGCAGAGCCCGTCAATGAGAGTATTAAAGTGAATCGAATCAGCTTTAATCATATTTCCATCGTCAGTTCTCTTTCCACACATTTGTTCAAAAACTTCGAGTGCTTCATCGATCCTCCTTGATTTGCACAACGTGTTAATAAGAACCCCTAAAGTTACAACATCAGGACGAATACCCATCTCATCCATCTTCAAGACTAAAGCATTCATTCTACCAATGTTCATATTCCTTCCCAAGCATGACAAGAGCGTATTGAAGGGAGGAGCTTCAAGTGGGGCATTGTTTTCCATCAGGTCGCTCAAAATATCCCACGCTGCATTGGTGCGACCATTTTTGCATAGACTAGTAATAAACCGAGTCAACCAAACAGAGTTTGGGGAGACACCATGAGAGCTAAATCTTGAAATCAACCCAATAATATTTTCTTCTGTGAGAAGCTTTCCCTTCCAAACCTCGTGCAATACAATATCCGCTGTGATTCTATTAGGAGGAAAAACTGAATCTTTCTGAAACATTTCGTCGAGCACCTTGAAGGCATCATCCACAAGTCCATTTCTTAACAAGACTTCGATTACAACATTACGAACTTGCGTGTTTTTCATATTCGAATCGAGTCTCTCGTAAACAAGAACCGACTGATTCACCATACCCATACGCCCAAACCATCGGATCAGAAGCTTAGTGGCAACAACAGTAAACGGGATGTTCTTCTCTATGGCAATCTCGTAGAGCTGGAGAAGTTTATCCTGCGAGTCAGGTTCGCTACCAGCGAATTCAATAACCGATTGTAACGTCAAGGAGAGAGACTCTTCACGGCGTTTTAGAGACTGAGATGTCGCATCCAGGTACTCGAAGAACGAGATTGCTAGAGAGTACGATCCTAGCCGCCGCGTGATTTGAGGGAATACTAAAGGAGAAACAGAAGAAGAAGATACGAGAAGTGAACTTAGTGACTCGCTCGACGCCCAATCATGTTGCGGGAGTCTTTGAAGATTCTCCAAAAATTTGGCTACTACAGATTCCTGGCTCTCCGATTTGATTGCCGGCCGTGGTTCAATATTGTCAGAGAATCGGCGGAGGAATCTGATATGGTTGAGCAGAATATAAGAGTTCCGGCGCCGGGAAATTGAAAGCATTATACTCATAGTCAAGGTTTGAAAATGACGGCCACCGGGAAAAGTGAGACGACGAACTCTGTTCGGGGGATTGAAGTGTCACTCAACGACAAGAAGTTTAGGGCCATTTCCAATAATGGGCTTTAACTCTTATTTGGCCCAGAAACCTTTTAAAATATTACATAATAGGGACAAGCCTTTATTTTTCTTATAAAACTGGCTTTGGGGACAAATCCCCTTTATTATTCTCAAAAGCTATCGCGTTTGCTTTCTTAATCAACCTGAACCCGTGAAATAGCTCCTACGGATTACACCAATTTTAGAGCTATGATTTTATTTCTTCAACCATAACCGCCTACTCAAAAGGAAGAACTTAGAGAATTGCTGCAGAAGATGGTGAATCTGAATGCTCCATCTTCTCAGCTGATGCTGCTGCAGCAGAAGCAGCCTTGTCTAAGCCCAGCTTCTGTAACTCGCTTAAGAATCCGTCAAGCTCGCTTGAGGAGATCTTGTAAGGGCAGTGAGAAGGATCTGGAAACAAGCGTTCAGATACTTCTTCCTTATACTCCAAAAGCGCTTTGTTTATCGCTTCTCCTACTTGAGCGTATTGTTTGCAAAACTTTGGAGTAACCTGAAATGGAAAGTGTATAGGGATGCAACACAGCGGAAACAGTTAGATAATGAATAGTAAAAGCAGGAACAAGCATGATAGTTTACAATGATAGATGACTGGTTCAGGATTTGACCTTAGCATGATGTGGATGCTGCATCATTCCCAAAAGATCATGGTAGACTAAAACCTGCATTCACAAGAAAATTATGGCATACTTGATCAGAATAGTAGATAACTCACGCAAAACCGAAAAAGCCTAGTTTTGGTCGATAAGATAATCTAAAGAATGAGTGTCAAAACGAACCTGTCCACTGCAGAAGGGGCCGGCTCCTATACCAATGGTGGGAATATGAAGAGCAGAGGTTGCAGCAGCAGCCACGGGAGGCGGAACACATTCCAAAACAACGGAAAAACATCCAGCTTCTTGTAAAGCCATGGCAGTTTCAACAACCTAATCCCACAAAATAAGAGACAAAATCTTTTCATCACACCTTAAAAACCAACCTTACTAAAGATTCAAAACACATGCATGAACCCATAGAGTTTCAGACCTTAACAGCACTAGCTATGCTTTTGCCTTGTGGCCTGAAACCGCCAAGAACACTAATAGCTTGAGGAGTCAAGCCAACATGTCCCATAACCGCAATTCCTGATTCCACAATGGATTTTGCAGCAGTGATCCTTGAAGGTGATCCTCCTTCCAGTTTAATAGCATCCATTCCTCCTTCCTTGAGCACTCTAACTGCAGTATCAACCGCCTGAGCATCATTCAAACAACCAAAATCAATGTCTCGGTCGAACAGTTCAACTGGCAAATCAGTGATTTTCAAAGGTTGTCTAAACTGAATGATTTTAGCCTCCAAGAAGCTTAATTTGAAACAAAGCATCCAGATTTAGAGGTTAATCGATAAAGTATTCACCTGATTGCTGCTAGATTCATAAGTACCAAATGGCAAATCGCCGACAAGAAGTGGCCTTCTGGCCCCACGACAGACAGCGCGAAAGTGAACGAGCATCTCGTCCAAGGAGATAGGAAGGGTGGTGTCATAGCCATGGACAACCATGGCAGCTGAGTCTCCGACGAGACAAACATCAATTCCGGCTTTATCGACGTGAACGGCGGAAGGGTAATCGTAGGCGGTGACAACAGTTATCGGCTCACCTTTCCGATGTTTCTGTCTCAATTGCGTCAAAGTCACTCTCTGATTCGGGTTTTGCGGTTTCGGTCCTCCGTAAACCGTGTCCTCCGGTACGTTGCTCATAAACCGGACGGTGGTGATGGCCCTCGAAGCACGAGAGCAACTTCTGAGGACAGTGACGAGGGAAGAAGCCATTGTTAATTTGTCGCTGATGAAAGCGATCCCGATATTAAAGTTTTAATTTTTATTTTATTTTTTTTTGTCATTAAAGTTTTAAATTTGAATATACTTTTTTTCTTCTTCTACTATTTTCTTTACATAAAATTTTCTTTTATCTTTAAAAAAAAGGAAACTTGAATAAAAACGATGTTGGTGACTCCGATTCCAAAGTTGACTGCCTTCCTACTCTCTCTATCTACTACTCCGTTAAAATCGTCTCTTTCATTTCCTGGTGTTATCAATTTCTACCGTCGCCGGAGATCTTATCGTGTGTTCACCTCCATGGCTGAAGCAGGTTCGGTTTACGTCGACGTAGCTGGGGATTCGAGGTCGGAGCATGCCACAGGGAAGTGGTTTTCGGTGCCGGAGCTCCGGTTGCGTGATCATCGATTCGTAGTCCCTCTTGATTATTCACTTGATTCCAAAACGTCTCCCAAAATCACCGTCTTCGCTCGAGAAATCGTTGCGGGTAACTTCAAAATCAGAGGCTTTTCGATAAGAACTCTTTCTATGATGTGATTATGAAGCTGAATCAATCTCAAATCGAATCTGTCTCAATCGAATTTAATTTTAATATTTACAGTCGGGAAAGAGGAGCAAGCAATGCCGTATTTATTGTATTTACAAGGTGGTCCAGGATTTGAAGGTCCAAGGCCTAGTGAAGCTGGTGGATGGATTCAAAGAGCTTGTGAAGAGTTTCGTGTTATCTTACTCGATCAAGTATGATACTTTATATAGTTAATGCTTTTCTCTGGACACTTTTCTTACTCTTCGTGTTGCTCTAATTTGTGTTTGGTTCCTACAGAGAGGAACAGGCTTGTCAACCCCTTTAACATCTTCCTCAATGCTTCAATTCAAATCAGCTCAGGATTTAGCTGATTATTTGGTTCACTTTCGAGCTGATAATATAGTTAAGGATGCTGAGTTTATTAGAGTTCGCCTTGTTCCTAATGCCGATCCTTGGACCATTTTGGGTCAGGTAATTTTTTGTCTCTGTATTGTCTATTAGTCGCTCTACTTCAGTTCTTGTCATTTGATTTCTTGTTTATCTTTTTTTTCTGCAGAGTTTTGGTGGCTTCTGTGCACTTACATATTTGAGCTTTGCGCCAGAAGGACTAAAACAAGTGCTAATAACTGGAGGAATCCCTCCAATTGGCAAAGCATGCACCGCAGATGATGTGTATGAAGCCGGTTTTGAACAGGTTGCTCGCCAAAACGAAAAATACTACAAGAGATTCCCTGAAGACATTGAGATTGTTCGCGAAATCGTAAAGTACTTGACTGAATCTGAAGGCGGTGGGGTGAGGGATTACAACATTTTCCGAATTCTCTGACCAGTTTAGTCTAGTTCCTTACTTTTCTATGTTTTTTTTTGTCTTTAGGTACCTTTACCATCAGGAGGCATTCTCACTCCTAAGGGTCTTCAAACTCTTGGTCTTTCTGGTTTAGGATCAAGTACTGGTTTTGAGCGCCTGCACTATATGTAAGAGTTTAGCTTGCTTATTTTTTATCAATCACCTCACCAGTTCTGTGGTAAATCTCACCGTCTTGATTGATTGTAGGTTGGAGAGAGTATGGGATCCTATTTTAGTTACCGGAGCTCCAAAACGTATTAGTCAGTTCTTCTTAAACGCTGTAAGAGATCCACAAACATTTTGTTGCTCCGAGTATCTGTTCAAAGATGGAATCGTTAGTCTGAGATGTTTTATCGTTCCTGCAGTTTGATAATTGGCATTCTTTTGATACAAATCCACTATACGCTCTTCTCCATGAAGCCATATACTGTGAGGTAAAGTCTCTTCAAATTCCTCATCTTCTTTCCTATTTCATACATTTGCTTCTCTACTCGTTTTCCTATATTCTTAATTGGAAACTTTTTTCAGGGTGCTTCATCAAGATGGTCTGCTCATAGATTACGGGAAAAAACTGAGTTCAAATTTGATGCAGTGAAGGCAGTCAAAGAAAGTCAGCCTGTACTCCTCACGGGAGAGGTACACGTTTCAAGTATTTCTAATTATATGACTAATTACTCATAGCTTGGATGATTGGTTCACATTGGTTAACTAAACTAGAATTTTGGATTTATATAGATGATATTTCCATGGTTGTTTGATGAGATTCATGCCTTGAAGCCATTCAAAGCTGCCGCTGATCTATTGGCCAAGAAAGAGGACTGGCCTCCATTATATGATGTCGCTACATTGAAAACTAACAAGGTCTGTTTTCTGAATCTTCATCTGTTATTCTTTTAATCTTTTCTGATGGATCAAACAATATGTACTCTATTTTCACATGTCTCTTTCTGGTAGGTGCCTGTTGCTGCAGCGATATACTATGAAGATATGTATGTAAACTTCAAGCTAGTGACGGAAACAGCTTCTCAGATTTCGGGCATCAGACTTTGGATAACAAATGAGTTTATGCATTCTGGTCTTCGTGATGCTGGAAGACAAGTTCTTGATCATTTGTTGGGAATGATCAATGGGAAAAAGCCACTCTTTTGATTCCTTGTAATATTAAATGCATTTGTGACTTGTGGTATTCTCTTTGTAGCCTCTTTGAGAACTAAGTGAGTAAAAGAAAGAGAATGAATAAAGAAAGTCGTGTTTCAAAGACAAGATCAAAGAAGAAGTTAAAAGTATCAAAACCGTTTGATCTGTAACTCGAGTGCCATGGTTGGGGCAGTAGTGCTCTCATGAAAGAAGACATCAGAGCCATATGGTTGAGGAAGCAAGAAGGTGTGATCAAGAATGATCGTACGTTAAAATACTCCCACTCTCATGGGGTTAATGCTCTCTTAAGATCATTATATAACCGGTCAGTTACGGTTTGAGGTCTCAAGGAGTTGTATTTGGAGGAGAGAAGAAGTCCTCATATGCTTCTGGACTCACAGTACACGTAGAACATTGGGGGTCAGCCCAAGTCTGCAAAATCCCATAAACTCATATTGAAAACCCTACAAAAGTAAAGCTTAGAACATAAACGAAATTGGAAAAAAAGGAAGATTTACCTTGTCCCATAAAAAGGTAAATTTTAATTTGTTTTGGAAATTATGATTCTCTTGTAATAACCAAAGCTATTAGCTTTCGGGGTTGGCTTGGAAATATTAATCTTGACTAAGTGTGGCTTATCATTGTAGATTGTACATGATGAGCTAGTGTAATCGAATGGGTGGAGGATAAGTATCGGATCTACACTTTGCTAAGGAGCTCAGTTCCTACATTAATATTTTTGCCTGGACTCCAAGGATTTGGGAAGACAACTGTCTGCTCTAAAGCAGCAGCAGCAGCAGGTTTGCTTTCTCAAAATACAATAGAGACTTTTTGATGGGATTGTTTGTTACTATCTGTCAAATTACACTGACGTTAATGATATCTACAGGGAAAGACTTGCATGCTTATTGCTGGAGATGTTTACCGACCAGCTGCCAATCGATCAACTTTTCATTTTTGCTGAACATGTATTGAAATTTTTAATTTTGAAGCATTGTGTGCATTCGTAGAAATGGCTTAAGAGAGCTAGTGCGTGAAGATGTCATGATATTCTATTTACGTAAATTAATACTCCTTGATGCCCTCTTTGTTGCAGGTTGGTGTAGCGGTTTATGCAGCAGGGGCTGATGTAAAACCTGTAGATACTGTTTAAAATCAAGTGATAGCCCAGATGTTTGTTCAGTTGACTGGTGGACTCGAGGAGACTGCTTGCAAATCAAACTCAAAAGCCAAGGTTTCATTCTTCTGCAGCCTTGGTCACCGTTTAATTTTGGGTCTGAATTTGTTAGGACGTTAATTGTCTCTTAATCTTTCTTCCGAGTTAGCTTTTCCTTCGTGTTCTGTGATTTCAGGTTTTCAACAGCTGATTCAAAAGGAGTTGATGATTATGAGGAATCGGGATTAGAAGGTTTGCTTACATGTTATTACTCTTTGCGAAGAAGGAATCGGGATTAGAAGCTTATTTGCTTAGCTCTTTGCGAATAAGGCTTAAAAAATTGGTATTGAGTTTCACACCTGGTCGACATGATTTACATCATCAGATACTTACTAAGAGAAAAGGTTTCAATGGCTTTTGTCGACATAATTACATCATCAGGTACTTACTTTTTTTTTGGTAAATCATCAGGTACTTACTTAAAGATGCAATTTTCTAGTTTAACTTTTGTCTGAAATCTTAGTTTGATTGTTTTGGTTATGATTTTTTTTGTTTTGTTTTCAGCAGTTTCCTTGTACATGTATCTGACTCAAATGCTGATCAGTTTGGAAATCGTGACGAGGTACCGTTACAAAAGTTTGATATGTGTTTTTTTTTCTTTATGGTCATTCAACAAAGAAGAAGCCATACACTTTACAGTAAGGTTTACGTGTTACTACTGAACTTTCCTTTACAGGATTTGATCTGTTTTTGTTCATTCTTTGTTAGGGTTTATTGGTTTTATTTTGCTGCAGGCTTGGCTTGGTCACCTATTAATTTCAGGCCTGAATTTGTAAGGACGTTAATTGTCTCTTAAAGTTTCTTTTGAGTTAGCTGTTTATTGGTTCTTTTGCTTATTATGATTTTTTCTGTGATTTCAGGGTTTTAATAGCTGATCCAAAACGTTGAACAAAGGAGTTAATTAGTCTGAGGAATCAGAATCAAAGGTTGGTTTACCTGATATATCAGTCTCTTTATTTTCCTCGTTGTCTATTCTACTTCATACGTTTGCTTCTCTACTTGTTGTCTTATTCTCTTAATTGGAAACTTTTTCAGGGGTGATTCATCAAGATGGTCTACTCTTATATTATACGAGAAAATCTGAGTTCAAATTTGATGCGATGAAAGCAGTCAAAGAAAGTCGGCATGTGTGCGATCTTCAAGGGATAGGTACATGTTTCGAGTTTTATTAATTATATGACTAAATTACTCATAGTCTGGATGATTGGCACGTTGATTAACTAAATTAGAGTTTTGGATTTATGTAGATGATATTTCCATGGATGTTTGATGAGATTCATGGCTTGAAGTTGAAGCCATTCAAAGTTGCCGCCAAGAAAGAGTATTGGCCTCCATTATATGATGTTGCTACATTGAAAAATAACAAGGTCTGTATTTTGAATCTTCATATGTTTTTGTTGTCTTATGAATCAAACAATGTATACTCTGTTTTCACATGTCTCTTTCTTGTAGGTGTATGTCCCTGCAGCGGTATACTATGAAGTAATGTATGTAATCTTGAAGCTTTTCAGATTTCGGGTATCAGACTTTGGGTAACAAATTTGTAACAAATGTTACTGGAAGACGAGTTCTTGATCATTTGTTGGGAATGATCATCAATGGGAAAAAAACCTCTTGTTTGACTCCTTGTCGTTTTTTTCTTTGTTCCCTGTTTTGAGAATTAAGTGAGTAATAAAAAGTCTTTCAATTTTGAGCTTCCTTTCCATTTAATGTCCATGTACATTGTAGAACTTTACAGGTGAGTCTTAGAGAGATCATCAATAATGTCAACTACTTAGGATATTTATTTCTATTCAATATCTGTATAGCAAAATCCGTTGTAGTCTAGCTGGTCAGGATACTCGGCTCTCACCCGAGAGACCCGGGTTCGAGTCCCGGCAACGGAGTTATTTTTTTCCTTTTTTTTTTTTTTGCTTAAAAGAAAAAAACAAAGTGAACTGAAGAAGTCGTAGGATAATACTCTCTGCTCAATAAGAAGATTAATAACAAACAGATCTTTCTTGCTTTGGATATGATGAAACGAACGAAATAGCTAAAGGTAAATTCACAAGAAGAAGAAAAGATCACACATGTCGATGTCATATACGGCTGAACTAGTTAAAATCAAATACGTTACAAAAATTGACCTTCCTTGGTCCACTACTAAGTGAAGTCACTATTCACAAAAACCTATAACAAGAAACCTAATAAATGCAAAGCTATTAATATTTTGCCAAACATTGTATTCAATGTCGTAGCTACATTTCCCCACCCACCTCTCCCCAAAAAAAATAAAAAATAATAATAGTAATCTCCATCACTCATTTCTCTCTCTCTCTCTCTCTCGGCGCCACTCCCACATGGCCCTAACCTCTTTCTTCACCATCAAATGTCAACCCCCTCAACCGTCTCCGCCGTCTTTCCTCCTCCGCCTGTCCCAATCCCTACCTACATCACTAGCCTCGGCCTTGGCTACTCCATAGCCATAGCTCTAGGCTTCCTCGTTCTTATCTCCACAATCATCCTCTCTTCCTACATTTGCTGCCGCGCCTCCCGCCTCCGCTTCTCTGCCTCCGCCGCAACCACTAACTCATCTTTCAGAGACCGTGGCGTTATCGTCCCTAGAATCATTTTCGTAGCTGAAGACGACGATCTTGAGTCCGGAAACGTGGTCGTTGGAGGACTTGATCATTCAATCATCAACTCTTACCCTAAGTTCCCTTTCACTAAAGATATCACTTCCGTCGTCGACGGTGATGGATTCCACGACGGAGAAGGAAGAGACACGACGTGCTCGATCTGTCTATGTGAGTATACGGAAGAAGAGATGTTGAGGATGATGCCTGAGTGTAAACACTACTTCCATGTTTATTGTCTTGACGCATGGCTTAAGCTCAACGGTTCTTGTCCCGTCTGCCGGAATTCTCCACTTCCAACGCCGCAGACGACACCTCAGTCAACTCCTTTGTCGGAAGTTGTCCCGTTGTCTCAATACGCCGCCGATCGGAGGAGATCCAGAAGATAAAAACATTTCTTTCTTTCTTTTTTTTTTGGTCCGTGGCATTAATTATAATATCTTCTTTTTTTCTTTACCTTGGTATAATATATAATTGATTGATTTGCTTTACAAATTCTTTGTCTTGTTAAGTTTGTTGTATCAAAAAGAAAGAAAAAAAGTTAGTGTTGCATACTTTGCATTCATCTTCCTATAATTTACATAATCGAGATTTGCAATATAAAGTCAAATACTGTGTAAATAATTAGATTAATTGTCGGAGATGAATGTCTCTAAAGATGGGAACAAAATAGTTGAAACTTGAGATTTAAACAAAAATATCCCTAAATATTGGTAACGTTGACTTTTAAACAAGATGTTTTCTAAGCAGTTTGATCCCAATTTCTTCTACTTCAAGTGTATGTGTTTCGAGATGTTGCAGTAGTTAAAAGAGACGATAGCCTCGGTCAAAGTAAGAAGTCTCTAGCTGAGGAAGAGACTTTCTAACTCACTATCGAAATGCCTAGAAAACGATGACGTTTTGATCCACCGCTGATTTTAGTTTAGAAACGAGTAAAGCCGTTGATATATCACATTCGTCAGGGGAGCCGATGACTGCCACGTGGATAGAATCTCTCCTTAAGCCTGTCGTCGGTTACTTTATGAAAGTAAAAAGAGAGACATCTTCTTACGCAGCCCACTACGAGTCCACTAGCCCTTGTTGGACCTGGACCCTTGTTGGTTGCCTCCACGTTCGAGGCACTAAAAACGTTAACGTCCGTTTTTATTCCTTCTTTTTAAAGAAAGACTAACGCCGTTAGAGGCTCGTGCATTAATTAGCCTTTTTAATAAAAACCTATTTTCGCTGATTTTGTTTTTCTCTTCCTTTCTCATCACGTTGGGATCCAAGGAAGTGAAACGACGACAATGGCGGAAGAATTGGAGAAACCTATCCCGACGGAAGAATCTCTGATGGAGAAGATCCACGGTCACGATTCTTCGTCTTCTTCTGATTCCGAGCACGAGAAACCAGAGTCTCCCTCTGCTTTGAAGGCCAAGATATATCGTTTGTTTGGTAGAGAGAAGCCTGTTCATAAGGTTCTCGGTGGTGGCTTACGTACGTTTTTATCTTCCTCTGTTACTCGTTTCGTATATGAGGATTTTGTATCAGATTCAAATGCTGATTACAATGAAATAAATTCAGATGCGAGACTTGTCTTAAACTTTGCATCTTAACCTTGGATTGATTACGTTGTTTGATGCAGCGACATTATCTTCTGGTTTGCAAATTTCCCTTTTCCACAAGTTTTATGTTTTCATTGTGTTTGCAGCGGCTGATGTGTTCTTGTGGAGGGACAAAAAGCTCTCAGCTGCTGTTCTTGGTGTAGCCACGGCGATATGGGTTCTGTTTGAATTGGTTGAGTATCATTTCTTGAGTCTTGTCTGTCACATTTTGATATTCGCTCTTGCAGTCCTGTTTCTATTGTCCAATGCTCATGCCTTTATGAACAAGTAAGCTTCTTCTTTTCTTTTCCTTTTGCTTTTGTTTCAAGTTACAACCTATTTATATGTGTTTCTCTTTCTTTGATTTGCTTAAAGTTTTCATAACTCTTTATTTTCAGGACTCCACCTAAAATTCCTGAAATCCATATTAAAGAGGAACATTTCATTTTGATTGCTTCTGCACTGAGAAATGAGCTGAACCAGGCCTTTGTCATCCTAAGGAGCATTGCCTTAGGAAGGGACCTGAAGAAATTTCTGATGGTAAGCTTTATGTTCAGTTAGCTAGTGCAGATATTTCCAGTTGCCAGCAAAAATTGTTATACCTAAGTTATGAACTTGTTCAATCTACACATGAACCCTTCTGACTCCTGACTCGTGATTATAAGATCTATTTTCCTTTTCCATCTTGGGGTTTTTTGATAAGAACTGTTATGTATGTGATATGTCAGGTGGTTGTTGGACTGTGGGTAATCTCTGTCGTGGGCAACTGGTTCAACTTCTTGACTCTGCTATACATCTGTAAGTACTTATACCGATAAAAAAAAAGGTTTTAACTGCATACAAATCGCATCTTTTCGATTGTTGAACTGAATCTAAAATTGTGTGTGAAAAAAAAACAGGTTTTGTAGTGTTGCATACAGTACCGATGCTGTATGAGAAACATGAAGACAAGGTAGATCCAGTGGCAGAGAAGACGCTGAAGGAGCTGAAGAAACATTACATGGTGTTTGATGAGAAGGTTCTTTCTAAGCTTCCTGTTGCTTCCCTTAAGGCAAAGTTGGGTTAGAGAGACTTTAGAGTGAAGCAACCTTTTTTTTGACGTTTTCCTTTGCGTCTCGGTGGGCACTTTTCTTTTTTACTTGCCCTCCTGTTCAGAAAAAAATTTACTCTTGCTTTGGCGTACATTTCTTTTATTTTGACTACAATTTTTGGTTTTTCCTTGGGAAGTAATTTTTGTTTTTTGGCTTCTTATTATTTGAGTTTATCAAATTCTGGAAGGAGACAAGGCTTAATCGTTAGCTCATGAAATTGTAAACAAAGAAAATGGCAAAAAAAAAAATTCCCCATTTAAATTCTCCATCAAAAATTCATTACCGTACAGGCGTACATCAACAAAAATCAATAAAAGGGTTGTAACATTCTTGCGAAACCATTCAGCAGTATGGAACACAATAAACCTTAAGTTCGTTGTTTTCCTTTTCCAGAGATTTGTTAACTTCGTTTAGATGTTCCATGGCAGTTCCAATAGCAAGGCTCTCCTGACCATCCAACTTCATCTGCAAGTTTTTGATTTCAAGTAACTTTGCATCCAATTCACTACGCACTTTGCTAATATCCAAAATAGTCTGCAAACAGATGGAATACAAAATAAGAAAACTGTAACTAAAAAATGGTGATTCCTAAGGAAGATGCAAAAGTGTTTCCAACTGAAAGACTTACCTTGTTCTTATCTAACGTCAGAGACTCGAGTTCCTCCTTGAAAGATTCACTCCGTTTTCGCTCCTCTGATGAAAGTAAGGTAAGTGAAGATACAAAATAACAGATATAGAAAAGAAGCACCAAGCTACTAGTGATATTATATACCCTGCAGAGATAGCTGCAGATCTCTTAATTTTGCACGGTCTTTGGCAAGTTCGGTAGCTTGAACAGCTGCCAGTGATTCTGTTCTATCTTCTAGCATATCTGCAAGGTCCTAAAAGGACATCCAGATTACCGCTTAGAATTTGATTTACAAAACGAGAACATTGCTGATGAATAATAAAAGGCACTTTTACTAAAACGGTTTCTTATCTATTACAAGATGTACCTAAAAGAATTCTGGAATTTAATTGAGAAACTCACAAGTATGTATCTTACAAACCAACATATTTATCAAGATAGTGATGTTTTCTATCCTAGTAAATCCCATTAATAGACTTAGCATTTAACCAATCCTATTAATAATGTGTTTCGTGCAAAACATTTATGCAGTATTTGCATCCTGCCCCACCAAAATAATATGTATCGCAGCCTAGCTATAGTGTCCAATAGCTAAAGAAAGAGTATGCACATCGCCATAGAGATGAAACAAACACCAGGATCTGTGTATACCTTGATAGCATTGTTGTTTTGATTCCTTGGAAATGTCGGTTCTAGCCTCTTTAAGAGCGGCACTAGTTGAGGTCAGATATTGTTTCAAGGAGCCATTCTCCTGGTTCAATCTGGAAATATGATCCTGTAAGGGTAGAGATGATTTGAGAGGGAGAAATAGAGAATTGGCTTTGAAGATTCTTCTGACGCAAACTTACCTGTTTCGCTCTTAATAGAGCTGCATAGTTTACTGATAAGGCTTTGATATCTGCTTCTGATTCCTGAAGCGTCTTAATCTCTGCCATATACCGCTCAATCTACATTTCAAGTATACTCTCTCAGATTCGAGTAACAGCATTCTAGTTTAGAAAAAGGAAACATTACCATGGAAATAAAATATTTCTAAAAAACGGCAAATAATCACATTATTAACAGCATTTTATAATGTTATGGGTTGGGCTTTTACTATGAGAGCCTAATTTGTAATTTAAATCAAAACAAATCGGACTAGCTCCGGGCCAAGCAAGGAGGGCATAGAAGCCTTCGAAGTTTCCTCATTTCTTGATTAAATGGGTTTCAGATTAAGGTCATTTTCTCGATCCATTGTGTAAGTTCAAAGATCTAACTTCAGTTGACTTGCGGAAATTACAAATACAAAATATCTTTAAGAAAAATATACTTCCTACGTAGTTTACTGCAAAATATCTTTTAAGAAAAATATTCTATTCATAGCAAATTCCTAAACGTTAAAGTGAATAACCATCTTCCCACTGCTTTCCCAAGTCTTCTTCTAATTTCCTAGTTGAGAAATCCCCTCCCCCACCCCACCCCATTTGTTATGTAATTTGTATTTATTTATAACAGAATTAAAAAATGATATAATTATGTATAAATGACTTTTCCTGTCCTTCCATGAATAAAATAAAAACAAAACAATAATTGTTTGGTGGGAATAAAATACAAAAAAAAAAAAAAAAGAGAGATCGCAATGAGATGGGAAAATATCTTTTGATGAGTTAACGATAAACGAGAAAAAGATATGGAAGAAGAGAAGAACGAACAGGTGTGTAAATGTTATCTTTGAGACCAAGTCTTTAAGAGAAGCAGTTAGACAACAGGGACGGTGCTGCTTCCTCCCTCCTCCTCCTCCTAGTGTGCATTTAAGAAATCTTTACTTTTCTACACATACACGGAATATGCCAAAAGTCATCATCTATTCTTTTCTGGCTCGAAACCTCATCAAACCATATGATATGCCTCAGATTTTTTTGAATTTGTATTACGTATATTAAACCTTAGGTTAAAAATCACTCGTTTTTTCATGTAATTTGTAGTAAAAAAAAATAAAAAATCAAATTTACCTTTAAAGAAAGGGAAGGATTCTGCATTGACCATATAATATGAAGATACTTTTCCTTTCTTCGGCTGAGAAAAGAAAAAAAAAAAAAAGAAATTGACGGACAGCAACCAATGACAGCGTACAGAAAAATATCTACGAGAACACGTGGTCTGGCTCCCATGGACAGCACTAAGTTTCCTCATTTTTCTTAATTACCATTTCTAACCATTTCTTTACTTTCCCAATTATTGGTCCCTCTTACCATTTTTGATTACAAAAACTTAACATCAACCTCAACATTTTTAATTACAAAAGAAAAAAATAAGTCTCACACGTGAGAACGACTGACGTCGGCACGCTTCAGCCACGTCATTTTCCTTCTCCAAATAAAAATAAAAATAAAAAAACAATAACAAAAGAAAATAACAAACCATAAATATAAGGAGGAGGAGGATAATAAAAAGGAGTCGAAGAGATAAGCGCTGAGAGAGAGATTCAAAATCCGATTCCAGATCCGTTTCTGGGCAACCCCTTAACAAAAGGGTTGGTGTGCTTCTCCTTAACCTCTCTCGATTGATTCCTTCAATTCGTTAAAAGCAAACTGTGAGTGAGATTCGTCGTCTTTCTCTCTCTCCCTGTTGTTCGAAGGGTTTTTGTGTTCGGCGTCAATGGCGCAAGAGACGGAGAAAAAGTACATTACGAGCGAAGATTTGAAAAAACACAACAAACCTGGGGATCTCTGGATCGCGATTCAAGGCAAGGTCTACAACGTTTCCGATTGGATTAAATCTCATCCCGGAGGCGACACCGTCATCCTCAATCTCGTTGGCCAAGATGTCACCGACGCCTTCATCGCATTCCATCCCGGTACCGCTTGGCACCACCTCGACCATCTCTTCACCGGTTTCCACATCAGAGATTTCGAGGTCTCCGAAGTCTCCCGCGATTACCGTCGTATGGCCGCCGAGTTTCGCAAACTCGGTCTCTTCGATAACAAGGGCCACGTTACGCTCTACACTTTGGCCTTCATCGCCGCCATGTTCGCCGGGGTTCTCTACGGCGTTTTGGCTTGTAACTCCGTCTTTGCTCACCAAATCGCCGCCGCGCTTCTCGGACTCCTCTGGATCCAGAGCGCTTACATAGGCCACGATTCCGGCCATTACGTGATCATGTCGAACAAGTCTTACAACAGATTCGCTCAGCTTCTCTCCGGTAACTGTCTCACCGGAATCTCAATCGCCTGGTGGAAATGGACTCACAATGCTCATCATCTCGCCTGCAACAGCCTCGACTACGATCCAGATCTACAGCACATCCCTGTCTTCGCCGTCTCTACCAAATTTTTCACCTCATTGACCTCACGCTTCTACGATCGGAAACTCACGTTTGATCCCGTCGCCAGATTCTTGGTCAGCTACCAACACTTCACTTATTATCCGGTCATGTGCTTCGGAAGAATCAATCTCTTCATCCAGACGTTTCTCCTGCTCTTCTCCCGACGTGACGTCCCCGATCGTGCTTTAAACTTCGCCGGGATCTTAGTCTTCTGGACTTGGTTCCCACTCTTGGTCTCATGTCTACCAAGCTGGCCTGAGAGATTCTTCTTCGTCTTCACTAGCTTCACCGTCACGGCGCTACAGCACATTCAGTTCACTCTTAACCATTTCGCAGCAGATGTCTACGTCGGTCCACCCACCGGTAGCGACTGGTTCGAGAAGCAAGCGGCGGGAACGATCGACATCTCGTGTCGATCGTACATGGATTGGTTCTTCGGTGGATTACAGTTCCAGCTAGAGCATCATTTGTTCCCTCGCTTGCCTCGTTGCCATCTCCGGAAAGTTTCGCCGGTGGTTCAAGAGCTTTGCAAGAAGCATAATCTCCCGTATAGGAGTCTGTCGTGGTTTGATGCGAATGTGCTGACCATTAATACATTGAAGAAAGCAGCTTATCAAGCCAGAGACGCTGCTAATCCAGTGGTTAAGAACTTGGTTTGGGAAGCTTTGAATACCCATGGCTAATTCAAGCTTCTCTGCTTGATTGATTCATTTCATGTCTTCTTCATTTTTATTATTATGCTTTCTTTGAATCTTTGAATTTGGTTATCTTACTATGGGAAGAGATGTTTTTCTAGGATTGAGAAATTGAATCGAGAATCGAGAATTGTTTTACTTTCGTATCGTAATGATTTTATTACTATTATTTTTGAATTTACTTTTTGTTTTTTGGTAAGTTTCTTCTTCTTCACATGGCTCTTTTTGATGCCTGCGACTTTGTGGTTTTGCGGCTTTTGCCCTTTTCAATGTTTTGTCGCGTTACATCGTTACGTGTGTGGATGCTATTTGATATCCCCTTTTATACCTATATAGTACAAGTTTTAAAAAAATCAACGGTCTTTGTATTATTTTGTGTGATTTAAAACCACGAAACGTTGCAAAGATGTGGGCTTTTTAGGTTTATATAAAGCTTGTACAGTATATACTGTAGGTCTCTTTGGTAATCAAATAATGGGCTTAATGAGGCACCAGTTCTTCCAGGCCTAAGCCCGTGGGCGTGATTACATGGATCCCTCCAGCCACTAAATGAGTAAATGGTCCCAAAGAAGGAAGAATACACGTAACAGTATTTTAAGGCGAGAAAGAAGAGATAAAAAGCCCAAGTGTTCTGCTAGTTCATCTATCAAAATATATTAATGGTCATGAGATAGAGCACGTAGCTTAATGAGTTCGATCCTGGGGTGAAATATCTCGAATTGGCAGGTTCGTAGATTACAAATGAGGAAGAGATGCTACTACGCTGCTTGGGCAAACGGATAAGTCTTCGGAAGTACATCTGGTGGCCAGTTTAGAGAATTTGTCGCGTTTTTAATGAAAGAGACGGGTCCTTTATCTATACAACTATGAACTATGGGAGAGAGAAGAGTTTAAAATAAATGGAAACGTGGTAGAGAAACAGTAAAAAAAAAAAAAAAAAGGAAGCAACAGAATGTGGAACGAGTAGAAGAAGAAGAAGAACATCATCATGTCTAAGTGTGACTTTTAAGTTTACTCTCCACTTTTCCAAAAACACACAAAAACTGCATAAATTAGTCCACTTCCACTATCATTCCTCTTTTTGATCTATTCTTACTTCTCACGATTCCTTTTTTAGTTAAAAGTTAAAACCCACGATTACATTACAATATTACTTCTCACAATTTTCTTCTTACACGATTCATTGTCGTGTGATACTGTATTTTGTACTCAACAGCTGTGCGTTTAATGTGAAGAAGTCTGCATATAGGATCTAAAACTAGTTTCAGAATTCAGAAAATTCTATTTATATGATCATTTATTTTAGAGATTCTAGTGTGTTTGCTCCATAATGTGCGTGCACAAAGCCGGTCCATAAACCGCAAGTGACAAATTAGTATTTGCCACTATCTTCTTCTCTATCCTTTTGTTATTTAAAAAAAAAAAAAATTATATAGCTTTACACGGACTACCAAATGGGCCAAATTGATTAGTGCATATTGATCTTGCTAGATCTTCCAATAATCTCTTCACATCGTAATCGTGTGCTTTTAAGATATGAAACCAAAAAAATGTTGTTTACGTAATACAAACTCATATACGACCCTAACACACGATTTGACTATTGTCTCATACGTACTCTCTCTCTCTATATTAGTTTGGGTTTAACAAAATAAAAAAGTAAGTTAGTTGCGTTACATATATTATAATGCAAAAGGGTGCCCAATCAGGAGTTGCAACCCCTAATTCTAAAACAATCATCAGGTTTTAGAAGCTCAAGATCTAGCCAAAACTCAAAGTCATATGAATTGTTGTAACATATCAAACTTTTGAATCTGATGTGTGATCTGAAATTCAGATCTCATTATTTTTGGTTTTATAGTTCGTTTTTTTTTCTAGTATTTCTTTAAAGTTTGTAGTTGTCTCGCAAATAATTAAAATTACACCTGACTGTACTATCTACCTACATTATATACAGTTATACTTCCACGAAACAAAAATTATTCTTTTGTCATAATGGATTTCACATATGTAGTGACTCATGCGTATTAGATCGCGCGCGATCCTTATAACAACGTAGCAATTTGGAATTTGTATACGTTCAACTCCTTAAAAAAAATAACTAAAAGCAAAATACAAGTGCCATGTGCATGAAATTTTTTTGAATCTTCGATGCTTTTAAGTATAAAAACGACTGCAATAATTAAGAGAATGCATTACTATATAGTACATAATTTAATTAGGTATATGCTTTGATTTTTGGATTTATAAATTTTAAAGGTTAAAATGGTATATTCTTTTGGATATTTCCACTCGTCCTTCTTTCATTTCTCCTTCACTACGTACAATTCTCTAATTAAAATTAGGTACATGTGCATTCACGGTTTACATTTGCATTTTATATAAACATGATCATCTATATCGGTCATAAGAATTATATCATCTTTGCTAATTAAGATATACTCCACTCCACAGAGTCCAGATAAATAATGAACAATTGAACTCTCAGTCTCAGATCTCAAAAACGTAGACAGCATTGAGAACCAATATTGTTGAAAAGGGCATGTAACGAGCAATGCGATCTTACAAGTCTAGGAGCCAGCCACTAAGTCTAAAATAATAATATAGGAGTAGCTACATAACCATAAAGGGTAAGGGCATATGATCGAAAGAAGAAAGAAAGGAGTAATGCTGTATGAAGCTGAGATCGATACATGGCTTTACACGTTAAATCTACTTAGTGCACATGACGAAAAATATGAAATTAATAAAAAAATATTTGTGTTTTTTGTTATTTGTTTTCTTTAGTTTTGGGTAGAGTGAGTGTATTAGGTAAAGGACAGGCCACTGAGAAACTGCGAGAAGTCTAGGCTAAGGAAAGTAGAGAGACAGACCTTTCAGTTTTTGAAAAGCAAAGTATAATTACTATTGGAATTATAAATAATAATTATTCAATTTTGTCTTCATTATTTATATATTCATTCATCTTACAAATAATTAAATGACAATCTTTTTTTATATAAACAAAAAAATAAAAGACAAAAAGGTTACCTCATGTGGTATGTCATTTTCAGCTAACACCCTCTGGTTGCCAGAGTAAAAATACCAAATTGATAAAAAGAAACTTTATTTACCTTTATACTAACTCTTTCTCATTACACAACGGTAAAATCCTACAATTACACTAATTTCTACTATTGTAGTTAGTATCTTTGGCCGCCTCTAAACTTAGTTCTACAAGTATTCTGAACGTCCTACATCACTATTCCGATAAAACTAGTGAAACCATCAAATTAAACTACAGTAATTAATCAGTCTAAGAGTAAAATACATATTTTATGGGTCTTTGTTGTTTTCTACTTTAGCACTATGACAATGTTAATAACGCCGCTTAGAAAATCATATAATTTCTAAAAAAGCTGGCTGATGAGTAAGACATCATTATTATTGGTGTTATGCAATTTCATTGTTTTTCTTTTTCTTTTGTAAGTTCCCATGAACTAATTTTTTTTTTTTCCTTACAACAGTATAAATTACTTTTCATATAAAATTTTATATTAAAATAACACGCGCAGACACGCGCCTGTGCTGTAATGACAAGTTTATTTATTTAAACCCTTTGGTCTCAAAAGATAAAAATGGAAAACTAAAAGAAGGAAAAAAAGGAGCAAAAACGTATAGTCTTCTCTCTTGCTCGCGCTTTGCTCTCTTGTTCTTTTGTCTTTCCCTTGCGGTTTATCTTTCGTCTCTGTCTGTGTGTAATCTCAATTTGTATCATTCATTCATATTTCACAATCCAACCAAGAAACGTCTCTTCTTCTTCTCTCACTCTCTCTCTCTCTAAAGACCAGGTTTTTCTCAATCGCAATCTCTCTCTCGGTCTCGTTCTGTTTTTTTGGTGAACCCTTTTTTCTTACCTCATTCTTACTCTTGAGAAAATCCAAAATCCAGAGAAACCCATTTCATTTCCATCTTCGGTTTCTAGAAAAATCTCATCTTTCAATAACATAGATCCACGAAACCCGCATTTTCGTCTCGCAAATCTCATAAAAAAAAGTCTACCCACGAGTCTCCTCAATCAAAAGGTGTGAGTGTGTGTAGTGAATCGAGATGGGTTTGTGTTTTGATTTCACTGTCTCTTTCTTTGCTTTCGTTTCTGAGTGGTTCATTTGATCTGTTGTTCCGTGTTTGTATTCTGTGATTGGTGATTGGGTTTGGTATTTATGATGTATGTTGTTACCTGATGTTCGATTGATGTATCCCTATAGCCTAATTTCATTTCCAATAAACAATAACAACCAAAAAAAAAAAATGTATCTTTAATTTTTTTTGTATACCTAATATCGAAGTTTTGTATTAATTCTCATCACCCGAATCTTGACGTTGAAAGGATGACACAAGCTTTCTCCCTTTGTTTTTTCTTTTTCTTTTTTATAATCTTTTTGGTCTCTGTCTGAAACATGTATTGCTGTACTTGATTAAGTCTGAATATTAGTATTATCTTTCTAAATTCTTCATCTTCTTCATTTTCGATTTGACACTATGCATGTCTCCTAAAGCAAATCTGTTTTGTCTTTGATTTTATTATTGTTGTTCTTTTCCTTTACAAAAAAATCTGACTTGTAAGATGTTCTCTGTCGTGAAATGGATGATTTATGTGTATTAGATTCGTAGAGCTTTGAATCTTGAAGTATCCGATCATATGCGACTTTACTTGTGTTCTTCTGCACTTATGGATGTGAAAAGAACGGTTATTAATTGCTTTTATACATTGTGTTGTTTCAGTGGCTTTTGAGAATGGAAGCAGAAACGTCTTGGACTAATTATCCGTACAGCTACATTACATATGTCCCTGAAGCTGAATCATCATACTCTGAACAGAGCGATGATGAGACCAAAGTCGAAACCTTTTCGATGGATTCACTTCTCCCCGATGATTTATTAGAACGGATCCTCTCGTTTCTCCCCATTGCAAGCATCTTCAGAGCTGGTACTGTCTGCAAAAGATGGAACGAGATTGTGTCCTCCCGAAGGTTCTTATGGAATTTCTCCAACAATTCGGTTCCTCAAAGGCCTTGGTACTTCATGTTCACTAGCACTGATGATCCATCCGGTTATGCTTATGACCCCATTATCCGGAAATGGTACAGTTTCGATCTCCCATGTATTGAAACGTCGAATTGGTTTGTTGCTTCCTCTTGTGGACTGGTTTGTTTCATGGACAATGACTGCAGAAACAAGATCTATGTCTCTAATCCAATTACCAAACAATGGAGACGACTTATCGAACCTCCAGGTCACAAGTCGACAGATTACACAGCAATGTCTACCTGCGTGAACCGAGCAGGCCAAGCAAACCGAGCGGTAAACCGCGCAAACAGGAGTTACTCAGTCTCGATAGTGAAATCGAAGCAAGTGCCAGGGAATTTCTTCCAGTGGGATCTGTCTATTCATCTCTACAGCTCTGAAACGATGGCTTGGACAACATCAGTAAACGATGTTTTATCCGGATGGAGAGGAGGAAACGAGAGTGTGATCTGCGACGGTGTTCTATACTTGTTGATTTACTCTACTGGAGGCTCTGATCATCGCCACGGGTTGATAGCTACCAATGTATCATCAACGGGATCATCCTCAAGCGGAATCTTGATGAGGAGTTTCATTCCAATGCCGTGTTCTTTAACCTGCGGAAGGCTGATGAATCTAAGAGAGAGGCTTGTGATTGTAGGAGGAATCGGGAAACACGACCGACCGGAAGTAATAAAAGGGATTGGGATTTGGGTTTTGAGAGGGAAGGAATGGGTAGAGATGGCGAAAATGCCTCAGAGATTCTTCCAAGGTTTCGGTGAGTTCGACGACGTTTTCGCCAGTAGTGGCACTGACGATTTGGTATACATACAAAGCTACGGATCTCCAGCGCTTGTCACTTTCGACATGAATCTTAAGTACTGGAAATGGTCTCAGAAATGTCCAGTAACGAAGAAGTTTCCTCTGCAGCTCTTTACCGGGTTTTGCTTCGAACCAAGACTCGAGATTGCTCCATAGTTGCAACGATGAACGTCTTTCTCCTTTGTATTGTTTTGCTTTTCTCTCTATTGGATTGTTTTTGCACAGAGAAGTCGCCGGCGGCTTGATGAAGATTGATGGATCACACGGTAATGTTTTTAAATTATTGGGAAAAAACGAATGATTTTCCAAGGAATATTATTGTTATTTGCAAATTTGGTACTCTATTTAATTCAAAAGATTTATGAAAGAGCCCCCGATACTTTTAATATGATCAATCGAAGCCTTTTTATCACTGTCGCTCTGTGACATTGTGGCCCACAATATCTCAAGTAAATGGGTCTGGATACTGAAACTTGGCCGTTGTCTTGTTGCTGTTCCTCTCGATTATTTTCTACTTCTTTATTTTATTTTTCTTTCCTTAGTTTCCGGTTAATTAATTTTACTGTATTATATCTATTATTATACTATAGCTGTAAATTGTTTTTCTTTTATTTTATAAAAATTTAATATATTTTTTTAATGTTTTTTGTACTTGTACAAAAAAATTTGGGACCTATTTTTATGTCAGGGTTTGGCAGTGTTAGGTTTACAGGTAATGGTGGACAACAGCTAATTCTTTTTTTCTTCTTTTCTTTATTATAAGTTTTCTAATATTGTATTTAGAAGACAAACACGATTTATTTTGACACACCAATGTCACCATTAGACAATATTAGTATTATTAGTTTTTTTTTTCTTTCTAAGCCAGAAAACAAACAATAAAACAGTCACAAGCAGTAACGATTTAAATTGTAGATAGGATGTAATATATATATTTTTTAAAAACAATATTGGGTTGGACCAACCATCTAAATGGACCACAGACATATAGTGGCCACTACTAGTTCCTCTCCTCTCCAAAGGAATACTTCAAATCAAACAAAACATACACTGCTCATTTCGTATACAACTGGAAAAGCCTTTACTACTACTAATCCCGGATTTTGAAAGACTTGGTTTTTTTTATTCACGGATTTTTTTCGCAAAAAAACGAATAAATTTAGTTTTATTTGTTCTCTACGTAGTATCTGATTCCTAGTCTCTTTTACTAGCTTCCTAGTAGTCTCTGTAAATTCAAAACACCCCCACTAAAGTCTAGAGCTGAGTTACCATGTAGTAAAAAATGTCAAAGAGTATAAAACCGGCGGAAATATTGGTCCATGAGGACGAACCGAACCGAACCGAACCGAATCATAACCGGTTATTGGAAAAGATAAGAAAGATATCTATACTGCTAGCTACTAGTAAACAAACTAGAGAGAATAAGTCTCTCTCTCTCGCTCAATTGGTATCGTAGCCTTTCGTCTCTCTCTCACCTGAAAGCCGTTCAGCTTTCTCTTTCCATAAAAACCAAAAAAGAAACTCTCCGATCAGTTTCTCCGGCTGTATCAAAAAATTAAAAAAATAATACACACAAGGAGGAGTTGTGTCTTACCGAAGGAAAGTGATGAGAGGTGCTGCTGATAACACGGATCTGTTCGATCCCAAAATCCAAATGGATTCTGATTTCTCTCGTCATGGCTCTTCCTCCGACGGCGATTTTGGATTCGCCTTCAACGACAGTAACTTTTCTGATCGCTTGCTCCGGATCGAGATCATGGGTGGCCCTTCTGATTCCAGGTCCGATGTTGAAGGCTGTACGAGTATCGCTGATTGGGCTCGCCACCGCAAGAGAAGACGAGAAGATATCAAGAAGGAATCTGGTGGTATCATCTTATATCTATTTCTTCTTCTTATGATGGGTTTTTGTTTTTGAATTTGAAGTCTCTTTTTTTTTTTTATATGGGTTTTTGAATTTTGTTGTTTCGTTTGCAGTCACGATTTCAGACATTGTGGCATGCCCTGAGGAGCAGATTTTAACGGATGAGCAACCTGACATGGATGGATGTCCTGGTGGTGAAAATATTGATGATGAAGGAGAGGCAATGGTTGAAGAAGAAGAGGCTTTATCAGGTACTTACTATATTATAAGCAAAACATCCTTTTGGGTATATAGTTTTACCTTCAGAAGAAGAGCTTCGAGTTTTTATTTTGTTTTTAATTAGGTGATGAAGATGAAACCTCTAGTGAGCCAAACTGGGGAATGGATTGCTCTACTGTTGTTAGGGTTAAAGAACTTCATATTAGTTCTCCTATATTAGCTGCCAAAAGCCCTTTCTTCTACAAGGTATCATCACTTGTTTCTTGATTGCTGTTACTTTTGCTCTCTCGTGTGTATCTTACTCTTCATAATCCATATGTTTTCTTGTACTTTGCTCTCATGTGTGTATATCTTCCTCTTAATCTATTTGTTTTCTTTTATTTCGAAATTCGTTTTAGTTGTTCTCAAATGGAATGAGGGAATCTGAGCAAAGGCATGTCACCCTAAGAATTAATGCATCAGGTATGCCATTGCAACACAAGATATCGGCTTTTGTGATTCGTGTGAATATATATCTGAACGCATTATTACTTTATCAGACTAGACACTAATGGTGTACATTTCTTCTTCCTTTGTGTATTAGTTCCCCATGTAATATATACTGTTGGATTTTTACTCTTCATGATTTCAAGTAATTTGGACATCCATAGCATTTAACTGATTTACATTCATACCCTATTTTGTAACAATAACAGAGGAAGCTGCCTTGATGGAGCTTTTAAACTTTATGTATAGCAATGCGGTATCTGTCACCACAGCACCTGCCTTATTAGATGTGCTGATGGCTGCTGATAAGTTTGAAGTTGCCTCTTGCATGAGGTACTGCAGTAGACTTCTCCGCAATATGTCTATGACTCCTGAGTCTGCTTTGCTCTATCTCGAGCTCCCCTCTAGTGTTCTTATGGCCAAAGCTGTTCAGCCCTTAACTGATGCTGCAAAACAGTTCCTTGCTGCCCGATACAAGGACATTACCAAGTAAGACCCCTGAAACTACATGTAATAATAGTTCAACTGCATTTCCAGGATATGAAACACACGAGATTCTGGGTCAATTCTTATAAATCATGGTTAACACTTTTTTTTTTTTCCAGGTTTCATGAGGAAGTTCTGTCTTTACCTTTAGCCGGAATCGAGGCAATTCTATCAAGTGATGATCTGCAAATTGCATCAGAGGATGCAGTTTATGATTTTATCTTGAAGTGGGCAAGGGCACAATACCCTTGTTTGGAAGAGCGAAGAGAGATTCTCGGGTCACGCCTTGCACTCTCCATCCGCTTCCCATTTATGACATGCCGAAAGCTGAAGAAAGTACTGACTTGCAGTGACTTTGACCATGAAATAGCATCAAAGCTTGTTCTTGAAGCCTTGTTCTTCAAAGCAGAAGCCCCACACAGACAACGTAGTCTAGCTGCCGAGGAAACCGCTTCCCTGAATCGCCGCCTCATAGAGAGGGCGTACAAATACAGACCCGTCAAAGTCGTCGAGTTTGAGCTACCTAGACCGCAGTGTGTAGTCTACCTAGACCTGAAAAGAGAAGAATGCTTAGGATTGTTCCCTTCGGGTAGAGTGTATTCGCAGGCCTTTCACTTAGGAGGTCAAGGGTTTTTCCTCTCAGCTCACTGCAACATGGACCAACAGAGCTCATTCCACTGTTTCGGGCTGTTCCTAGGAATGCAGGAGAAAGGGTCAGTAAGTTTCGGAGTGGACTATGAATTCTCGGCGAGGTCAAAGCCCGCGGAAGATTTCATAAGCAAATACAAAGGAAACTACACATTCACAGGAGGGAAAGCAGTTGGTTACAGAAACTTGTTTGGGATTGCGTGGACGTCTTTTATTGCAGAGGATAGTCAATACTTCATCAATGGCATCCTCCATCTGAGGGCAGAGCTTACCATCAAAAGGTCTACAGATCCTTAGTGACCGTATCTTCCTTTCATGCCACAATCTCCCTCTCTCTCTCTAACTGTCTCGTTTTCTTTTTATCTCTTTTGTAAGGCTTGACAAAGCTTATAAAAAGTAAGGAAAGGTTAAACCACGTTTCACAACAAGTTTGAAAGGATGTAAATGTATGCGTTCAGAACTGATCTCGTTCTATTCACGTTTACACTCATCTATTTAACTTTTCACTGGAAACTCTTAGCTTAGATTATTGTTGTACTATATATTATATCAGTAAAAGGTTATCCCAAAATTAATAGTTATTCAAGATGAGAAAAATATAAAATTGTGTGTAACCGGTTTAAGATAATTGAGTCTGCGTAACTCGGCAAAAGACATTGCTTTATTTCTATCACAGCCACTTGTTCCTATTTAGCTTGAAAATGAAATAGATCACTCCGGAAACACTCACGAGTCTCGCTTGATTTATACAAAAACACATTACACATACGTAGCAAGAGAGAAGGAACAACAAAGCTCAAAAAGATTTACAAAATTCAACGAATCTTAAATGGGTGCCAACTGATCTCCTACAGCTCCAGACAACTTTCCGACCAGCCTCGTTATACAGTTTTAATTGTTCTTAGGAATCCATTACACAAAACCATTATAACTCGGAAAATTGATTGAACTAGTAATACATACTAACAACAGATAGTTAGTTGGAGAAATTTCTTTATTTTTTGTTAAATTACTCAGTTAAAAAATTACACTTGAATAAAGAGTCAACTTATGATACCAAGCTCACTAAATTGGAGGTGGTAGGATGTTATTTTTGATTAGGCCATGGACATCCTCTATAAATTGCATTCGCAGGTGTTTCAGAAGGAGAGTTTGTTTTGTTCTCTTAGTTATTTCTTGTCTTTTAAGGATTTTTGCCTAGTTACCCCTACTTTTAAATTAAGGAACTGTCCTCTGCTTTGTATTTTTAGTTCAGTTCTTTTGGATTCCCTTTGTTAGGGCGTCGATTCCGGAGAATTTCTTTCTTCTTTCTTCTTCCGGCAATGACTCCGGGGACTATCAGTTGTCCGTCGGCTTAAGTGTCCCTTGTTTGGGTATTGTAATGCTATTCTGGTTCTAAAACAAGTTTAATGAAAATTCAAGTTGACAAAAAAAATGATACCAAGCTCACTTAACTTTTAAAACTTGCTTATCATTTGAGCGGGTCGACTCTTCTTAGCTACCTCAACTATACTGCTTCTTTGATATACACCATGTACTTTTTGCCTCTTTTCTAAACACCATCAATAATTTATTTCTCTATTAAACATCACAAACTAAATATTATCATTCAATTGCAACACTGCGACTATGAAGTGTGGTTACACATACTAAACCGGTAATAGCGTTTTTTAAATATCACGACTGCGTTTAATAAACCAAAAAACGTTAAT